CATCTATCCTCTCCTCACTCTTTCCTTCACCCTCAACATAGAGCCTCATCTCATGCTTGGAGGGAACAGCTATATTCACTACTCTGGGAATTGCTATGTGATGAACAGAACCTCGCCACAGGCTTTTGGAGGAGCCTGCTTGCCAGCCTCCTGCTGTGGTTTACTCTCAGGTCCAGAGGGGAGTGCCCCTTGTATGGGGATTGTCATAAAAGACCAAGTGTGGTCCCATTAAAATCAGTTCACTTCACCTTCAACACTCATCCTCGTCTTGTGATTGTAGGGAACAGCTATACCAGCTATACCTGCTTCAATTTGCCATACTGGTTATAATCACTGGAGTAAGAGCTACACTGCTATACCTGCTATACTCTCTGGAGTGGGAGAGGCCTTCCCACTGGGAGCTGGATCCAGGAGTTTGGTCCAGGGTGGGAAGGGACAGCGAGATCCCAGTGAAGCTGCGGCGGCTAAGGGGCTACGGTGCTTATGTTGTCCAGTGGGGTCAAGGCTGGCGCTTCCTATAAGGCGAACTAGGCAGCCGCCTAGGGCTTCCTGTCAGTCCCGAGTGTGCACTGAGCACTGAGTGTGCACTGTGCACTGAGTGTGCACTTCCTGTCAGTCCCGCCGGGTCGCGGACCGGATAGGAGCTCGGCCACGCTACAGGGCAGGGGGGTTGAGGTGAGGAGAAGATGATGGGAGGGAGATGATTGGGGGGGGAAGATTGATGGAAGGGAGGGGGGGGAAGATTGATGGAAGGGAGGGGGGAAGATTGATGGGAGGGAGGGGGGAGATGATTGATGGAGGGGGGGGAGATGATGGGGAGATTGATGGGAGGGAGGGGGGGGAGATGATTTGATGGGGGAGGATGATGGGGAGGATTGATGGGAGGGAGGGGGGGAGATGATTTGACTGAGAGGGAGGGGAGATGACTTGATGGAGGGGGGGAAGATTGATGGAGGGGGCTTATGATCTGATGGGGAGATCATGGAGGGAGGGAGATGATTGATGGGAGGAGAGAGATGATTGGGGGAGATTGATTGGAGGGAGGGGGGGAGATCATTTGATGAGAGGGAGGGGGAGATTGATGGGAGGAGGGGGGAGATGATTGATGGGAGGGGGAGGATGATGAGGGGAGATGATTTGATGGGGGAGATTGATGGGAGTGGGAGGGGGAGATGATTTGGATGAGAGGGAGGGGGGGAGATGCCTTTGATGGGAAGGGGAGATACCTGATGGAGGGAGGGGAGGGAGGGGGGAGATGATGGGACAGGGGAGATGATTTATGGGAGGGGGAGTGGAGGATGATTAGGGGAGAAGAAGAGAAGATTATGGGGAGAAGAAGCCTAATTACAGGGAGGGAAGGGGGGAGAAGATTACAAGGGGGGAGGGGAGAAGATTACAGGGAAGGGGGAGAAGAAGAGAAGATTACAGGGGGGAGAAGAAGAGGAGAACACAGGGGGGGAATAAGAGGAAAACACGGGGGGAGAAGAAGAGGAGAACACGAGGGGTGGGAGATGAGAACGTAGTGGAGGGAGAGACCACTAAAGGAGGGAGGGGGGTGGAGGATAGACCACTAGGGGAGGGTGGGGGGAGAGGAGAGACCACTAATGGAAAGTCGGGGAGAAAAGGAGACCACTAAGGGAGGTGGGGGGGGAGAGGAGAGACCACTAAGGGCAGGGGAGATCTCTAAGGAATGGAAGGATGAGCTCTATAGGACAGGGGGACAGGGAGCTCTTTCACACCACGCGCGCACACACACACACACACACAGAAACACAACATGCTTCCCTTACACACAGAGAAATACACAATGCAACCCTTACACATAAAGACAATGCATCCTTTGCACATATACACAGAAACACACAATGCATCCCTTACACACTCATGCAAACACACACTGCTTCTCTTACACACACACAGAAACACAATGCATCTCCTACACACACTCAACGCACCCCTTACAGACACACACACTGCATCCCTTACATACACAGAAACACACTTTGCATCACTTATGCATACAAACACAGATTCACACAATGCATCCCTTACACACAACAAGAAACACACAATGCATCTCTTATACACACACACACACACTGCTTCCACTACACACAAACACACTGCATCACCTACACAAACTGGTATCCCTATACACTACATTCTGTAAGCACACACATTAGATCCTCTACAGTAACACATAACACAACCCCTACACACTCTACTCCCTGTGAGTTCATGGGTGGAACATGTAGGTGGATTTATGGGTGGGCTTTATGGGCATACTCACCGTCAGCTATGTAAGAGGCCCCAAAAAATGGAGCTGCTTCCCGTTCTCCCAGAACATTGAATTTTGTGACCACAGTTACAAACAGCCTCCAGAGATCCTGTTCTACACAAGACCAGTGGAGCCAGACTGCAGCCAGAGCCCATCACCATCCTCATCTGATTGTAAGTAGGCAATCTAGTATATTATTAGTGATACTAATCTCTAATTTACCTCACATTAAATGGACACTATAGTCCCCAGAACCACTGCAGCTTAATAAAGTTGTTCTGGTTTCTATAGTTTGTCCCTGCAGGCTTTTAATGTAAACACACACTGTGTGCAGCACTGGCGCGGGGTTCATATGGTGGGTGGGGCATTGCGATAACCCGGGGAGGAGGGGGGCGGCAAATCCTTCTTTTGCTTAGGGTGGCAAAAATCCTTGCACCGGCCCTGTCTATAGGCTCTCTCTTCCCCCCATGCCTCACTTACCTGATCTGTAGGCTCTCTCTGCCCCCCCATGCCTCACTTCCCTGATCTATAGGCTCGCTCTGCCCCCCCATGCCTCACTTACCTGATCTGTAGGCTCTCCCCCCGCCTCACTTCCCCGATCTATAGGCTCTCTCTGCCCCCCCATGCACCACATCCCTGATCTATAGGCTCTCTCTGCCCCCCATGCCTCACTTACCTGATCTATAGGCTCTCTCTGCCCCCCCATTCCTTGCTTCCCTGATGTATGAGCTCTCTCTGCCCCCCAGCCTCACTTCCCTGATGCTTATAGGCTCTCTCCCATGCCTCATTTGCACCTGATCTGGGCTCTCTCTGCCCCCCCATGCCTCCCTTGCCTGGTCTCATTGGGCTGCCCCCCCCCATGCCTCGCTTACCTGATCTGTAGGCTCTCTCTGCCCCCCATGTCTCACTTACCTGATCTGTAGGCTGTCTCTGGCTGCATGTGCTGTTCCTCTGCGGATTCAGACAGGAGAGAGAAGCTGGGATAATATGTAGCTTCCTGTCCCTGTCTCTCTCCACACACAGCGCCGGTATTGCACTGTATTTTCAATCTCACACGAAAAATAGCAGAACAAGCTGAAAAATTCTTTGTTTAGTGTTATCGTAGTTTGTTTTATGGTGTTGATTTTCTAATAAATTAAATTTTTCTGGCATTCATTTTTTGTATTTCTGGAATTTTTTATTATCCCTCCTTGTTTGGCTTGCATATGGCCAAGAAACTAAAAATGTATCTTTACTTCCTGCCGTTTTCTTTTCCCGGTCATAGACTATGGCTGCACTATGTTCCCAAAGTAGGGAAAGACTATCAGACTGGGGTTGGAGGGGTATTTATATTTATTCATGTCTAAATATGTTTGGGCATAGCTAACCCTATAGTCAGTGCTGCAGTGACCTATGACTGGAAAATTATATATATATACATATATATATATATATATATATATCCATTAAAATCAAGGTCTACTAGATTGGCATGGCAGTGGAGCTGTTGCTCCATTAGCTCCAAAATTAATCCATCCCAGATGCTTGAGCATCTTCTTAGAAAATGATGTAGGCCACCATGTTCTAAATTACATTTTGTTGCATAAACTGTTATTACTAAACCACCTAAACTTTCTCAGTTCAGTTTCAAACCTGGCCACACCCTTACTCACCTGTTGGGTGGTAGAGTAAGGGGGATGGGGAGGGCAGCTTATTGCTAAATTTTAGTTAGTTACGGAGTTGTGTGCTAACACTAGACAAGTCACAGGTCAATTTGACCTTTTTATGGCAGGGATGACCTTATCCCAGTTTATACATAGAGCATAGATTTCTGGGAGTTGTAAACTATTAGCCGAACCACAACTCCAAACTTATGACATCACACAGGGTGTATTTTTGGAACAAGAAATGGAAATACTAAACACTGGAGGGATAACATGGCATGAATTATGAAGCAAGAGTAACTGCTAAACCATAATAATAATACAATGTTTTTAAGAAGCCATCTGACATAACTGTGATTTATTTGATAAAATAGTATCTCTCACAAACTCGCAAAAAGTGTTTCTGGTGTCCACATGCAATAACACTGTTTCTCACAAAAAGTGATTATAGTGGAAAATGTGTATGTATGTATATGTATATATATATATATATATATATATATATATAATATGTTATATTTTACTTCCCTAGCTGGAATAGCCCTATATTATACATATAACTGTAATTTAACCTACCTCAATATACATGGTGCATGGACTGACCCATTAATTGTGTTAAATTATTGCATTACACCTAATTAAAATTATCATGCAAAAAAAATTGAATAGTACCACAAACCATATCTCAAACTATATAAAATAAGCATCCAAATATGATAGTTACAAGATAAAAATATATGAATATTGTATTTAGTAGTTAGGAATTTAGAATGCTGGAATCTCTCACTATAAAAAGGTTTACACGTTAAAAAGAATCATAGAACAAGACCATGTCAGAGTATCCCTAGGGATACAGGACATTGTGTATTTATTAGTCCAGCTCTCCTACTCGTCAACGTGTCCGTTCACAACAAGCCAATGATGGATGGTTGTCTGCCACACACCCCCTTCCCACACACTAATTGGCCCATTCGATTATGATTGGCAGACACACCGTCCAGTAGCAGTACGCTCAGTGCACGCCTGCAGTTTCTGTGCTCTCTGGAATGGTACGTGCAATTATACTGGGATGGGACGTGATGGCGTGGAATGTGAAAGGGGCGGGACCCCAAGCTGGTGACGCAAAGCAAGTGACGGAGGCGGAAGTGGAGTGTGTGCATTCTGCTCCCTGCCCGGAAATGGAGGTGAGAATTGGGGGTTCTGATCAGGAATATAACATTCCAATATAAATATTACACCTGGAGCCTGTCTGTAAATCGGAGTTCCAATCACTGCGGGTTCACGTCACTGAGCTATGTTCTATCAGTGGTGGGAAATCAGATTTACAGCAGGGCTCCCAGTGTCCTATTTATATTGAACTGTGTAAACTGGAGCTGATTGATAGAGAGATATATATATATATATATCTATCACACACACACCTCTAGACGTTAGATGAAAATAAAATGTAAATGTGTTTTGTATCATTTATAACTTTTTAACTCTTGACAGTAGCTGTCACTGTAAACATTATATTTAAAAAAAAAAAAAAAAGTATATTTAAAAAATAATTTATGTTTAAACAAAAAAAAAAAGTATGTGATCAAATAGTTTTGTCTATGCCAGGGGTAGGCAAATGTTGACACAACAGAGGTTGTGGACTGCATCTTCCCTAATGCTCTTACAACAAAAATGCTGGCAAAGCTTCAGTGAAAATGTAGTCCACAAAATCTGGAGTGCTAAAAGTGGAAAATGTTCCTGTTATATAAATGACAATAGTAATAATAATCTTCTTTGTTGGTGTCTTGCCAATATATGGGTTTTCTATCAGGGTTATCTATAGATCAGCGATAAAGGATATACCATAGGACATCTGATGTTCCTTTATTGTTTGTCATTCCTCTGGAATAGTAATGCAAAGCCTGTTAAACACCTGAAAAACCAGTTTAGAAATTGTATATTGCTGAATATAGATCTAATAATAATTTCTGAAATTCTTTAAAGTGTTTTAAGATGCATGTATATTATGTTCACTTTTAAATGTCTCAATAGTGATGTCCCGAACAGTTCGCCGCGGATTCCAGTCAGCAGACACATTCCAGCCAATCAGCAGCAGACCCTCCCACCTCCTGGACAGCTCACTGAGAATGCAGCTTCAAAATGGATGCTGTCCAGGAGGAGGGAGGGTCTGCTGCTGACTGGAGTCCGCGGCGAACCGTTCGGGACATCACTATGTTTCAATAATTATATGAAATTGAACTGTATATTTGGGTTATTGTTATCTAATCTCTAATGGTTTTATTAGAATTACTAAGGAAGTATTATGTATAAAGAACACTTGGGCAAAGTACTAAAAAGGAAAATTTTCATTTTTTTCCCCCCACTTTTAGAACATTGCACTACAATTACTAATTATAAATATAAGTACTTTCATCCTGTACAGAACATAGTAGAGCTTACCCACTGTTCAGTTAAACACCGTAACATTTGGAGTAGGTCACCTGTTAGCAGGGCTGAAATGTCAAGGTGTAATGATGAGTTATGCTTTTTTTCTTTTCTTCTCTAAATTTCCTGACACTGTAAATTTGACAGTTTTCGGAAATGGAAATTTTGAAGTGGGGGAATTTACCATAAAGAAAACCGCCACGGTTTAGAACAGTTTGATAAATAGCCCATATCATCCTCCGCTATCTAAATTGTTCATGGATGTTAATCCATTCAGGACCTGTCAGGTCAATGCTCACCTTTTGTCATTAGCTCACCTTGCTGCATCTCTCCCTCTCCTCCACAAAATGCCTTGATAATGTGCTGCGAGGCCTTCCGGTATAGACCACCCAGACTATACTTGCACAATCATGCGGAGGTTGTCATCTTCTCAAGTGTCAGGATCAATGGCACGTCATCTGTAATGGCATTGCAGCTTGCGAACCGACCAAAGTGGCGATCACTGCTGTTGTTGGTTAACAGGTCTAAATAGTCCATGCGCCTTGTTTGTCTTTTTTTTTTAAAGGAGAAAGAGGGGGATAGCCTCAGGGGCAGTACTTTAATGCAGGACTGACATGGGGGCATATACATCTCACCCCTAGAGATTTGCCTTTAACCCTTCCTCCACACTAAGGTGTACTGTGCTCACAATGTAGTGCAAGCTCTGTGTGTATATAAGTTTATCTGTATGTCTACCTGGTATTTGATCCCTCTGCCTGAACGTTTACCGTTCTTGGCTACATTTTTGACATGTCTCTGTCTGCACCTCGCCTTGGTTACTTTAACTCCAGTTATTTATTACATTCTGGGCTTCTTCTTGTAAACCCTGACAAAATCACTGATGTTCTATGGAATTAGAGCATTTAGTGGAAAAAGGTTTCCATAGAGTTGCAATGTTACAAATATAGCTGTGACGAAGTGCCCTTCGCCACTTGGTCCTGGAGAGGCCTGCTTGCCAGCCTCTTTCCCTGCGACTATGGCCCGGCCCTTTAAGAACATTATTGGGGCTTATGGACTTTCATTGGACTGGTGCTGGCCCTTTAAGCACATTTTTGGGACATGGGGAAAATTGGGACAATGCCCCTTTAAGACTCTGTCCCCAGACTTGGTTAAACTACTTTATTCATGCCTTCTTTACACTTGGTTCAGTAAATGGGGCTTACTGAACCAAGTACCACACAGGCGGACCACCCAGAAGTGGAAGTGTGCAGGCAATTTACCTCCCAGGCTGGGAGCCTGCTGTAGGTAAATTGCCGACCGCTGGGTGGCCGCAGTTCGTGCAAACGAACACATGGCGGCGGTCATTTTAATTTAGTTGAACGCGGTCACAGGTGTGTGTCACTGAATCTATGGAACTGAAATCGGCTACACATTTAGACGAACACCGCTGACCCGTACCTACTTCGACACTGCAGCTGGAGACTATGTGCCGTTCGAAGATTCGAACGCTCGTTCGAATGGGACTTTTTTCAGTGTAAAATAGACCGACTGCACAGCCCAAATCCATGGAACTGTTTTGGGCATGAAAATGTGCTTGCGGTCGGTCACAAAGGACTTCCAGCTAACTTTTTATCTACTGGACGGATTTTTATGATTTTTGAGTATGTTTATATTTAAAGGATGCAGATTAATAATATTTTTATGAAGATGGGATGTGTGGTTTTAAAGTTACAGTGTATGTGTAAAAACTGTATATTTTCTGCCTGTGATTAATATTGTGTTGAGATAATTGTATCACAGGCAGAGGGGAGAATTTCTGCTGGGATGAATGGGAGTGGTTTACTTTATTGTATGTGTTGTAATGTTTTTATTGGTTGTTCTGAAAAACCTGCATAAAAGAAGGCCCTTTGGTGCCAAGTAAACAGTTCTTCTTGACCCTTAGCACGTAGTCTTGTCTCGTGATTGGAGGGGACAGCTATACTCACACTGGGGATTGCTATGCTTTGCATACTCCCCTGAGCTTTAATCACTCAGCTCTTTTAAGAGCTTGTTTTAAGAGCTTGTTCCTGATACACTCTCCTGGAGGAGAGGTCTTTCCCACACGGTCCTGGAGGACAGAAGCTGATCCAGGGTGGACAGAAGACGGTGAGACTCCAGTTAAGCTACTGCGGTTGTGGAGTCTGCGGTGGTTGTGGTGTCCGGTGCGGTGCTTGTGGTCCTCAGCGCAGGCTAGGAAGCGTCCATCAACGGAAGGTACTCGGTCGGAGTACAGGGAATTCCTTTACAATAGTGTTCATTGTAGGTAAAGAACCAGATTTTTATAGTGACACAATGGTAATAGGACCTGTATGGTTAAAGGACCACTATAGGCACCCAGACCACTTCAGCTTAATTAAGTGGTCTGGGTGCCTGGTCCAGTTAGGGTTAAGCCTTTTTTCTCTAAACATAGCAGTTTCAGAGAAACTGCTATGTTTACATTAGGGTTAATCCAGCCTCTAGTGGGTGTCTCATTGACAGCCGCTAGAGGTGCTTGCGTGCTTCTCACTGTGATTTTCACAGTGAGAAGATGCCAGCGTCCGTAGGAAAGCATTGTGAATGCTTTCCTATGAGACTGGCTGAATGCGCGCGGCTCTTGCCGCGCATGTACATTCAGCCGAGGAGGTGGAGAGGAGGAGAGCTCCCCACCCGGCACTGGAGAAAGAGGTAAGTTTAACCCCTTCCTCACCCTAGAGCCCGGCAGGAGGGGGACCCTGAGGATGGGGGCACCCTCAGGGCACTATAGAGCCAGGAAAACAAGTATGTTTTCCTGGCACTATAGTGGTCCTTTAATGTTTTCAGGACCGACAGTGTGTCAGAACTAAAAGAACAGATTTTAAAAATCCTTGTCCTGAAGGCTACATTAAAATTTTCCATCTGTATTCAGATGCAGGAATAGCCTAAGCTTTTAATCTCCAGTAACTTATTTTTATGTAAATACTGTATATAATTATTTTTAAGATATTTGTTACTTAAAAAGAAATGCCTTTTGTTGGTTGTACTGTGTAGTTATTACATATTATTTACAAGTTTACCCTGAGACCCTCTCCACTCTCCTCATACTCCTGAAGCTGCCAGGGCACTTCCTTCTAAGGGAGGAAATTATTAAATGGTTGGAATAATATTGTAACTCTTGTCAGTATATATTTTACTTTGTTTGTCTGGCCATAAATTGAACATAGGACGTGCCATTTTTTTCATAAAGAATTGGGACATTCTTGATTTTATTAATGGACCAGAAAAACCACATTTTTGTAAACTTGTTGGCACTATTGCAACTGTAGATCAGCTCATCCTCCTGTTTAAGCATCTTTAAAGGAACACTATAGCATTAGGAATTCAAACATGTATTCCTGGTGCAATAGTGTTCCTCTACCTATAGCTGTCCACCCTTCTACCTCCACTGTGAGGATTTAAAAGGTGAATAGTACTTATTATGCTTTGTCGAAGTGCCGCCACCTTGGCTGAGATCCTCAAACTGGATGATCTCAGTCAATCCAATGCTTTACTGTAAGAAAGCATTGGGAGGCTAGTGCATGCCCTGAAAAACGCCGCTGTGCCAATCTAGAGCAGCAATGTTTTCAATTGCAGTTTTAAAACATCAGGGACATGGCACCTATATTACTTCATTGAGATTAAGTGGTCTGGGTGCCTATCTTTAATATGATCACTCTTCTAATACAGAAATCAGCTATAATTGATGCACATATTCCTCCTTAAGAAGAATTCAGTGCCTTTTATATAACTGTAGTACACATAGTGCTGATCCCTGCCATTGTTTGATAAAGAACCTTGTTGTGAGCTTGGTTATGGAATTAGGGCTCACATTCCATTTTGCTGAAGCTTGTTAGAATCTATTCATCTGAATGCCCTCTGTCGTATGCCTTGTAGAAGTTTGCTTGAATTGACACATTCAGCAAATTACTTAAATTATTCCTAAACTTTTCCACTTTGTCATATTTATGCATGCAGATTTCTATGTAGTTACTTGTGTATGCAGATATGAGCAATGATAATGGTACCCCCTAGCTGTTCTGTAGCACACACTGTTTAATTGATTTATTTTATGTGCCCATCAGATAAGATTATAGATATGAGGCATCTGCACTATTGGATCTAAGAAACTGTTGCAGTGTTTTTGCTATTTGTTACTTCCCTTAGCATATTATTGATTTTTGTACTGTTTGAAATTTCCTTATTGTCATGTTAATCATTCTATGTTTAAAACAATCTTCTCCTGTTCTTGTTTACATACATATTTTTATGTTTTATCTTTTTTTAAATAAAAAAAATATGTCTTAAACTGGCCAGTGATCCAGTGTCCGGAGGAGGATAGGCTCTTCTTGGCAGCTGCTCTATCTCTCCTAAGATCATAAATACTGATGGTCATGGGCTAATTCAATACTCCACATAAAGAAGCATTGGGAACCCTTGGCACATGTGTGACAATCACCACAATCCATCAAACTGATGCTTCTGATAGAGAAGAATTGAATCCGATGCTTATCTATGGGTAGTAATAGCAGTGTTCAGCATCATCAAGCTGTGGTTGATGATACCACATATAAATACCTACAAGGTTTGAATGTCTTCGTTGGGGAAGTAACACTAGTGGCTGTTCATCTGACAGCCACCACAAGTGTTGTTTACGTCAAATTTGAACTTTGGAAAGGCAGCATATCTGCATGAAGAGGAAGTTACTTTGGTGCCTAAAGGGATACTGTAGGAACCCAGACCACTTTAGCCCATTGAAGTGGTCTGGGTGCCAACTCCCGTCACCCTTAACCCTGCAAGTGTAATTATTGCAGTTTTTATAAACTGCAATAATTACCTTGCAGGGTTAAGTACTCCTCTAGTGGCTGTCTACCAGACAGCCACTAGAGAGACTTCTGGCTTCTTAGACGGCTTTTGGTCGGCTAAACAACGCTGGACGTCCTCATGCTATGCATGAGGATCTCCAGCGTCGCCGGAATCCCCATAGGAAAGCATTGAACAATGGCAATGGCGCGGGCGGAGCCTGACCCAGTGCTGAGGGAGCTGAATTCAGGTAAGTGATTAAAGGGGTTTCAACCCTTTCAGCACTGCGGGATGGTGGGTGGGAAGGAGGGGGCACTCCAGGATTCTACAATGCAAGGAAACAGATTTGTTTTCTTGGCACTAGAGAATCCCTCTAAGGGGACACTGTAGGCACCCAGACCACTTCGGCTCATTGAAGTGGTCTGGGTGCAATGTCCCATGTCCCTTAACCCTGCAATAGTAATTAGTGCAGTTATTGAGAAATTACTATCCAGGGTTAACTCCACCTTTAGTGTCTGTCTACCAGAGGTCCATTATCTGACCCTGGATGTCCTTATGCTCTGCATGAGGACCTACAGCATCAGATTTTTTCCCCATAGGGAAGCATTGAATAATGCTTTCTTATGGGAAAATCCTAATGCAAGCGCTGCCATTTATGCGCATTAGGTCTCCCCCACCGACGTCAGCCGGGGCGGAGCCTGACCAAACGCAGAGGGACATTGGCGCTGGATTTAGGTTCGTGAATGAAGGAGTTTTCAGACCTTCAGCACCGCGGGATGGGGGCATTGTAGGATTCTATAGTGCTAGGAAAGCGGCTTTGTTTTCCTGGCACTATAGAATCCCTTTAACCCCTTAAGGACACATGACATGTGTGACGTCATGATTCCCTTTTATTCCAGAAGTTTGGTCCTTAAGGGGTTAAAGAGGCAGTGCTACAGCATAGTTGCATAGTAGACACTCATGTCCAGGTATGAGTAGCTTCTTGCAGAAGGTACTTTAAGAAATAAGTTTTAGTGTTTAATTTGTGTCGTTTCTCATAATGCATTAAAGAAATAGATTTGTTACACTTGCACTAATTTTCTTTTTCAGTTTTCATCTTGTTTGTGGTTTTATTTTCTTAAATATTTTAAAATGGTTGCAAAATGTTTTAAAGGGACACTATAGTCACCAGAACAACTACAGATTATGGTATTTGTTCTGGTGAATATAATCATTCCATTCAGGCTTTTTGCAGTAAACTCTGTCTTTTCAGAGAAAATGCAGTATTTACATTACAGCCTAGGGATAACTCCTCAGATGGCTACCGGATGTGCTTCCTGCTACAGTGCTGCACACTGTGCAGTACTGCCATTCAGTGTCTCCACCCTCTGCATGAAAACCATGAACTCTCCACATAGAGATGCATTGATTCAATGGATCTCTATGAGAAGAAGCTGATTAACCAGAGCTGTGTTTGACAAGTTTTTGCTCTGCCCCTGATCTGCCTCCTTGACAGTGATTGGTTCAGATAATCATTTCTGATGATGTCAGCAAAGCAGGCAGATCAGGGGCAGAGGCAGCAGCTGCAGACTTGAATACAAATAAGATTTTAGATAGGGAGGCAATGGGGTGGGAGGGGGAGGTGTTGAGCGGAATATGGTTTTACACTATAGGGTAAGGAATACATGTTTGTGTTCCCTATCCTAAAGTGTTTCTTTAATTCAGACCTGATGTATAACTGCTTGTTTTCATATAAAGAGAGGACACTATATTAATACATTTATCTAAATCCTACAAAAATAAACATCGAGATGCCAGTTGCAGACTAAAATTAAAGTCAAATGCAGAAAATGTGGCAAATTATTTACATAAATGTTTTTTTTTTTGTTAATAGGACACTGGTCAGGATGGAATCTTGTCACCAGCTACCCCAGGAGCAGGCAAATCTAAGGTAATATATCAGTTTGTTTTTGTTTTTTCTTAATGTGCTTGCGTTATAAAATGTATTTTCATGTCTTCTTGAAAATATGTCCTTATTATTTTGTTTGGTTGTATTCATGAATAATGGTCCATTATTTTATTCCCCTTTCTTCTCCACCCACAATGTCACAGATGGGGCATGACCTGGTCCAATACAATGCTTCTTATAGAGGAACTTTGGGGTATAATGCTTGCTGTGCACACATTCCAACTTTCCCATAGGATAGCATTGAATCGATTCTTTCCTATAGGGTTTCCACATCATGTGATCGAGTTTTACTTGGTCAGTGCAGGAGAGGACTGGATGGACTTAACCCTAAAATGTAAAATGTTTTACATTGCAGGGTTAAAATGACTTGGACACTGCATCCAGACCACTTCATTGAGATGAAGTTGTATGGGTGACTATATTGCTCCTTTAACCCCTTAAGGACCGAGGACGGTTCAGGACCGTCATCGGCATTTTTGCGTTGCCGACCGATGACGGTCCTGAAGCGTCCTTTTTTTTTTTTTTGTTTTTTTTTTTTTTGCAGTTATCAGTGGGGTACAGAAGAGAAATGGGGAAGGGGGAATACCAACAAGTGTTGAAGACATGGTATAATCATTACATTACATTGTGTTGTGCTCCTTCTTAACAATGCTATGGTATAGAGTTCCATTCACAAGTAAACTCTAAGTTCTGCCTCGTCTAACATTACTTCCTTGCGTCCTCCTTTGTAATTCGTGGGTTGGTGGAGGGGAGAGGGGGGGGAGGGGGTAAACCTATGTACACGTGTGGGATTTCGTTGTCTATGTCTTTTCCTACTTTGTCCTTCTACATGTGTGTAAGCTCATAGTGGGGGTCCTGAACCGTCCTAACGGTCAGAGCTACTTACCTGATCGCCGTCGTTCCCCCGGCGGCGATCAGCGTGGCTCCGGTTGTGGGGAGACTGCCTGCAGCCCAGACAGTCTCCCCACGGCAGATTAGGACCCCTGTGGCCATGTGATCGCTCAACAGAGCGATCACATGGTCATAATAGGTGTCCATGTGTCTGCCTGCAGGGGGACTGCCTGTGCTGACAGGCAGTCTCCCTGCATGTGTAAAATCAATATAAAAAAAAAAATAAAGTTAATGTTAATAAAAAATAAATAAATAATTATATGTGTATATATGATATATAGACATATATTATATCTATATAATATATGTCTATATATCATATATATATATGTGTATTTTTATATTAATATGTACTTATATTAATATAAAAATACACTTATAATTAAATTACACACGTGTATATATATATAATATATATAATAACTATATTGTGTATATATATTATTATAAAATATAAATAATAAGTAATTTAAATTAAATAATTTTTTTTTAAATAATAAAAAATTAAAAAAAATTATATAGCTATATGAAATTTTATTCTAACTGTATTTTAAAATTAATATATATATATTTATATCAAAATACACTTAGAATGAATTTGTATATATATCTATGTATATAAAAATAAATAAAAATAATAAGAAATATACATACGTCCATATACAAAATTACATAAATAATTATATAAATATACACGTAGACTTCAAATATATAAATATGCATATATATTTAAATTCTACGTGCGTATTTATGTAATATTTTTACATAATTCAGTAATTTTATTGAGGGACCTGCCTGCCAACCCAGGCCGAAATTCCAGAGAATTTAATTTGCTAGCACTGTATTTTACCCTGTAACGTTCTACGACACCCTAAAACCTTTACATGGGGGGTACTGTTTTACTCGGGAGACTTCGCTGAACACAAATATTAGTGATTCAAAACAGTAAAACATATCACAGCGATGATATTGTCAGTGAAAGTGACTTTTTTTGCATTTTTCACACACAAACAGCACTTTTACTGATGATATAATTGTTGTGATACGTTTTCCAGTTTTTAAACACTAATATTTGTGTTCAGCGATGTCTCCCGAGTAAAACAGTACCCCCCATGTACAGGTTTTATAGCATTTTTGAAAGTTACAAGGTCAGATATATGGGTCAAATATTTTTACATTGAAAATGGCCAGGTTGGTTACGTTGCCTTTGAGAGCATATGGTAGCCTAGGAATGAGAATTACCCCCATGATGGCATACCATTTGCAAAAGAAGACAACCCAAGGTATTGCAAATGGGGTATGTCCAGTCTTTTATAGTAACCACTTGGTCACAAACACTGGCCAAAATTAGCGTTCAATTTAGTTTTTTTACTTTTTTCACACACAAACAAATATGAATGCTTACTTTGGCCAGTGTTTTCGACTAAGTGGCTACTAAAAAAGACTGGACATACCCCATATTGAATACCCTGGGTTGTCTACTTTAAAAAAAATATGTACATGTGGGGTGTTATTCAGAGATTTATGACAGATAATAGTGTTACAATGTCACTATTGATAAATTTTAAAATGTATGTTTTGAAACCGCAATATCCTACTTGTACCTATAGCCCTATAACATGCAAAAAAAAGCAAAAAAGCACGTAAACACTAGGTATTTTTAAACTCAGGACAAAATTTTGAATCTATTTAGCAGTTTTTTTCATTCGCTTTTGTAGATGAGTAAAAGATTTTTCAAGTAAAAGTCAAAATACATGTATTTTTTTCAATTTTTCATCAGATTTTTGTATTTTTTTTTAAATTAAAATACATGAGATTATATAAATAATGGTATGTAAAGAAAGCCCCTTTTGTCCTGAAAAAAACAATATATAATTTGTATGGGAACAGTAAATGAGGAAGCGGAAAATTACAGCCAAACACAAACACCACAAAAGTGTAAAAATATGCCTGGTCGCAAATGTACAACATCGCAAAAACAGTCCAGTCCTTAAGGGGTTAAAGGAACACTATAGTCACCTAAATTACTTTAGCTAAATAAAGCAGTTTTAGTGTATAGATCATTCCCCTGCAATTTCACTTTTCAATTCACTGTCATTTAGGAGTTAAATCACTTTGTTTCTGTTCATGCAGCCCTAGCCACACCTCCCCTGGCTATGATTGACAGAGCCTGCATGAAAAAAAAAAAAAAACTGGTTTCATTTTCAAACAGATGTAATTTACCTTAAATAATTGTATCTCAATCTCTAAATTGAACTTTAAGCACATACGGGAGGCTCTTGCAGGGTCTAGCAAGCTATTAACATAGCAGGGGATAAAACTCTTAATTAAACAGAACTTGCAATAAAGAAAGCCTAAATAGGGCTCTCTTTACAGGAAGTGTTTATGGAAGGCTGTGCAAGTCACATGCAGGGAGGTGTGACTAGGGTTCATAAACAAAGGGATTTAACTCCTAAATGGCAGAGGATTGAGCAGTGAGGCTGCAGGGACATGTTCTATACACCAAAAATGCTTCATTAAGCTAAAGTTGTTCAGGTGACTGTAGTGTCCCTTTAAAGCAAAATCAATTGAGTGGCAATCTGCTTTATTTTAGCATTCCTCATAATTCTTTAATTGTTAAACAGTATTTAAAAACAGAATCAAAACAACTTTAGCTTAATGAAGCAGTTTGAGTGTATAGATCATAGTTTCTCTGCATCTTTGCATCTAGGAGTAAAATCACTTTTGTTTCTATCTTGGCAGCTGCAGCTACATCTCCCCTGGCTATGACTGACATGCCCTGCATGGAAAAAAAATGTTTAGTTTTCGATCAGATCTTTAGACTCCCTTTTTTTTTTTTTCCCCTCCTGCTTTATAAATTGAACTTTAATCACACACAGGAGGCTCCTGCAGGCTATTAACTAAGCAGGAGATAAGACATCCTAATTTAAACAGACTGTGCAGTAAAGGAAGTTTAAACATTAGATACCTCTTTACAGGAAGTGTTTAGAGATGCGTGTGTCACATTTAGGAAGGTGTGACTAGGCCTGTATAAACAAAGTGATTTAATTCCTAAATTACATAGTATTGGGCAGCGAGACTGCAGGGACATGATCTACACTCTAAAACTGCTTTACTAAGCCAAAGGTTTGGTGCCCAAAGTATCCCTTTAAGTAACATGTCTTGGAGTTCCACTAACAAAATTATTTTTTAAAATTTGTATTTGTTTTCAGCCTAATTAGAAGCTTTTTAAAAGACTAAAAAAAAGCTTTTTTTTTTTTTTTTCTTCTTCTTCTTCATTGTTTTGCAGCTGGACTTACTGCCAAAGGAGGAGCTCATCAAATTTGCAAAGAAGCAAATGGTTGTTATTCAAAAAGTTAAGGGACGATGCTCAGGTATGTGTCAATATTTATTGTGTTAAAAACACAGAAGGTCTTTTTTCTTTTGTCGGCGTCATCATTTTGGTTGTATTAATACATGCCAGGTTAGAATTGCTCCCCCATAGACCAACTCATTCACAAACGTGGATAAATTATCTATTTTTGTAATGGCTTTTACTTAACATGACCATTTTGTACAATGTGGGTTTGAATAACCAGGCTGGAAAAATTGCCCCTTTGATGATTGGTTTATTTGTTTTGAACTTTTTCCCATGCTAACTTGCAATCTTTTCTTTTTTCTTCTTCAAAATTATTGTTTATGTACAGCAAACTAATGAATAAAGCCATTCGCTCAACAGTACCTCTATGTATGAATTCTGTGTTGTTAGGAAGATTACATCTGTCTTTAAGATATTATTTGGAAATCCTTCAAACTCTGTTTTTTTATTGGGGTGTTTATCTGATCATTAAGGGCACACAGCTTAGAGTTTGCACAGACTCACTCTACTTATTGGAAAAATGACTATAACATGTGATCATTTGATAATAACCAACATGATGACAACAGGAACAAACAAGCATCAAGATTACATACTATACTTCAAACAACTCGCACAAACTGGATGCAAAATTAAATGAGATTACTTCAAGGGACACTATAGTCACCAGAACTACAGCTTATTGTAGTTGTTAGGTGAGTAGAATCATTCCCTTCAGGCTTTTTGCAGTAAACTCTGTCTTTTCAAAGAAAATGCAGTGTTTACATTACAGTCTAGGGATAACTCCACTGGCTACTTCTTACATGGCTACTAGAGGTGCTTCCTCGGGCAGTGCTGCACACTGTGCAGTTCTGCCATTCAGTGTCTCCGCCTTCTCTATTCAGACTCAGAACTTTTCTCATAGAGGTGCATTGATTCAATGGATCTCTATGAGGAGTTGCTGATTGGCCAGGGCTGTGTTTGACTTGTGCTGGCTATGCCCGTGATCTGCCTTCTTGACAGTCTCAGCCAATCCTATTGGAAAGCATTGTGATTGGCTCACAGAATCACTTCTGATGTCGTCAGGCATGCAGGCAGAGGAAGCAGCTGAACACTTGAATACAAGTAAGATTTTACTATATTTAGGGAGGCTAAATGGTGGTACCTGACCTTATAGTGTTCCTTTAAAAAATTTTTCACTTTTTTTTTTATTTTTTGGGGCAGCTAAAGTGTATACTGCAAATTAAGTGAACATACTCATGTTGATCAGGACTGCATATCCTGCATGTATTTCCTGGAATCTATAGGTCAATAATAAAGGCGTAAAGGTAGGCAGACAATGTAATAGAGCAGCAGGAAATGCTTGGTTGTATAGGGAGAGGTATTGGCAGTAGAAAGAGGGAAGTGCTCATGCCATCGTACAGAACACTGGTGAGACCTCACTTGGAGTATTGTACGCAGTACTGGAGACCATATCTCCAGAAGGATATTTATACTTTAGAGAGAATTCAGAGAAGGGCTACTAAACTGGTTCATGGATTGCAGGATAAAACTTACAAGGAATGGTTATAGGAACTTAACATGTATAGCTTGGAGAAAAGACGAGACAGGGGGATATGATAGAAACATTTAAAAACATAAAGGGAATCAACACAGTAAAGGAGGAGACTATATTTAAAATAAGAAAAACTACCACAACAAGAGGACATAGTCTTAAATTAGTGGGGCAAAGGTTTAAAGCAGAGCTGTCCAACCTGCGGCCCTCCAGATGTTGCTGAACTACAACTCCCATGATTCTTTAAATGAAACAGATGGCCAGGGAATCATGGGAGTTGTAGTTCAGCAACATCTGGAGGGCCGCAGGTTGGACAGCCCTGGTTTAAAGGTTAGTGGATGCATGGAATAGTCTTCCAGCTGAAGTGGTAGAGGTTAAGCATGCCTGGGATAGGCATAAGGCTATCCTAACTATAGGATAAGGCCAGGGACTAATGAAAGTACTTAGAAAATTGGGCAGACTAGGTGGGCCGAATGGTTCTTATCTGCCGTCACATTCTATGTTTCTATGTAATAACTGAATCTGAATATCTTTAAAACTTTTACTATTCAAAAAGTTCAACCAGCAGCTTTATAGATACGCTAAGCACCAAAACAACTTTTAGCTTAAAGGAACACTATAGTATTGGAATACAAACATATATTCCTAATATTATAGTGCTGGACTATCTGTTTAGATGTCTAGCCCTCCCCTCACCTCCCCGATTGGTCGTGAAAATGTATTCTACTTAGATGTATTTCTCCATCATTGCACTGGTCTCCGTACCAGGTTGCAAGACCTAACTCAGGAAGACCCTTTGGCGACTGTCTGAGAGAGTCACTGTCTGAGACAGTCACTAGAGAAGTTCTTAGGCAGTAATGTAAACACTGCCTTTTTGCTGAAAAGGCAGTGTTTACAATGCTGGGCCTGCAGGGACATGCTATAGCCACCCAAACCACATTAGTCTGCCGTGGCTTTGGTGACTATAGTGTCCCCTTTTGAAGTCTCTACCATGCAGGCATGAAACTGTTAAGGACGGAAGCAATTGTACAAGTCCTGAAACAAAAAAACCTAGAATGTGTTTGTAACTGTAACTTAAGAGCTTTTCTATAAGTCCTCCCATACATATATATTGGGTTGTTTTTTTAAAGGGCAGAAAGCTCTTTCTTTTAATATCCTATATGTATGCCTAACACACCATTAACAGTGTTAAAAATTGGGTTGTTTTATGTTACACATCTAGTAAAAAAAAAAAAAAAGAAGAAAAAAAAAGCTCAGAATAGATTTGCATATCAGTCCTGATTATTAAATATTGATTAATACCTGGGTCTCCCTGGTGTGAGCAGGAATTTAACCCTGCTCACACTGCATTGCAGAAATAGACATTTAAATGGCTGTAGCAGCGCTGACAGTCTGGTGCTACTAAAATCTATTGATACCGGAGTCTTCTGATGCGAGCAGGGATTTAACCGTGCTCAAACCACATTGCAGTCAATGGGGATTTAATTACCCCTTTAATGGGCTGTATGCAGCTCTCACTTTGAGCATCTGCCAGTCTGGTGATGTTAAAAAGGGCCCCAAACGAAACTGGGGAGGCCCAAGTATTGATTCATATCTAGGTGTGAGCAAGAATTTAACCAGGCTCACAGTATACTGTTAGGATGTGTATACAAAAAAATTGGGGAGTATCTGCAAGGATTTAAAGACCATTAAGTATATTTGAGGGGGTGTAAAAGGACTGGGGAGGGTTAGTTATTCACTTTGGATTGTTACCTGACACTGTCAAGTCCCTTAGGAAATCCTTCACACAGTCGAAACGCGTAGGTCGCGTAGTGGTGACTTTTCATCACTACATCCACTGTTTTAAACATATATGTAAGTCAATAAATTGCTTTTTATTACACACACTCGGATTTGCACTACAATTTTATTTTTTATTTTCTTGAGCATATGTTCTAGAGCCTACATAAAGTGATTTGAATAAATCCAGAAGATTTAACCCCTGTAGGGAACTATATACAAGGCTTTATTAATTTGTGGAAAGTGTGAGTGGCCATTTGGATTTGCACTATTTTGGCACCTTATCCACACAGTTATATGCTATGTTGTTTTGCCTTCTATTGTTTTAGCAGATACTCCCCAGTTTTTTTGTATACATATTCTGTGGAAGACAAGAGGAAGTCTTTGGGGTACTCTCGAAGCTTTACCTTATACAGGGAAGTTTCTTTCTTCTTATATTTTATTTTCACTAAATGCACTTTTTTTGTGAACACAAATATCGTTTGGTATTTGCACTCTAATGTTAGGATGTGTCAATATGTCCTAACAGCGTTAAAGACCCCTATAGTTAGGATGTGTATTTCTATTATATAACTTTTATTTACTTTATTGCCTTATTAATATACACAAGCAAATCATACATGTAGACACATGCCAGCCTTTTGTATAACTCCTGAGTCCATAAGGTTTATAGAAAAACAATGTTTTAACCTCTGTGTCACTGGCATTATAGTGCAAGACTCAGCAAATGTAGTGTGTGTAACTAGCCATTTGTCTAAAATTTTAAAAATGTTTCTTCCAGATCTTGAGAAAGAAGTAGAGGTGCTCAAATCAAGACCAGTTAAAGAAGAGAACAATGATGTTTTACAGGTAAAGAGAGTTTTCAATTTCTATTTTATTTAGCTTGATGTTTCTAAGGGCAGATTTCTTACATTTTCTAAATGCTGCTGAGTTTTATAGACTTCCTCTGTGGGGATTCATGGAAAATTATCCGTGATTCTAGAAGGGAAAGATATTGAGTTTCTCTAAGATTCTGTCCGTTCTCATATTCTTTGTTTTTACTTCAATGCGTTAACTTGGCTCTCCCCAAGTTAAAAGGGAAATCCAGACGTGGACCCGTGCTCACTGTGCTTGGAGGGGTATCAGCTACACCTCACTGATGAGGCCCAAAGAAGGCAGAAACGATTGTCTGGGGTTGCTGTATCTCTTGTGCACAGGGAACTTGCTGGCATTTCGGTTCTGGGCTGCCCGTACGGGTGGGACCAGTCTGATATGCTTCAGGTATGTTCTCTCTGTAATGGCACAAGTGAGCAAAAATTACTTTTGAGACCTGCGTGGGGATTTACCGAAGGGCAAGCTATTTAGTTTCTCTAGGCTTTTGTCTGTTCTCAGAGTTCTTATATTCCTTGTTTTTGATTCTACAAAGGACACTTAAAGAGGTGCTTTCACTTCTCTGCAAATGCAGAAATGTTAATGGCGCGCATTGAAATGTCCCCGTAGAAAATCATTGATTTAATGCTTTCATATGGGGGATTCCGCATCATGTGACTTTTCTTTACTTGGTTAGTGCAGCAGAAGCACTATTAGAGATGGATTGAACACTGCAATGTAAACAGGAACCCTGTTTGCAATGTAAACAGGAACCCAGACCACTTCATTGAGATGATGTGCTCTTTTAGACTATAGTGTCCCTTTAAGCTTATTACCAGACTTGGATCCCAAAAGTATATATAATTTTTTTAAATGTAGACACCCATCTCTGTTAAAACAGAACTTTCTCGTCTTTGAAAATCATTTACACCATTAAATAAAACATTGAAAATCACCTGTCAACTATGTTAACTCTTTCATGCTCCACGGCACATGTTGCATTTGAGGAAGAGAACAGAAATAACTGCTTGTTAGAAAAGGGTAGCATTTATAGCTGTGAATGATGGGCAGCCAAGATGAAGGCTCCTAATTCCAATATAGGTGTCTGGATTTCTACATATTTAGTTTAAAAAGCGCTAGAAGATAATATTTGCTAAGTATACAAAAAGATGCCAGGTTATTTACTAAAGTGAGAATTCAACTAAAAAAGTTCTCCAGGTCAGCTATGCTTTGATCCAACCTTGAATTCTCACTTTAGCGAATAACCCTGGTAATATTAAAATTCCTGAGAACTGACATTAACCGTTTTAACCTAGGGGTGTTTTGCAACATTTGACGTTATAGAATTTTGGTACATATAAAACCATATATTCCCGGTCTTATTGTGTTTTACACCCCACCTCCTACAGATTGTAAACTTGTTTGAGCAGTGTCCTCTTCAACCTTTCGTTCCTGTAAGTTTTTTTGTAATTGTCCTATTTATAGCTAAATCCCCCCTCTTACAATATTGTAAAGCGCTAAGGAATCTGTTGGTGCTATATAAATGGCAATAATTATAATATATTATTTCACAAAAGTGAGTACACTCCTCACATTTTTGTAAATATTTTATTATATCTTTTCATGTGACAACACTGAATAAATGACACTCTGCTACAATATAAAGTAGTAAGTGTACAGCCTGCATAACAGTGTAAATTTGCTGTCCCCTCAAAATAACTCAACACGCAGCTATTAATGTCTTAACCGTTGGCAACAAAAGTGAGCACACCCCCTAAGTGGAAATGTCCAGATTGGGCCCAATTAGCCATTTTCCCTCACCGGTGTCATGTTACTCGTTAGTGTTACAAGGTCTCAGGTGTGAATGGGGAGCATGTGTGTTAAATTTGGTGTTATTGCTCTCACACTCTCTCATACTGGTCACTGGAAGTTCAACATGGCACCTCATGGCAAAGAACTCTCTGAGGACCTGAAAAAAAGAATTGTTACTCTACATAAAGATGGCGTAGGCTATAAGAAGATTGCTAAAACCCTGAAACTGAGCTGCAGCACGGTGGGCAAGACCATACAGCGGTTTCACAGGACAGGTTCCACTCAGAACCGGCCTCTCCATGGTCAACCAAAGAAGCTGAGTGCACATGCTCAGCATCATATCCAGAGGTTGTCTTTGGGAAATAAACAAATGAGTGCTGCCAGCATTGCTGCAGGGTTTAAATGGGTGGGGGGGGGGGGTCAGCCTGTCAGTGCTCAGACCATACGCTGCACACTGCATCAAATTGGTCTGCATGGCTGTCGTCCCAGAAGTAAGACTCTTTTAAAGATGATGCACAAGAAAGCCTGCAAACAGTTTGCTAAAGACAAACAGACTAAGGGCATGGATTACTGTAAACCATGTCCTGTGGTCCGATGAGACCAAGATAAACTTATTTGGTTCAAATGGTTCAAGCATGTGTGGCGGCAACCAGGTGAAGAGTACAAAGACAAGTGTGTCTTGCTTACAGTCAAGCATGGTGGTGGGAGTGTCATGGTCTGGGCCTGCATGAGTGCTCCCTGCATTGGGGAGCTACAGTTCATTGAGGGAACCATGAATGCCAACTTGTACTGTGACATACTGACGCAGAGCATGACCCACTGCCTTCGGAGACTGAGCCGCAGGGCAGCATTCCAATAGGATAACGACCCCAAACTCACCTCCAAGACGACCACTGCTTTGCTAACGAAGCTGAAGGTAAAGGTGATTGACTGGCCAAGCATGTCTCTAGACCTAAACCCTATTGAGCATCTGTGGGACATTCTCAAACGGAAGGTGGGGGAGCCCAAGGTCTACAACATCCACCAGCTTTGTGATGTCATCATGGAGGAGTGGAAGAGGACTCCAGTGGCAACCTGTGAAGCTCTGGTGAACTCCATGCCCATGAGGGTTAAGGCAGTGCTGGAAAATAATGGTGGCCACACAAAATATACTTTGTGCCCAATTTGGACATTTCCTCTTAGTGTACTCACTTTTGTTGCCAACGGTTTAGACATTAATGGCTATGTGTTGAGTTATTTTGAGGGGACAGCAAATTTAAACTGTTATACAGGTTGTACACTTACTACTTTACATTGTACCAGAGTGTCATTTCTTAAGTGTTGTCACATGAAAAGATATAATATATTTACAAAAATGTGAGGGGTGTACTCACTTTTGTGAGATATATATATTCAAACCGACTACTTACCATTTCATTTTTTTTAAACTTTTGCTATTTGCTTGTAAATGCAAAAAGAGACACAGCACCCAGACCACTTCAATTAGCCAAAGTGGTGTGGGTGCCTGGAGTGTCCCTTTAAAGGACCACTATAGTGCCAGGAAAACATACTCGTTTTCCTGGCACTATAGTGCCCTGAGGGTGCCCCCACACTCAGGGTCCCCCTCCCGCCCGGCTCTGGAAAGGGGAAAAGGGGTTAAACTTACCTTTTTCCAGCGCTGGGTGGAGAGCTCTCCTCATCCGCCCCGTCGGCTGAATGCGCACGCGCGGCAAGAGCTGCGCGCGCATTCAGCTGGTCACATAGGAAAGCATTCTCAATGCTTTCCTATGGACGCTGGCGTGCTCTCACTGTGAAAATCACAGTGAGAAGCACGCAAGCGCCTCTAGTGGCTGTCAATGAGACAGAAACTAGAGGGAATGGGGGAAGGCTTAACCCATTGATAAACATAGCAGTTTCTCTGAAACTGCCATGTTTATGAAAAAATGGGTTAACCCTAGAAGGAGCTGGCACCCAGACCACTTCATTAAGCTGAAGTGGTCTGGGTGCATAGAGTGGTCCTTTAATACTGGAAACCTTCTGGAAAATAAAATCAAACTTGATTCTTTCTTATACCTGTGCTGCATGTACCTGTGACTTGTGTATTTACTTGTATATTCCTCCCTCTTCTGCTAGGCACTCAGTGAAAGACTTGACTCTGTTCTTTTAGAAAAAGCTGAAATTCAGCAGCAGTTGGTCATTCTGAAAAAAGAAAATGCAAAAACAAAACATGAACCTGAGGTAATTCTGTTTTGCTTTCTTCTCTACATCTACTCAAAATCAAATAAGGTGGCAATTGTGGAAAATTGACAATGGAATTGCACAGTTTAGTTAAAAAGGTGTTGTTTTTTTTGTTTTGTTTTTTCTCAATTTATCTATTTGCATCTAAAATTTGTTACTTCTTTATCAATTCTCCACAATTTCTGTTTTAGTGACTTATTTATAGCATTATTCATAGCACAGGTGTTAGCAATTTTAAGATAAAATTATCGTATTTTTATAATTCTTTAAATCACCTCTGTCATGCCAAAGTTATCTTTCTCAAATAGTTTCCTCTTCTCTTCCTCCATTTAAATCTTTTATTAATACCTAGTAACTTGTCTTATGTATCTTTCCTCCTCTTGAGAAATCGATTTGTCAAGTCCCCTTGTCTCGTCCTTTCTTTATAATCTCGCTAACCATCCGTCCATTCTGCATACTTATCAGGATCTGTTTCCACTCCAACCCTTGGCAATCTTCAGAACCTCGCCTCCTCTTTGACGTAGCTGTTCATCTCTGCTCCTGTCCTACTTGATTATTGTATCTACGAAATACTCCTAAAACTCCAGCAGCCCACAATATCTCCTCTTCACTCCCACTCCCAGCTAACTCTGCTTCTCCAAGCCACAAACTCCACGACTCCAACTCCCTAGACCACAATGTATGTAACTGCTCCATGCCAGCCCTCAACTCCTCCACATGAGGGGGAAAGAAAACAGTCGGCATGCGTATTATTTAAAGTGTACGTGAAGGCAGCAATGACTTTGGCAATAGGTTGGATAGAATTCTTGCATTAATATCATGGAATTATGATGAATAGAAGAGAAAGCAATACATGGGGGTCATTTAGGACTTAGTGAATCGTAGGGAGGACAATAAAACAAAATCGGGTTGGCTACTTTTAGATCTATTTTCATAAATGTTTTATTTAAAAAAAATAATTTTTTTAAATATTCACTTTTCTCAGTCAGTCTCTTTAGCTTTCCATTCATTCACAATCCATTTAACTCTGAATTATCAAAATACTACCTTTTTAATTAATTTAAAGGACCACTATAGTGCCAGGAAAACATACTCATTTTCCTGGCACTATAGTGCCCTGAGGGTGCCCACACCCTCATGGCCCCCCTCCCCCTGGGCTCTAGGGGGTAGAAGGGGTTAAACTTACCTCTTTCTCCAGCGCTGGGCAGGGAGACTCTCCTCCATCTTCTTCTGTCACCGGCTGAATGCGCATGCGCGGCAAGAACCGCGAGTGCATTCAGCCAATCCATAGGAAAGCATTCTCAATGCTTTCCTATGGACGCTGGCGTTTTCTCACTGTGAAAATCACAGTGAGAAGCACGGAAGCCCTCTAGCGGCTGTCAATGAGACAGCCACTAGAGGCTGGATTAACCCATAGGTAAACATAGCCGTTTCTCTGAAACGGCTATGTTTACAGAAAAAAGGGTTAATCCTAGCTGGACCTGGCACCCAGACCACTTCATTAAGCTGAAGTGTTCTGGGTGCCTATAGTGGTCCTTTAATTAGAGCCAATTTCATTCATCAGCAGTTTATCGGCTCCAGTACATCCATCCCAACTTATATTTTTAAAATAGACTCCACCTGCGGCCACTAGATCCCCTCCTTGATTATATTAATAGCCCATACCTGCTGCCCATGGTTGGAGGCTGAGGGGGAGTGGGGCAAACACTAGAATGCACCACCCCACTTTTATTTAGTAGCCCACCACACTCTGTTCACAGAGCAGGGTGTTGGACAGTTACCTGTCCACTCACTATTATTTGTGAGTCTCCACCTGATGCACACAGGTAGAGGACCTGTGCAAAGCCTCCTCCATACTTTACTAGCAGCTAGTCACTATTTTTTAATTTTATTACAGTGAGCAACAGCTAACTGCTCACTGTTTAGTGCCCCAAACTATCTGCATTGAGTGAGGGCATGTCTACTAAATATTTGGGTCATATTGATTCCAATGGGCTTTTTGTTTTGTTTTGGTTTTTTTAATGAAAAAATAAGGTTATGTTACTAATAAAGACTGATAAATGTGCTTCTGATGCATCTTTATTGGCGGTTTTGTTTTGAGCTGCTGGCTCTTTAATCAGGTTTGGCTGCTTGAATTTTGGCTGGCATTTATTCAAGACAAATTTTGATTAAAAAAAAAAATATCAAGCAATAATCCTCAACTGGTTTCTGAGAATAGAATTAAATCAAGACATACTTTAGAAATCAGAGATATAAAATTATAGAATGATATGAAACATGTGGTTGATTAGAACAAAGCTATATATAATTCTAAAAATACAAACATGAAGTAAAACATAGAAGTATAAGACTCTTTACATAAAGCATGCTTTACATTTTTCATTGTTGTAAATGTATTTACATTTTTTAGGATGCTGAGACAAAAAGATCGGAGCTACAGAAATCTTGGGAAGGGTCGCACAACAGCTTATTAAAAGAGGTAGAAACATTAAAGTATGAGCTGCAGCAAACTCGATGCAGGCAAAAAGACGAGGTGGATTCGATGCAAAGAGAGCTGCAAGATGCTATTGAAAGACAAAATGCTCTTTCAGATTCCCTACAGTTATGTGAAGATAAAAAAGCAGAGAGTAAAAAACTGGAAGAAGAAGTTCAACAGCTCCACAGAGCCTACAAAGAACAGATATCTGATTTAAACAAAGCTTTGCAATCCGTCACAGAAGAGAAAAATCAGGAAATCGCCAAGCTCAAAGATGCAGCGTTGTCATGTTCAGAAGAGTACTGTGCTAAGACCCAAAACCTTAATGAGGAACTTTTAAAGCTTGGTTCTGTACACCAGACTGAAGTGTCCGAGCTAATGAATAAGCTTGAGTATGTAGCAAAGCAATATGAGAGTGAGAAGGAGAAAACGCAAGACCTGATTAAACAGTATGAAAATAAAGAGAGGTTGTTGATTGAAGAAACCGAGAAAAAAGCAAAGTATGAGTGTGAAATCCAAATTCTCAGAGAAAAACTAGAGAACCATAGTAGTACTTTTGATAGTACACCTGTAGAACAAGGTAAAGCTGAACACCTGGAAGGCCTTTTGGCTGAGTTAGAGTCTCGGCACAGCATTCTGAGAGATGAGCTTACCTATACAAACAATGTGAAAGCCGAATTGGAAATGGAAGTACAACAACTAAAAGCGGAGTATTTTCACGAACGAGAAGACCTGGAATTCAAGATAAATGAGTTGCAACTTGCAATAGAAGACTACAATAATTTAACAGAGAAATTACAATCTCAACTTCAGACCACAAAAACAGAGTTTGAGAGACTGAGGACAGAGCAAAGCAAGGGAATCCAAGATATGAGAGAACAGCACAAGAAAGAAATAGCAGAGTTGAAACAAGCAATATCAGCACGCTTTGAAAATGAGAGATCAACATTAACAGATGAAATAAATGTTCTTAAGGAACAGTGTGTTAAACTTGAGGAGGAAAAAGAAGAGGCACTAAGTAATTATGATTCCATCAAGCAAACACTTCTTAACTTTGAAATGGAACTTGGTGAATCTGCTGGCAAGATCAGCAAAGAGTTTAAAGCAATGAAAGAGCAACAGGCCACCGATGTCCATGAGCTTCAGCAGAAACTGAGATCTGCCTATAAAGACAAGAATGACTTGATGGAAACTGTGAACAGGCTAAAGGCCGAGGCAGAGAATTTATCTTCCAAGAAAACTGAATATGATGAACTTCAGCTTCAAATTAGTCACCTGCAGAAGATGAATGAAGAGATTATGGCATCACTGTCCCAAAAAGAGGAGATTCTAAAAGACACAGAGGTCAAATTTAATCAAAATACAGTGCAAAACACAGAGATGGCCTCCAGTATTAGTTCATTAAGTGAGAGACTATCAGAACTGCAGACAATGTGCAAAAGCGAGGAAGCAAAGAATTTGGCTTTACAGCAGGAAGCTGAATCTCAGGCAAAATGTAATGCTGAATTGAAAGAAACCATAGACGAGTTAACTAAACAACTAGAGGAATCTATGAGCAGCAGTCACCAGAATCAAGGTTGTGTCAACAGTCTCCAACAGCAAATGGATATGTTGGTTCTTGAGAAGCAAAAGATGGAGATAGAGTTACAAAATGGCAACAATAATGTTTCAAGACTTGGAGAAGAAAACAATATGCTCGTCAGAGAGCTTGATAAGCTTAAGACTGAACATGATGACTGCCTCACATTAAGAAATGAACTTGAGGAAATGAGAATTAAATTGCAAGACATTGCAGAAGGCAAGGAATGTACAGAAAAGTTGCTTGAAACGGAGAAACACCAGATTGAAGCAATACAATGTCAGCTTATTGTTGTTATGGAGGCATTGTCACTTGAGAATAATGAAGAGCAAGATCTAATACTTGAGCTTCAAACAATCAGTGCTGCAGTGTGTCACCTGAATCAAGAAAACCAACATCTGACATCACAGATAGATGAGAAATCTGTTCAACTTGGGAGACTACAGGAAGAATTAGAGTCTCAGTGTGCCGAGTTAAGAGCTTTATCAAGTGACTACTCTAAAGAGAAAATGCTGTTGAAGGAGGAATTAGAGGAAACCCTTGCAGACAAAGAAGCCCTGCAAATGGACCTGCTAGAGATGAAAATTGCACTCGAAAAAGCAAAGCTGGAAAATCAGGACCTCCTTTCTCACACAGAAAAGCTTGCTGCAGACCTGGAGTGTATTGAGAAACCGAAGACATCGACTAATATAGAGTCCAATCAGGAAGATGTAGAAAATAAGGATTCTAGTATCCATGCGCTTACACAAGAACTGGACTCCGCTAAGGTTAGTTGTTGCATTTTGAAAAGTGTGTTATCCCATCTATTCATACTTTCATATCCATCTAAAACTCCCAAAATAACCATATGCAATCACTGAAATCATCAACATCTTGGAAGGTCTGAGCACTAGACAAATTCCCTAAATTTTTATGGAGATTTTTTTTTTTTTTTTTACAGATTGTACCATTTTGGCCAGTGATTAGATATATAGTGCAAATTTAAAAATTACTCTTATGCACCATGATATCTCATGTTGGACTTTGGAAGGTTTCCCTTAGGCACAGAAACTCTAGAAATCATCTTCCCCCACTGTGCAAAAAAAATAATCTACAAATATCCCACCGTCCCCAACTTGGCATGCAGATGAGCACAGACTTCATTCATGATTTCTCGAGTATCTGTGTCCCGGGGGGACTTCTCAAAGTTCAACTTGAGATAAGACGTGATGCATAACCATAATTTATAATTCTACTGTGCAAATGTTTTAGGCAGGTGTGAAAAATGCTGTAAAGTAAGAATGTTTTTAAAAAATAGAAATGTTAACAGTTTATTTTTTTTATTAGTTAACAAAATGCAAAGTAAGTGAATGTAATACTTGTGGAAAAGTTATTTGGAACTCATCCGCAGTTTGTTTCTGTCACTTTAAGAAAATAATATTGATGGAAATAAAACAATTTTGCTTTGGCAAACTTCTGTTGTAATAAGATTCTAAAATGATAATGCATGAGCAAAGATAATCTTGCAGGTTATTGGTTCAATCTGAATCGATTGGCACATAAATTAAATATGGCAATTCATTAATTAGGAACATATAAAGTTATTTTACTTCAGCAATACTAACACAAAGGTAATTCTTCTTAGTAAATGAAACCGAGTCCTTTTGGTTCTGGCAGAAGTAATAAATGAATAGGTCTCATTAAGAGATGAGTAGTTGAATCCCAGATGGCAGACAATTATATTCCTTCTTATCCTTCCCAATAACTTCAGGCGCGAACCAATTAATAATCCCAAGAACTGGAGAACTTATTTTGCTTACTTTGAATGATGTGCAAGTCCTTTCCAGAAATTATGAGGGTTATGGTTCCTCGAAGTATGTAGAGGAATAGAGAAAGTGGAGAGATCAGCGTAGTCGGGAGTAAGCCATTGGATTCGGTACACAGAGAAGACAGTGTTGTCAGGAGCAAGCCAGATGGTTGGGTACACGGAGAAGCTAGAAGTAAAGCTCAGACAGCAATCTGAAGCAAAGTAGCAAGTATGCAAGAGGCACAAATTGATTGAGCAATCTTGATTAGTTTGCAGCTTCCTTTTCAAAGGGAAGTGTGTTACGTCAGATGGATCGACGAAACCCAGAAGTCATACAGGTAATGCCGATCGGACAGGAAACATTATGGAGGAATTCTGACAGTGAACAGAAGGAAAATGAATCATTATTCCCTCACTTTGCATTTTGATAAAAATGATAACTGTTTACATTCCTGTATTCGAAAGCATTCTGTGGTTGAGCTCCTGTACCCCGACCGAATACCTTTGCCCAGTCCACTTCCTAGCCGCTTTCTGGGATCCTGTAACACTTCAGCCCCAATAGCCAAAGTTTGACTGAGGTATCTCTCTGGAATGCTCTTCTTCCAGGCAGGTATTGTCCCCTCTGACTATTCCTCTGCAGCTCTCTTTCCCAGGCAGGTGTCCACACTTCTGCCCACTCTGTGAATAGCTCTAGCTTTTATAAAGGCACTTGTGGCTTTTAGGCCTACATCTCTTTTTGACTTGACCCAGGCTAGAAGGTTCGTGCAGCCAGCCAATTAGTTCAAAGACTCTATTAATGAAATTCCTAAACAAATCCACACAGGACACACCATTCCAAAAGGAACTAACATAATCTTTATTTTGGACAAGGATTAGCCTTTGAGGACTAGTCCTGAAACATGTGGTGACAAACATTTAAAATATATATATATATATATATATATATCTATATATATATATATATATATATAGATATATATATATATATATATAGATATAGATATATAGATATATACACACAACATTGGAGAATGAGCAATTTATAATTAATACATGGACTGTATAATGCAAGTAATATTTCCAAACACAATAAAAAGCAACAATATATACATTTCGTCTTACAGTTTATCCTCGGATCTCGAATTTAATCCATTCGAGAAGGCTGTACGAGATCTGATTTGTTCAAGAACCAAATCAAAAATTCCCATAAGAATTAATGTAAATTAATCCATTCCAGATCCCCAAAAGTACAACATTTTAACACAAAGTTTACAGTTTAATACCTTACATGCCTAAAGTCATACAGAAAAACATTAAACAATGTAAATGAAATTAAATTTTAACTTTGCTTCACCTGTAATGATGAGAGTTGATGGCATAAGTGGAAAGGAGAAGAGATGTTATTGTTTGGATGGGGAGTCCCCTTCCATAATCACAATAGGTAACTGTTCTTCTGGCATTTTTTCCCTTGATCGTTTCACACCACTGACACCTTGTTGAGACTCACTGGACCTTTTCTTCACAAAAATATTTTTAAGTGAGACTTGTTGCCTATGTTTTAAAATTTGTCTTAAGTAAGACAGAGCATTCCTCAGATGCCGTCTGTTGCTGCTCCATTTCTTAAAGACATAATATCCTCAACAACAGGAGCATCCTGTTTAAAACCCTCTCACAATTTTCCTCTTGAGTTGGCTAATGTTCTTGGGATCCATGGTGAGTTTTTGTGCAACTAAGGGCTGACAGAATGGAGCTCTGTTCGCTTTGTCTAGCGCTAACAACTGATGCGTCATACCAACGAGGTACCAATAAAATAAATTCTGCAAAATCTCTTCGCTTACCTAGCTTTTGTTCTGGTTCTGCCACATTTTTATTTTTTTTTCTCAATTTTTTTTTTGACTACCTAATTGTTCAGGTAAAGGACTGTTTGAGTTCCAATGTTCCCTGTATTTTGTTGCCCTAATTTGCATAGCAGCATTATGCAAATGTGCACACTTCTATGCACTCAGCAGAGGGCACTGCAGAATTATCAAAGTAACAATGTGTAGTCTGTACATTGATTGCTGTTCACACACCTCTTTTAGGGGCTCTTGGGACCGAACTTCTGTCGCACGTTCTTACTTTACAGCATTTTTTTACTATCTTTAATCATGTTTGTAAATGGCATGTAACAACATACATTTTCAGAAACAAGAGCATGTATCCTAAGATTAGAAAGTTGAGCTGACAGAAAAATATTACTTTTTCTTTAGACTTTCTTAGCATATCATGACATTGTTTGGAGCAAAGAGGAGAGGAATGATGCAGGTTAACATTTCTCTGTATAAATAAATATATATGTATGTATGTCTGTATTTGTGGTCGGAAACATAATAATATGCGTGATTCGAGTTAATGCAAAGTTGGTTGGGGTGTGCCATAACCAAGGTACTGGTAGGCCTGTAATAAAAAGAGGGCCCACCAAGAATATAAAAGTATAAGGGGTGGGGTGGATGGGATAACCTGAACGAGAATGGCATATATACACTGAACAAAATTATAAACGCAACACTTTTGTTTTTGCCCCCATTTTTCACGAGCCGAACTCAAAGATCACAATAGGCCTTTTTCTCTCAAATATTGTTCACAAATCTGTCTAAATCTGTGCTAGTGAGCACTTCTCCTTTGCTGAGATAATCCATCAGCATGATTATTGCACAGGTGTATATGTATATATAATATATATATGTGTGTGTGTGTATATATGTATATATATATATATATATATATATATATATAAAACAAGAGGGGGTTGGCTGCACTCACCTTAACATGCATAAATGGGTATCTTGTGTATTATATATATATATATATATATATATATAATTTGCTTGTTGGGCTAGGATAATTGTTGAAAAGTGTTTTCTTGAATTTACTCTATCCTTCTATAGACTTCCCAGGGTCCAGCTGGAGATATGTAAGAGATGTACAAAAAATTAATAAACAAACTATTTAAAATTAAATGTTTACAAAACCAATATAATTTTTGCACCCATTCAGTAAGTAAAATTCCTGAACCTAGCAACAGACCACTATAGTATTAGCAATATAAACATGTATTCCTAATGTATTACAAACTATCTAGGTAGCCTCCTCGTTTACACTAAAAAGAAAAGCCTTTTTGCTTGCCTTTTAGCCCTAGTGCTTCTGGCCCGCCTCCCTGTCTGAGATCTATTCCAATCCAATTCTTCCGGTGCTGCGAGAGTCTGACTCCACTATTGCAGCAGAAGATAGCCACTAGAAGTACTTTTAACCCAACAATGAAAACATTGCCATTTCTACAAAAAGGATATTGTTTTCCATTGCAGAGTTACAATGGCAGGGACACTGTACACAGACCACTTGATGGATTGAAGTGGTCTGGGTGAATATAGTGTCCCTTTAATAAGAGAGCTTTTTATATATAGACGTGTCAGTATATTGGCTAGCAAAACATACGATTTAAATGTTATTCTCTCATGATATTCAAGTTTATTTGAATGATATGGACCTCTTTTTAATGATTCATTTTAAAACTAGACATTGTTGATAAAAATGTGATTCTATGTAATGTTTTAAATTGTATTTCTATTTCTTTTAGGATTTACTGTCAAAAGCAAAAGCTTTAGAACTTGAACAGCAAACATACATGTCAGAACTTCAAAACAAAATAGGTATTGTGTCTTTCTCTCTCTCTTTTTCATATTTGACTGACTATTACATTGTTCTTTCTCATTACAAATATAATCTGTCTGTACATAAGAGTATTAGTGGAGGTTTCATTGGCTATATATCCTTTTGTAACAAGAATTGTATACATAGAAAATGTGGTACATTTAGAAATTGCACTTGTAAACATAATTAGATGAGTAATGATATACTGCCTCTGTATATTTTGTAATGCATGCATATAACCAAAATCTCTTTTCAGTGAATCTCTTGGCTTACCCTTACTCCTTCGGGTCCCATCTTTAAAAGTGCATTACATTGGGCTTGCAGAGATTATCTAATCTATACATAGGAAGAAAAACTTACACAATCTTCATTTTCTGCCTTTTCTTTAGAGTATTACAAAATGATACAGAGGTCATGATATGTTATATTTTATTATTGTTAATGGTTTTTCCTTTATGTACATATGGGAGATATCAAACATCAGGGCTCAACAAACCCAGCTCGCCATGGCGACAAAATATTGTCCTAGTGCCTGGGAGTTTTTCAGCCCATCCATTCCTGGAGAGGGCCGGCTGAGGGAGAATAGAGATGGGCTTGTGGCTGACCTGCCAAGAGAGAGAGAGAGTGGAGGCGGTCTTTTGGCCAACTGAGGCAGAATGGAGACGGCCACAAGGAAGCAGTCATCTTTTTGCTCTGCTCACTCGTGCACCCTGCTGTGATGCCAAGAGCCGGGATATGATGTCACTCCGGCCTCGGCATCTCTAAACAGCAAACGAGGGAACAGAGCAGGAAGATGACAGGATCCACTCCAGCTCCCTAAAGGTAGGGAGGCTGAGTGGACGTAAATTACAGTAAAACACATAACAATTTGTGAGAGAGCGTGTGTGTGTGTGTTTCAGTGAAAGTGTGTGTGTGTCTGTTAGTGAGAGTGTGTGTTCTGTCAGTGCTTGTGTCAAATCACAAGATTTTGGAGAGTTTCTGTAGGTATTTTTGCCCATTCATCCAGTAAAGCATTTGGGAGGTCAGACAATGATGTTGGACAAAAAGGCCTGGCTCACAATCTCTGTTTCAGTTCATCCAAAAGGTGTTCAATGGGATTGAGATCAATGGGATTGGGCTCTGTACAGCCAAGTTCTTCTACATCCAACCATGTCTTTATAAACCTTGCTTTGTGCACAGTCATGCTGGAATAGAAAAGGAACTTCCCCCAAACTGTTCCCACAATGTCGGAAGCATGGCATTGTCCAAAATTTCTTGGTATGCTGAAGCATCACTGGAAGTAAGCGACCTAGCCCAACACCTGAAAAACAACCCCATACAATTATCCCTCCTCTACCAAGCTTTACAATTGGCACAATGCTGGTATCGTCAGGCATCTTTGGATTGGCTGAGATTACCAAAATCGGCTAGTGTTGGGAGCCCAGCACAGTGTGGGGGGGAAAAAGGGTAAAGGGGGGGGCTAGTCACCCAAACAGACACTCTCACTGACAGACACACACACTTATACTGCAACACTCACACACGCGCAAATAATTATTTTTTTTTTTTTAATTTGCCCACCCAATCTTCCTACCTTTGGGAGAGCTGGAGTGGATCCTTTCCTGGGTCCAGTGGGGCTGCTCTGATCAACTCCACGGTCTTCTTGCTCTGCTCCCGGGTGTGCTTTTTAGTGATGTCTGGGTCGGAATTGCGTCATATTCCGGTTCCCGGTATCAAGGTGTACCCACGAGGGAGCAAAGCGAGAAGATTACAGGTTTGTTTTCCTAGAGCCTGCCGCACCGTTTGCCTCCACTCTCAATGAGCCGGCTGCACTGCCCACCTGCCTCTGCTCTGTATAAGTTAGCAGCTCAGCCCCTAGTTGCCATGGTGACCTGGCGCTTGGGATTTGTCGAGCCCTGATTTAAAGCACAAAAACGGATATGTTAAAACAATACAGTCTTAACCCCTTAAGGACAGAGCTCCTGAAGCTTGTCTTTCACTTAATGAAAACAGCATTTTTTTCATTTTTTGCTGTTTGCGTTTAACTGCAATTTGCATTTTACTAATTTATTGCACCGACACATATTGTATATCGTTTTTTAAAGGACAGAAAGGGCTTTAATTTGATGTAACACACACATATATATATACCTCTCTTACCTCTTGTATTTGTTTGTGTATATTGTACGTTTCTCAACTAATTGTACAGCGCTGCGGAATCTGTGTGCGCTTTATAAATTGCAATAATAATAATATATATATATATATATATATATATATATATATATATATATAAAAAACTGTGTCAAGGGTTGCACTCACGGATTCTTTAAAACATAGCTTTTATTAAATACTCCTAAAAAATCGACGTTTCAGTCCTATTCAAGGACTTTCATCAGGATGAAAAAATTATGTTTTCATAATCCTGATGAAAGTCCTTGAATAGGACTGAAACGTCGATTTTTTTTTTTTATTTATTTTTTTTTTTAGGAGTATTTAATAAAAGCTATGTTTTAAAGAATCCGTGAGTGCAACCCTTGACACAGTTTTTTGGATATTTGGAGCCCTGGGAGTGCACCCGGTTTGGGAACATGGAGTTTGAGTGCAAGGTACAGTGCTTTTATTTATATATATATATATATATATATATATATATATATATATATATATATATATATATTGCAGAATTATTAGGCAAGTTGTATTTTTGAGGATTAATTTTATTATTGAACAACAACCATGTTCTCAATGAACCCAAAAAACTCATTAATATCAAAGCTGAATATTTTTGGAAGTAGTTTTTAGTTTGTTTTTAGTTATAGCTATGTTAGGGGGATATCTGTGTGTGCAGGTGACTATTACTGTGCATAATTATTAGGCAACTTAACAAAAAACAAATATATACCCATTTCAATTATTTATTATTACCAGTGAAACCAATATAACATCTCAACATTCACAAATATACATTTCTGACATTCAAAAACAAAACAAAAACAAATCAGTGACCAATATAGCCACCTTTCTTTGCAAGGACACTCAAAAGCCTGCCATCCATGGATTCTGTCAGTGTTTTGATCTGTTCACCATCAACATTGCGTGCAGCAGCAACCACAGCCTCCCAGACACTGTTCAGAGAGGTGTACTGTTTTCCCTCCTTGTAAATCTCACATTTGATGATGGACCACAGGTTCTCAATGGGGTTCAGATCAGGTGAACAAGGAGGCCATGTCATTAGATTTTCTTCTTTTATACCCTTTCTTGCCAGCCACGCTGTGGAGTACTTGGACGCGTGTGATGGAGCATTGTCCTGCATGAAAATCATGTTTTTCTTGAAGGATGCAGACTTCTTCCTGTACCACTGCTTGAAGAAGGTGTCTTCCAGGAACTGGCAGTAGGACTGGGAGTTGAGCTTGACTCCATCCTCAACCCGAAAAGGCCCCACAAGCTCATCTTTGATGATACCAGCCCAAACCAGTACTCCACCTCCACCTTGCTGGCGTCTGAGTCGGACTGGAGCTCTCTGCCCTTTACCAATCCAGCCACGGGCCCATCCATCTGGCCCATCAAGACTCACTCTCATTTCATCAGTCCATAAAACCTTAGAAAAATCAGTCTTGAGATATTTCTTGGCCCAGTCTTGACGTTTCAGCTTGTGTGTCTTGTTCAGTGGTGGTCGTCTTTCAGCCTTTCTTACCTTGGCCATGTCTCTGAGTATTGCACACCTTGTGCTTTTGGGCACTCCAGTGATGTTGCAGCTCTGAAATATGGCCAAACTGGTGGCAAGTGGCATCGTGGCAGCTGCACGCTTGACTTTTCTCAGTTCATGGGCAGTTATTTTGCGCCTTGGTTTTTCCACACGCTTCTTGCGACCCTGTTGACTATTTTGAATGAAACGCTTGATTGTTCGATGATCACGCTTCAGAAGCTTTGCAATTTTAAGAGTGCTGCATCCCTCTGCAAGATATCTCACTATTTTTGACTTTTCTTAGCCTGTCAAGTCCTTCTTTTGACCCATTTTGCCAAAGGAAAGGAAGTTGCCTAATGATTATGCACACCTGATATAGGGTGTTGATGTCATTAGACCACACCCCTTCTCATTACAGAGATGCACATCACCTAATATGCTTAATTGGTAGTAGGCTTTCGAGCCTATACAGCTTGGAGTAAGACAACATGCATAAAGAGGATGATGTGGTCAAAATACTCATTTGCCTAATAATTCTGCACTCCCTGTGTGTGTGTGTGTGTGTGTGTATATATATATATATATATATATATATATATATATATATATATATATATATATATATATATATATATATATATATATATTATAAAAACTTTTTTTTACAGTTTTTGCAATAATAATGTGTGCATAATTAGTGCAGGTTAAGGAAAGTAATTAATAAATTAATTTAGTTGTTCTGATTTACAGAATATATAATGTGTCTGGGATTTTAAGTTTATTTTTTTTATTTTTTTGGTAGTTACAGGTCACAAAGCACAAGGAATAAAATAAACTTTTAATGTGGAGCAATTTTAGAATTTGGTATGTTTGTCTTGTAGCCATAAAAGAAAACAAAATTGCCCACAAAAGTATATATTTATATAAAGTATACATCACGGGCTATTTACCTAGGGTTCTTTTGACACTTTCTACGTAGCCATTTCACCGCCAACCTCTGCTAAATATTAGAGTAAAATTGTGGGTTTTCTTTGGTTTTTGGCACACAAACTTATAACAAAGAAATTCTCATGTATATTTTGTAAAGTTGGTGTGTGCTATTCCTGTACAAAGTTTTATCTTGTGTTCAGTTACATCTGCTGAGTAAAATGACACCCCCATTGTATGTCTTTGGCACTATTTTGTGAAGCTACAGTGCCATATAGGAGACCTGTCCTTTTCAGTATTCACAGTAGAATTTTGAGAGACGGATTTAATGAGCCTATGCTTCCATTTGGGGTATTATACCAGTTTAACTGTTCAAAAAAAACCCACAAAGGCCTACCATTTGTAAAAGTAGAAACTCCAGGGTATCTCATAAGGTGCATATTGTGCCTTAACATGCCCCCATTTTTTCACCAATATATGCTAAAGTATGTGATAAAAAATAATTTTGTGCGTTTTTTACATATGGATTGTATTTTTGGTGGGCATTTTGTATATTTCACATGTGCCACTAAGTTCAAACCCCCCAAATTATGCTCGGCTAAGTCTGCGGAGTAAAAAGGCACCCCCAATGAATGTCTTTGGCACTATTTCGTGAAGCTACAGTGCCATATAGGAGACCAAGCCATATCCGTTTTTACTGAACTTTGACTCTGGGCCTATGTGCAATTTCCAAGCATCTTCGCAGGTTTTAAATTCAAACTACCCCACAAAGGTCTACCATTTCTTAAAGTAGACACCCCAGGGTATTTAAAAAGGTATATTTTGAACCTTAGCGTGGGATCATTTTTCCGCTAGCTTGTACCAAGTGTAGTGGTAATAAGCATTTTTTCTGCCTTTTTGACACACAAAGTGAGTTTGCACAGTATATTTTGCAAACCTTGTGTGCTACCAGTGTATAATACTTCATATGTTGCTCAGCTATGTAGGCTGAGTACAGCAATACCCCCATATGTACCTTTGCCAGGTATATGTGGACATCGGAGGGGCACATTTGGGACACAGCCATTCCAGTTTTTTTTCAAACTTTAAATTTTTACGCTGTGCCCATGTCCCATTTTAGAGTATTTTACCAGGCTATACAATCCAAATAACCCATAAAGCCATAGCATTTGTTAAAGAAGACATCCCAGGGTATTTCAAAAGGCATATTTTGAACCTTAGCGTGGGATCATTTTTCCGCTAGCTTGTACCAAGTGTAGTGGTAATAAGCATTTTTTTCTGCCTTTTTGATACACAAAGTGAGTTTGCACAGTATAGTTTGCAAACCTTATGTGTGCTATGACTGTATAATACTTCATATGTTGCTCAGCTATGTTGTCTGAGTACAGCAATACCCCCGTATGTACCTTTGCCAGGTATATGTGGATGTTGAAGGGGCGCATTTGAGACGCAGCCATTCAGTTTTTTTCTAACTTTGAAGTTTTACACTGTGTCCATGTTCCAATTTGGAGTAGTTTAGATGGTTGGTTATTGAAACTTCCCCACAAACACAAACTATTTATTAAAGAATACACCCTGGGGTAATTCAAAAGGCATATTTTGAACCTTAGCGTGGGATCATTTTTCCTCTAGTTTGTTCCAGGTGTAGTGGTAATGAGCATTTTTAAATGTATTTTTTTTACTACTTTTAAAAACTAGTTTTTAAACTTTTGTTTTGCTTATTAATTTTTTTTAAACTTTCCTAAACTTTCTACAGATTTAACATTTTTCTAAGCTTTTTTTTTTACCGTTAACCCCTAACTAGCAGTAAGCAGCACTAACAGTAAATTCCCCATTTTCCCATAACTCCCACCCACCCCAGCTAGCAAAATATATAATTATAAAATATTTAAATTTAATTAAATAAATTGAACCCCTGAGGGTTAAAAAATAAATAAAAGTTAATCCTCAGGGGTTAAAAAAAATTAGATCACAGTATAATACTGTGATCTGTATTTTGATCACTGTAGGCAGTGATCGACTGGCAGGGAAGGGGTTAATTTTTATTTGGACTGGGTAAAGGTTTTTTTTTTATTTTTTACTTAACGTTATTAAACTTTTTTTTAGCTTAATTTTTAACTTTTTAAAGTTTATTTTAAAACTTTTTTAACGTTAACCCCTAGTTAGCCTAACACCAAATCCCCCAATTCCCCACTAACTTCCACCCACCCCAGCTAGCTAAATATATAATTTTAAAATATTTAAATTAATTAATTAAATTTAACCCCTGAGGGTTAAAAAAAAAAATCAGATGACAGTAAAATGTAATCCCTGCCAATTGATCACTGTAGTTAGTGATCAATTGGCAGGGAAGGGGTTAATTTTTAATTAAAATGAGTAAAAGGCGGTGGGATTTTAAATAAACTTTATTTTTATTTTTTTAACAGGGGGCAGGATCAGCACTGTTCCGGTGTTCTATCAAATTCCTCTACCTCGTGAAAATCCCCTACCCTCGTCACTTCTGGTGAGGGGAATCAGCTGGATCCTGTGTTGCACATGGGTGCCAGCACTCCTGCTACTCCTCCACAGCAAGGTCCTGTAAGGTCAGTAAAACTAGTTTTAGACTTTCATTATAGTTAGTGCATTCACTAAGCTTAGGCACACAGGACATTTAGGCTTAAGTGAGGGTTCAAATTAGGGTTAGGTAAGTGATTTTAACCTCTCTCTCACTCTATTCTTACCCTAACCCTTGGGGTAAGGGTTAAAATAAAGTGTGAAAAAGCACAATTTAGTGATATTCCCCTAATGTGAAATATCACTAAATATGAACAAGTCCATTATCCTAACCCTAATTTGAACCCTAACATTAACCCAAAATGTCTCATGTCCTAAGCTTAGTGAATGCACTAACTATAATGAAAGTGTAAAACTAGTTTTATTTACCTTCCAGGACCTTGCTGTGGAGGAATAGCACGAGTGCTAGCACGCATGTGCAGCACAGGATCCAGCTGATTCCCATCACTGGAAGTGACGAGGGTAGGGGATTTTCACGGGTAGGGAAGTTTGATAGAACACCGGCTCCCTGCACTTCACACAGAACCAGGAAGTGCAGGGAGGCGGAAGGTAAGTATACTAAGCACATGTGCTCACTCTGACATGCTGTCAGAGCGAGCACATGTGCTGGGACAGCACTATCGGTGCTCCCGGTCTGCCTCTAATACAGAGGCAGACCGGAGCACCATTAACCCTGCGATCGCTGCAATAGCGGCGATCCGGGGTTAATTTTAACGGGTGACGGACAAGTTCCGTCACTCGTCGTTATGGCAATCCCCTGAGTGACGGACCTCGTCCGTCACTTGTCGTTAAGGGGTTAAAGCACGAGCTACATTATGGCAACCATGCAAGCCATACATAAACAAATGTGTTTATGCAACAGCAGTACCCAGTATGAACCCCAATATTGTACATAGATGGGGTGAAATTGAATCTTACAGTTTTTCTATTTTTCTTAATCAAATTCTCCAATTTTCCTTTGATTGACCTAAAATACATTTTTCCATCTTAGTTCGAAATCTAAGCTGTATTTTTAACCATATACCAATATGGAATCACTCCTGTTTTTCAATTCCTCGCAACCAAAATATGGATAACTAAATTATATATTTATTATTTTATGACCTTATTTTTTTCCATTGTACTATAAACCCTGGGACTCCAGCCCCACCCATGATACATACAAAAAGAGAATCTTGAAATTAATGAAGGCTTGGGCTATTTAAACAAATAGGAGTTTCTGGCATTTCAAAAATGTTCCATCATGGGGCACCCAACCTCTAAGTTAATCACTGTTTATTAGCATGTTTCTAATTATCCTTTATGTTGTTTAGAAATGGTTTCTGAAGGAGTATATTTTATTTATTTTTTGACAATAGATAAAGGTTTGATAATGAATATGTATAACTCTGTATTTTTTTTACAGACATTATGTTGAAGGAATCTAAAGAAAAAGAGGAGAAAAGCAACAAAATTAAGGCAGTTGCTATAAAAGCAAAGAAGGAATTAGACTCCAGTAAGAAGGAGGTAATTGTTTGCATACAAAATGTTTGTAAACGGTTTGTGTTTTTGCTGACTTCCCGTTTGCAATTTTCTTTATAAATATAACAACACAAATAAGCCACTGGATAGATTTATATGAAACCTGCAAAAAGGAAGTCTGTATATTTAGAGAAGTTTAAAGGGACACGATAGTCACCAGAACAACTACAGCTTAATGTAGGGATTATGCTGCCACTGCAACCTTGGTACTGTAAACACTGCAATTTCAGGGAAAAGGCAGTGTTTACATTACTGCCTAAGAACACCTCTAGTGGCAGCCACTCAGATGGCCACTAGAGGTGCTGTGCAGGACTGATTTTCAACGTCTATGAGGAGATGGTGATTTGGTGCAGCATTTTGCTGTACATGCGCAAAAGCCTCCCACTGCTTTACTATTGGAAAGCAGAAAGCATTGGATTTGCTGGGAGCATCAGTTATGATGCTCTCAGCCAAGAAGGCGAAGCCAGCCACGGCGGACCCGCGCAGCACTGGAATAAAGGTACTTGTATTACCTTTTTTAACGGGGGCAAGGTAGTGGCTGGCCACCTACATGTGTTTTTAACACTATAGTAACAGCAAAGTAGTCCAGGGCACTCAAGGTCTTCATACATCAGCAGGTTTATTGGAAAATCATGACAGATACAGCAACCTTTATCTTGATGTGGACTACTTTGCTGTTACTACAGGTGATGAGATTGCGGATCTCTCCCTTTTCTGATAACTGTAAAATTTTAACACTATAGTGTCAGCAATACACTTTTGTATTCCTGACACTATAGTGCTCCTTTAATGTGGTAGATTTTTAGATTTCTGGCATTCTAGTTCTGTGCATTTTCTTCCAATATAATAATTGACCTATTGTTATGCTTTTTACATTTCTTGTAACAAATATCTATGGTTAATGAACAAGCTTTTTATAAAAATCTAAAGTTTAAGCCGCCCTTTCAAGACAATGCGTTGAACTGTCTAACCTTGCATGTCCTATTGTGCCCGACTCACAAGTGAACAGATGCAGATTATTTGCTCTGCCTATTATTTCTTTCATTTATTCTGCAGTGAGCTTGTTTAATCTGTCTTGGTATATTTTTATCTTATTTCTCTCTTACAGGGATATTGGAAATTTTAAGCCCAAATAAAACAAAAAAATTTAAATTTGCTTTGAATTCCCTACAATTCACAATTTATTGAATAAGCCTGTTTGGGTAGGAGGACAAACCACAAAGTGTTGCAAATGTTTACCTTTCAATGTGTGGTTGGATCAGTTTGATACGTAAACAGTAAAATGTCCTTCTTTTTACTATTCTCAATATGTGTATTTTACTGAACGTCTCACTAAGACTAAAAGGGCAGTTCTGACATTGATCCTTTACTCACTATGCCGAGAAGGATATTATCATTCAGAGCCTATGAGAGACTGAAATTTGATTTTTAGGTCGTCCTCTCTCTTTTGCAGACGGGACTTGCCTGGCATTTTGGTTCTGACCTGTCTAAATGGCTGGGATCATTATGTTGTGCAAATGGTATAGATTTCTTCCTAACACAAGTGAGAAAAACTCACGTGAATAACTAAACCATGGGGCAAGCTATTACGCTACTGTTCATTCTTATTGTGTTCCTTTAACACAGGATAATGGAAAATCCATTTAATGGAAAAACCTAGCACTGCTTACATGCAGAGATATTGGGGCATTGAGCATCTGGTTAAAGTTGAACTGTATATCAAATTGAATGTCATAACCTTTACTCCATATACTTTTAAGGTTCAATCAACAAGAGAGGAGCTGGAGAGACTGAAGGCAGAGAAAGATCAGTTGTCTGTTTCCATGAAGGATCTTATGCAAACTGCAGAAGGATATCAGGTGCAGAACTTCATTTTGTACCGTGCGACATCTGAATTTTATGACCGGCATCTATTTACTATGTGTCAACATATTGCACAGAACTGGGTTAAAAAATAAAATTAAAAAAACTCTCTCATTCATAATGTAGCATTTAAAACTTTTATACCAAATATTTTAAATCAATAAGTGAAAGAGGCAATATGCAATATGGCCACATACATGGTGGTAACCAAGTGGAGCAGTAAGGGAGTTATGAGTACTTACAGTTCTCTTCTTAGCAGCACCACCACCATGTTCCTTTCCAGTCCATCTTCAGCTCATAAAGAAGTGTTTTGTTTTTATTCTTCGTTTTTGACACAGTATACAAGCAGTTAAGTAAGTGTACATAGTCATTTTGTCTACGCAGATTTTTTTTCTTCTTTTCTCACAGTCTTACAGTCAAGAATTAAAAAAACATGGGCATAAACATAATCACGTCAATGATAAGATGTAAAGAAAAATAAAATAAGAAATAAAATTAAAAAGACAATAAGGGGGAAGTGGACGTGCAATGATGCATCTTATTGATATACAGTTGTCAAGGTTTCCAGAAAATACCAAGTTAGGATGTTGTGCTGATGAAATGGAAAAACACATTCAAGAGTGAAGGAGATGAGGAAGTCTCCCCTTTTTTTTATTTTTATTTTTAATTTTTTTTACAATTTTAATCAAATTAATTATGTTTATGCTGTGAGTCTTCATTAGACTTTATAGAGTTTTCTTTCCTCTTTAATATATTTTCTATTTATTACAAATTTAGTTATGCATGTTCTGTCCTGCTCCCTGAGATGGTTTCAAAATTGTATTCCTGAATCAAGGCTGACACCCGATCACTTAGCAAGGAAAAAATGCAGTTTTGGCATTCATACATGTATTGTAAAAAAAAAGATATTTGTGAAAATTGTCTAATAATTGGCATAAATATGGGGACCATTTCTTGAAATAGTACGCAATATTTGTTTGTTTCTTTAAGGTACCCATTACTTATGGTCTGTATTAACTTTACTACACCTTCTTACACTATACTAACCACTAACCATACTTATACAACATAAATGAGTAGTGACTATCTATAAAACCATGCATATATATTTTTGCGCCTGACCAGCAGCTTACCTGCATTTATGTCTATCCAATAAACCATAGACTCTTGGCCAGCTTGCACAGACTTTAGATTACTCGTTCCCATATTCTTAAATTGTTTTATGCACATCTTATTTGTATGTTTATTACCCATTGTGCAGTGCTACTGGAAATGTAAGACCTTTTTGCATTATCTAGCTTCTACTGCTATTTGATGCCTGTTTTAACACACTTTTTTGTCTGTGTGTAAAAACTGGTTTTATATAATATGCTAGCTCTATTGATTTTCGTTTTTCAATTAATGACATTGTTTTTGTTTTCTGTTTTTTGTCCATGCAGAATCTCTTGCTGGAATATGACAGACAGACAGAGCAGCTGGAAACAGAGAGAGAACGCAATAACAATGCAGAGCGCCAAATGGAAGATTTATGTAGGCAGTTGCGAGCAGCCTCTGTTGAGGTCGGTTATAATTCCATTCTTACTATGACGCTTGACCCAATATTTGTTTATTTTATTTTTTTAACTTTAGCTCACAATCCAGTACCTGCTTTATGCCATGCTGTTTTTTCCTTTTTTGATGTAGTAAATTATTTACTCCACGGCCCAGTTCCCCTGTAATGGGGGAAAACTGTTTAGCAACAGTTTTGCCCTCTAACATTGATCCTCGCCAGGCTCCAATGCCCTTTGCTTCTCAGCTGATGCGGTTCCAGTTACTGCAGAGGTGCTGATGCTGTCAGTTGACCACTCTCAGCCAGTGAATGCACAGAACTGACAGTAGCCAGCTCAGAACTCTTGTTCTGGGCTGGGTTGTGACATGCCAAGGACATCATGGTGCTTGTAGTTACTAATAAATCTTAGGGGCTATATCAAAATGGTGTCATACTTGTAATAAGCAACTTTTTAAAAGACCACTGGATAAATTCATTTTAAAAAAAAAATTTGGGGTGTTAAGTTTTTTTGTTTTTTTTTTTCAAGCTGAGCTAAAACATTAGCTCAGTTAAACATAATGTGGTACAGGAGAATCTTATATTTGTGAAAGAATAATTTAAAAAAATTTTTTTTATTAAAATGGGCACATAAAAATACCTCTAATTCTAAAACAGTAATAGGACAATACTAAAACCACCAGCTTTCTCTGTAGGTCTTCTCTGGCTGAGTGGACGCCATCCTGATTTCCTAGGTTTTGTTTTGTCATTACGTGCGAGATCAAGCTGAGTTTTCCTTGCATTTTTTTTTTTATTGATCTCTAGTCCATCATATTGCTTTTAGCTTTATTTAACAAGGTGCAGTTGTGCCCATGAGAGGGAACCCAGGGGTTATTATACTATGTTTACCACGTGCCTTGCTAACCATATGCCTGGTTTCTGTTTCTTGGGTAGACATGTTTATTTAGCTGGAGTTTTAATGTTTCCATAAAATTGTGCTATTATTCCTATGCCGAGCATATGTTATACTCTAACACTGTCTTATTCTTTTGCTCATTATAATATATTTTCATATGCTCATTCTATTTAATTTGCTTCATTTATTTATTTTTTAATTTTTTATTATAAATAAAATTTAGTGGAACAAATGAGGCATCAGATCTGAAGGGGAAAAAAGTATTTTTTTAAAAAATGTTATTATTCTGAATAGCATTATTCATGCAATTATACTTAATTCCACCTTTTTCCTTTAGCTGTATTATGAAATTTCTCCTAACCTCCTGAACCAAGTGATAAGTAACACAGTGGTTTTATTTCAGCAAGAGAAGCTAACGTCTATAAATGAGGATTACGTGGCTCGCATGGAAACTATGCAGTCTAATAACAAGTTACTGGAAGCACAGTTATTAGAGACGCAGCGTGCTAAGACTGTGTTGGATAAAGAACTGGAAGCTGAACGGTTAATGAAGGAGCAAAAGATGAAGGTGATTTACTTGTTTGATAATATAAGCAGAGGCAAAGACAAATATGATTTGTTGTTTGTTTTTTAGATCTGTCTCATTCCATAAAAGCTATATATCACGGCACACTGCAGTATTAAATAAAAGTAAAAATCCTGTCCCATGTGCTGCAGTTATTTAAAGGAACAATCAAGGAACCAAATATTGCATCAGAAACGCATTTGAATTATGACCCCAATTTAATATTTTTGGATAAACTTTTCAAATGATTTAATGTTTTGATAAATGATTTAATATTTTAGATTTAGTTTTTTATACTTGATAGAGATATATATCAATATTATTTTTATTTTATTTTTTAAATGTTTAAATATTTTCTTGAAATATATTCATTCATTTCCAAAGATCATCCAAAAATATTAAATTGGGGCCATAATTCAAATGCGTTTCTGATGCAATATTTGGTTCCGTGATTGTTCCTTTAAATAACTGCAGCACATGGGACAGGATTTGTACTTTTATTTAATACTGCAGTGTGCTGTAATAGTACCATAACTAAAACCATATTTAGAATATATTCTTTTTCCATTAATTATCTGCTGAATGATTTATTATGGGTAGTCTGTTGGCAGGAGCTCCCTGACATTATTCCATCGTTCAACAAGCTGTTGGTCTATATTCATAGTGTTTGCTTTGATTCTAGGAATTCACTGGTGCCCAGAAACAAGTGGAAGAACTTCAAACACAGCTACAAAAAGAACGGAAACAGCTTCAAAAAACTATGCAGGAGCTTGAGCTAGTCAGGAAGGTAATCTTGAAAATATTCCTCTAGGGGAAGTTTTGGAGTACTACAAACATGGAAGTCTAAATAATGAAAAAAAAAAAATATTCATTAACCTCTATATGATTTATGTCTGCGTAACCAAAGTGAAAACTGACCAACATGCCATATCGTTTACTTTTATGGGAGTTTGTAAAATGGCTGCTTCGAACATGTTTTTTATTTTTTTTGCAAACGTTTTACTTTTGCGACTTGGTTACTCAAAATGGCCTTCTATATCTCTCAAATTACATGTTTTTGTACTGCCACTGTATTATTTACATATTTTTTTATATCGTCCGCATGTCCAGTGATAGAATTTTATGCATTTACAAATAATATTAATATTAAAATAACTGGATCTAGACTTTTTGTAACTGAATTATATTAAAATTCATATTTTAAAAACCCCTTAGACCTACTCATCACAAAAGATATGAACAGTCTTAAAAGTTTGCACTTATAGAATGTGACTGCAGATAAGAACCATTCAGCCCATCTAGTCTGCCCAATTTTTTAAAATACTTTCATTAAAATACTTTCATTAGTCCCTAGCCTTATAGGAACACTATAGTCACTTAAATCACTTTAGCTAAATAAAGCAGTTTTAGTGTATAGATCATTCCCCTGCAATTTCACTGTTCAATTTAACATAGCAGGGGATAATAAAATCTTAATTAAACAGAACTTGCAATAAAGAAAGCCTAAATAGGGCTCTCTTTACAGGAAGTGTTTATGGAAGGCTGTGCAAGTCACATGCAGGGAGGTGTGACTAGGGTTCATAAACAAGGGGGTTTAACTCCTAAATGGCAGAGGATTGAGCAGTGAGGCTGCAGGGGGCATGTTCTATACACCAAAACTGCTTCATTAAGCTAAAGTTGTTCAGGTGACTATAGTGTCCCTTTATCTTACATCTAGCCTCTCTAACCTTTTTTGGCCTATATATGTGCTATTCAATTCTGGGTAGTGGGCACATGTAACGGATCACCTGGCACCCCGACTGGGTACCTCTGTTGAAGGATGCTCCTAGCGCTTCCTGAGGACTCCAAGCACTGCAGCAGACACCACAACCTCCGAACCAGAGAAGCATACGAATGCTCTCAAGCATGTGAATGCTGTAAACAGCTGAACAGGAAAAGCATACAATCCCCTTCACTCCTGGCAATCAGCATACAATCCAATTCCCCCAATAACGAGACGACACTTCGTTTTGAGGTCAAGCAGAACTGACTGTACTGGCACATACAGCCTCTTTTATTCACAATCCACAAACATAGTACTGCCCACAGGGTTTTGAAATACAACCAATCAATCCGTACAATACACACAGACACTCCCACACAAAATCTTCCCCTCTGCCTGTGATATGATTACTGAACACAATGGTTAATCTAATTATCACAGGCAGAGAAATACAGTATCATAAAACACATCACAGGGACTCCCAAAACATGCAATAACCCCATAAAAACCCCATATATCCTTGGAACCGGGGGATCTGGGTGAACCACATATCCAAAATTCACCCAGATCCGTTCAGTAGTTTGGAAGATGCAGTTTAATGCAGATTCCGCAGAACATATACAGGCTATATGCAAAATAATTACTGTATAATGTGTCCCCTGTTGTATAGTTTAAAACTACTGAACGATGTCTTCGTGCACCAAATACTGGCGAGATGGCACCGTGTAGAAAAGTCCAAACAGTGTCTGTGAGTTAAAATGGCCGCCATCCATTGTTCTCACCATGTGCTTCATCCATTGTTCTCACCATGTGCCTCTGATACATGAAATGGTGGCCACCCAGTAACTCCACAGTATGTCCCCAGATGGTTCTTAAAGGGCCAGCAGCAGCATAATAAAATACAATATGACCAAATACTGTATTTAAAGGGCCAAATCTTCAGGGGCCATAGTCAGCAGGCAGGAGGCGGACAAACAGGCTTCTCCAAAGCCCAGTGGCGAGGTTGGTTTCGCCACAGCACACATGTTAAATCAGTGTTCCCACTCCTTATTAGTCCCTCAAATTATGTCACAATTCTATTTTAGTGGCTCTACACTTGTTGGAACAGGCACATATTGCTACGCAGGCAACCTGCACCTGCTAAACATAATCCTTTTATTTAAATGGTCTAAAAACAGAAAAAAGTAAGGACATAGCAGTGTAAAACATAAAGAATCATATCCCAGGATATTTTGTGCTGCAGGGCACTTAACCCCTTAAGGACACTTGACATTTTATTCCAGAAGTTTGGTCCTTAAGGGGTTAAAAGAATGATGATGGGGTTTACCAGAATTTATTTAGTACTTATTACTTTACAGGTGAACACTGGTGCACTGAATGATTTTTTTCAGTTGAAGAAAATGTCGCCAAGCTAATGTCATTTACATAAATTGAGTCCCTTTCAAAGAAGTGTAAGAACCGTTAAGTTAGTAAATTGATTCCCATCCTGGGCCTAAAGGCACATCAATATTCCAGGATTTAGACTTTTCCAGGTTCAATTCCTGTGAGAGCGATCAGCTGATGTTCTCAGCCAATGAGCAAAGTCCTGCTCTTTAGGGTTTGGCTCCTGAGAGCTATTTGCAAGTTCCTGGTTAGGAGCTTTCCACTCTCCAGCATTTGTAGTAGAGTGGTGAGCGGAACTGCAGATTTATATTTGTGACTTTGAATGCTCCTTTAGTTTATAATCCTCTTTCGTATAAAACAAATTCCTGCATATTTTTCATGACTTCTTCCGCATAATAAGCAGCCAGTTGTACTATTTTCATGGTAGAAGTCCAATAAACATATCTGATTGTAGGCATTTTACTTTCTCCCGGTTCCTATCATTAACCTGTTTTCATTTTGTTTAGGATGCTCAGCAGAGTACACTGATGGACATGGAAATTGCTCATTACGATCGCCTGGTTAAAGAACTCAACCAAACGATTACCAACAAAAGCAGCCAGCTGGATGATTTGGAGCAGGAGGTCCGTATCCAGAAGCAGAAACAGGAAATGCTTCAGGAAGAAATATGTAAGCTACAAAAAAAACGTGCATTGCTTGGAAATGCAGATATGATGTATATTATAAATTGCCTTCTTATACTAATTGCACCCTACAAGCTCCACTTTTGTTTCTTAATCTATGTTCTCATTTCTGCACTTTTCTTATCACATTGAAGTTAATTTAAACAGTGGTGAAAATGAAGCAAACCGTACACTGTATTTATAATGGAAATACCCATTATTTTCAGAACTAACCTTGAATATACTTTATACACTCGTGGCTACTAAAAATATAGTCATGGATGTTTGAAAAGATATAAGTGCTAATTTAAAAAAAAGAGTTGAAAGGGACAAACATGTTACAATTGTTAAATCTACTTTAGCGTGTCATAGGATTTATATTTTAAAGAGACACACTGCACACCAAAATAACTACATCCTAATGAAGTGGTTTTGGTACCTAAATGCTGTCTCTTTTATCTGGTAATGTTATGTTTGTCAGAGAACATGCCTCTAGAGACTGTCAGACATACAGCCAATAACAAAGATCTCCATTTTCCATGTTGATACCAAATGTGTCTCCAGTGTTTGAGTAGAATTTTAGAATGGTTAAGCAACTGCTGAGAGAAGACTGTACTAGACTACAAGCATGTTTGGTTTGGTTGTTTAATTTTTTCCTTTTCTTTAATGGGAACCCTGAATCTAAACCTTCAGGAACACCTGAAGGTTAAAAATATATGTATTTATTGTTTTACTTTCATGCTGTTTTTTCATGCAGACCAGCTAAATTCAGGAGATATACTCCTTTGAATATTGTACCTTGTTTCTGTACTCCTAATAGCACATTACCTAACAATAAACTACTTTAATAGTTTTGTTGTCTGATGAACAAAATAACACATTTCTGTGTTCCTTAAAGTTTAAGTATCTGCTCCTTTTGTAGCTTCGTTACAAGCAACTCTCGAGCAACATGAGGAGCGTAGTACAAAGATGAAACAACTACTGGTGAAAACCAAAAAGGAGCTAGCAGACACTAAGCAATCAGTAAGATATTTGTATTGCCAATGTGTTTAATGAAGGCTCTGTCATAACAAATATTTTACTAATTCTTCTTTATTCAAATCCTAGGAATCTGACCAATTAATTCTTCAGGCCTCTCTGAGGGGTGAGTTGGAAGCAAGCCAGCAACAGTTGGAATCCTACAAGGTAAGATGCATTAAAAGTTTTCTCCCTCGCAGGTTAGAAGTCGTGTTTTCTTTTCAGTATTGCAAAATGGAATAATCTGTTGGAAATCTATTTTCGGTTTCTAAATGCACCCCAGGCCTACATCCAGCCCAAATCCCCAACAAAGAGTAATATTTGCACCACCACCCACTCCTGCTCCACTTTAATTCAAACTCTATGATTCTCCATCTGCATGAAATCAACATTATTTGATCGCTGACTGGTACACCTACACAAGTGCCCACACCTGATTTCTCCCATGTTCCTATATATATATATATATATATATATATATATATAAACTATATATGTTGTCCTCTTCTGTCTTTAGTGCATATTGTTCATTTTAAATTGTAAGCTCACATGCCCACTTGTATAGCACTGTCTATAAATCTTAGGTTCTCCTCTTTGTTTCAGAAAATACTGTTGTATATCCTTTTGTCTGTTGGCCAGATTATGTATGATTGCAATTTTTGGTAAAGAGCTCTAGATAAAAACGTGTAAGAACTGATTAATAAATCGTCTTTCTTAAGCTCACACTGGTCCCCGGACCATACAAAAAATGCATCAGTTTCTCATGATGTGGATGATTTCTGTTCTAGATTCAACTAGCTGAACTGATGTCTGAAAGGCACAAAGTTCAGGAACAGTTCCGAACCCTGACTGAGCAACATCAACGGGCCGCAATCACCTACCAGCAAAAACTTTCTGCTCTGCAAGACGAGTGTGCAGTTGCAAAGGTATTTGCATTTTAGTTTTTTGTTTTGGGGGGGTTAAAGTTTTTTTTATTTTTGTAGGGCATGTTAAAAACCCAACAGCAAGGAAATTACATATCAGTGATCCGAGAATTGAAAGACATGTCCAGTATACTGCACTTTTTATAATAAACCCATGAACTATACCATAGGCGCATATTAGGATTGAACAGTAAGCTATGATTCATTAAGGGGAATATGTCCTATATGACCTTATGTGTGGGACACAATGTATGCACGTGGAGAGTCAGCATAAATAACTTGTTAACCAACATAGTTTAATGGTAAATCACATAAAATGCTTATCTAGAGACTATATCAGGATGCCTGACTTTGAGGACCATTTGAGTAATGCTGTGATGCGGTCATAAAACTATAAAATGCAGAAATAGATTCACATGAACAACAACAGAAAAAGGGGGGAAAAAGGCTATGGGTGTGTAATAGAACAAATGTGATCATCTCCACCACCAGCCGAAGTCAAGTATTTGGATGACTCGTTGCTTTGGCCTTCGGAACAAAGGGCATGCATTGAGGGGATCCAAGGTTGTAATGGATTCTTTTGTGCTCTCCTACATCAGTCCCGGTGACGCAAAACGTGTTGGCGCCTTTGACACCGAGGTGAGTGTGTGTACTGTCCCACTTTGGTCACCATGAGGGATTTGGGTGCTCGCCACTCGGACTTCCTGGTACGATCCTGATAAAAGGACATGTGAGTCCTCCAAACATTGTGACGTCTTAACTACTCAGCACAGTCATTATGTGAGTTGAGGAGCAGTGAACAATGACATCTCTTACAACATTAGATGTTATTGCACTGAATTTTAACGTGATTGCATAGATATCTATCTTCTAGAGCAGTTATCTGCACATAACTAGATGGACCGAATGGTTCTTATCTGCCGTCACATTCTATGTTTCTATGTCAAGTGCCTGCTGAGTGGATTATAGCTGTTGTAAGTACGTCTTAGAGGTGACATGCCATGGTGTGTCTGTGATATCCTCAGTAGCCTGCACTCTGTTAGGGACATTTTGCACATAAGCTTTAATTACAGCTACGTCTGCTGCAAATAGCTTGTGAATATTTTGTAAAATGATCTTCACATTATGTTTAGTGTCTTTAGCCAAGTTTTCTAAAGACTCATTGGTAGTGGTTTGTCTGAATGAGATTTTGTTGTTTCTCGTGACCCATTTCTCTCAGGTGACTTAGTGGGAACCATTGTATGATGGCCTTACGTGTCATTTTAGATGTATTTACATGCCATCTTTGGTGACACTTGCCTTTGCAAGCATGGCCCCTAGTGTCTCTGTTTTTAGCCGTGACCCCATGTTTCTGAGATCAGCGCACCATAGCCGCAGTGTGTTTGGTTGGGATTGAGGTGAGTGGATCGGCCCACTCTGTGTGCTCTGGTACCACTGACGAGTATCTCCAAGTCAGTGAAGGCCTGCGTGAGGTAGGCCCCGAATCTGCGCCTCTGCTTGGGCAACTTGTGAAAGAATGCCATCTATCAATACAGCAGGACCTCATGAATGAGCTGCAAGGACTTTTGGAGCTCGATGGGTTGTGTTGCAATGGATTATTGGCGAGTTTATTTGATTTGGAAAGAAGCTGCCAGAAATGACATGTGGTCAGTCTCAATGGCAAGCTCCGCCCCCCTTCACCCAGTTTTTTTTAGTGTGGCATATTTTAATATACTTCTACATTCCTGTATTAAAAACAATATGAAAAGTTATGTTTTACATGTTTGTACATGTTTATATAAAATCATAAGTAAACTTAAGGAAGACCTGTCTAGACACAGGAAGATCCTTTGTTGTGAGCTTATTATATTATTAGAATACTTTATTTTTATATTTCATTAGTTTTTATACACACAGAATGCAACTTTTTCAATAAATGGATGTAGCATAAAAACATTTACTGGTTTTGGGCATGTAGGATTAAATAATGTAGCTGTAGCTTTCATCATTGGAACCAAGGAAAGGTAAAGTGGATTATATGGTACGTACAGCAGTACACTGCCTGAGCTACACACTGGAACACTGTCTAACCTCTACAGTTATACATAACACTCTGGAAAGATATTTCACATAGAGAAAGTAAGATCATGATCATTAGAAGAGCACCATTCGTCTAAGTGTTGCCGGCCTGCTAGTGCCTAGAGGACAATCTGCGGGTTGTACTCCCATACAGTCCATTTTCTGTAATTAATAGCCATCTCCAGAACTGTAAGCATCCTATGGTTTCTTCTCCTAAGTTGCTGTCTCCGTTCGCGTTTTAGCTGCCAAGCTGAGGGTGCGAAGAAATGCCTCAACATCATCAGCCAAGGTGAAGGTTAAAGATTCTTCGCCGTGAGGGACCACCAACGTTGTCTTTTTTCTGTGAAAACAGAGAATGGCAAATCACTGTACCACGTAATTGAATGACCTTCAAACCTCACTGTTTTCTTTTTCCTAGAGCGATTTAGTATGGCGGTTCTTGCTGCTATGTCTATGGTGATGACTATAATGTCTCGAGGTGCTACCGCAGGGCCAGTAGCAGATTTGCGTACCCGGAACACTGATGTTATGCATGAGTCATCTGAGCCCTCCTTGATCTCCTTAGAGGCGATGAGTTTCTGTACAAATGGGAGAAGGTCTTCCCCACCTACTTTGTCAGTTACACCTATTATGTGTAAGTTCCGGTGCCGGTTTACCAATGAGACCACTGATTTTTTTCAGTAGGTGGATTTGTTTAGTGAGACCTTCCTGCTGGTTATTGGTCTTGTGAGGCCTCCCTCCCATCCACTGCTTGTACCTTCTTGTGAAGATCGCCTATTTTGGCCTGTATTTTTAGTAGGTCAACCTTCCAGACTTTCTGCAGGTTTAGGAGCAGCCTCTTGATGTCCCCCTTTATGAAGGAAGAAGAGTCATCGTCTGAATCAGAAGAATGATACACTCCACCTGGGCTGGGAGAAGTAAGGCACTTTCTGTCCTCATTTGAACCCTTTGAGAGCTCCGGGCTGCTTCATTCCTTGGGCGCCATGTTGGGTTGTGGTGGCGGTCAAGGTCTCTCGAACGAGAGCCTGATATAAGGCAGTTTGTTGGCCCCTTTGTGTGCCATTTGTGTGTGTGCCCCATGGTTTTCTCTGGTGGGTGACTGGGAAAGTAGTCTACAGAACCACTTTTTTTGTTGTTTTTTTTTGTTACTTATTTTGATAATTATTTGCAATGCTGTTTCACAAAGTGGGCATGCCCTTATAATACTTTATTTATGACCAACCGCAGCGATGTCCTTGGGTACAATTGACACATGTACAAAGACAAAGGTACAATACAACAAGAGACTATATAAAATTTGATAAATACAAAAGGAAATGAGGGCCCTGTTCCAGTGGGAACTTAAAATCTAGATCGATAGGATGAGTGATTAACAGGAGATAGAGACTGCAAAAGTGAGGATTAGATGGGGAAACATTTCTAAGAAAATAAAGCAGTCCATGGGGGCATTATCAGTGCTAAGAGAAGGAAAACATATGGAAGGTCTGAGTATTGTTATTGTTACATGCAGGGAGATTTATGAAAAGGGTAGGTAGGAGGAGAAGAAAAAACAAGGTGAGCATTGTAAAGATGTATAATTAGTTAATATCCTGTTGGTAAGTTGTTGTACAATAATGCTTAAAAGTTTCTTACTACAATTTTAAAATCCAGTTGTTAAAGGGACATGCATCACTTGACAATTATTTTTTTTAAACCAGAAAGCATACATTTTTAAACAAACCAAAATAAAGCAAGTAAAATATTGAAAAATGCATAATAAACATTTATAGACCAATCATAAAGTTAGTTAGATTGCATGACATGTACCACCTCTTTGCTAGGGAAGTTTTCAACAAACTCCCCTGCCTTTTTCAATTTCAGACCAGTCCACTAATGACAGTAACAGGGTACCAGAGAGAGAAGCATGACAAAAGAGATTGCTCTTTATGATCACACTGATCAGACTCCCTCTCTTCTCCCCCTATTTAAATCTTGTATGGTGAAGAGATCTTCCACATGTGTAAATATGTCAAGCATGCCCAGTGCACTTTTCCAGCATTCCTAAGGATAGGATACTGATTGGTTAGATAAGTTCTCCCACCGTGGAGATGGTGTGGGAAGCATAAGAAGAAAGAAGCAGGTAAAACTGAACAAAAATGCAGTTTACCTGCTTTTTTTCAGCTAAAGGTTTTGAAGACAATTGTCTCAAATTTACTCTTGCTAGCCGTTTGTATCCAGAAAGCCTGTTGCATGTTCTGCTGTTTAGAGCATTGGAGGCCAACTACTAATGGAATAAAGTTATACACCAGGATACAGGCAGTCACAGGAGGTTCACACTTACAAATGGGATTGCAGGGGAAAGGTTATTGAGTAAATGAATGGTAGGCCATTCAGGGTGTAACCGCTAACAGCCAATTAAGCAGCTTTTTTTTTTTTTTTTTTTGCAGTGCATATGAGGTTAACATACAAGCATGTGGTACCCCAAAGGCAATCTGCATGCATATTTTTTCAATACAGTAGTAACAGAGCAATGTGAACAGTGGGGTATATCATAACAGTGCACTAATTTTATGTTTAAAGGGACACTCCAGGCACCCAGACCACTTCTGCCCATTGGAGAGGTCTGGGTGCCAACTCCCTCTACCCTTAACCCTGCAAGTGTAATTATTGCAGTTTTTTTTATAAACTGCAATAATTACCTTGCAGGGTTAACTCCACCTCTAGTAGCTGTCTAGAAAACCTGTGCTAGAGCGTCGCTGGACGTCCTCACGCTGTGTGAGGACCTCCAGCGTCGCTCAATTCCCCATAGGAAAGCATTGAAAGCATTTTCAATGCTTTCCTATTGGGAGCTCTAATGCACATGCGCGGCATTGGGGTCTGCGGTGTGGTGTGCCGAGTTGGGCGGTGTCGTCTGCCGGGATCGTTTTGTGGCGGCCATTTTATGCCCTCCTCGTGGCGGTTTGGGAGGTTGGTCGACATGTTTGTTTTCGGCGCTTCGTTGCATGCGCCTTTCGAGTTTTAGCAAGAACGCCGTGAAAATTGCCTCCAGCCTCGCTGTGTAATCAGTTTGTGTTATGCAGTAATCAACTGGTTTCTCCGTGCTCTCCCTGGCTTGGGCATGTGCTTTAGTGATGGCGGTTCTTGGGGCATTTCGAGTCTGTGGAGTGTCAGGCTTTATTGTGGGGTTAGTCGTCACCAGCGAGGACCGGGATATCCCCCTCCGGTCCAGAAGGGGGGGTAGCAGGGTTGCCTTTGAGTCTCGTTTGTGAGCTTTACGTCCGTTGAGAATTTTGTGTCTAAATATAAACCAAAGACATCTGTCCAGTTCATTTAATATTTCGAGCTTGCCTGTTTTTTTAATGCACCTTAATGATAAATGGCTTCTGGCTTATGTCATATTTAATTAGCGAGGAAGGTTTATACAGCAGTTGTGTGGATGCATAGAACACATTCCATATTAACCTTTGCTTGTTGCAGAATAAGTGTGTAGTCTATCCTCCTGCAGTGCACATCTGTAACTGTCTGGCACTGCAAGAGTATTGTGCATTATTACAGTATAATTGCTGTAAATACATTAGTATGGATTATTTTAGCCATGTGCTATCAAGATTCAGGTCCAAATGTAATTATAATATGAATCAGCCCTGGTAGACATGGAACATAAGCCCATGAGATATTCATCATTTTGTTGTATGCCTTGTGTGGAGGTCAAATAATCTGAAGGACACTCCTTTACTTCTAAATAAACAATTAGATATAACAGATGTATGTATGGTTAAACCATATTTACCATATTGTACGTTTTTTTTGAAAATATAGTTATTGGTTTATATATATTTATATATATGCCTCAAAAGAAAATATGCATCTATATTTTTATGCATGTTTTTTGGGGGGTATATGACATAATGATTTGCAAGCTAGAGACACAATAATTGCAAGACGAACTTTTATAAACTGTGATAAATATGACAGACTACAGACACATAGCGCAGTTCAGCCTTCATTACATGTATTAACAGGGTGTTGCAGTGGATGTGATCTATTTGGATTTTGCCAAGGCATTTGATACAGTTCCACACAATAGATTAGTGTTCAAACTTAAGGAAATAGGTCTAGATGAAAATGCTTGTTCTTGGGTAGAACATTGGCTTAAAAACAGAGTACAAAGAGTTGTCATTAATGTAAATTTTCAAGCTGTACAGAGGTGGCAAGTGGTGTCCCTCAGGGGTCTGTTCTGGGACCCCTTCTATTTAACATGTTTATAAATGATCTTCAAGACAGCATTGAAAGTCATGTTTCAGTGTTTGCAGATGACACAAAACTTTGTAAAATAATACAATGTGAGCAAGATATTACTTTGCTGCAGAGGGATTTAGATAGACTGGGGGACTGAGCACTCAAATGGCAGATGAAATTTAATGTTGAAAAATGCAAAGTTATGCACTTCGGCGTAAAGAATACACAAGCAACGTATACCCTTAATGTAAGCGAATTAAGGGATAACAACACACGAAAAGGACTTGGGAATTGTTATAGACAACAAACTATGCAACAATGTGCAATGTCAATCCGCAGTGGCCAAGGCCAGTAAGGTATTGTCATGCATGAAAAAGGGCATTCATTCTCGGGACGAGAATATCATTTTGCCTCTTTATAAATCACTAGTAAGACCACATATTGAATATGCTGTGCAATTTTGGGCACCTGTTCTAAAGAAGGATATTATGGTACTAGAAAAAGTGCAGAGGCAGGCTACAAAATTAATAAAAGGAATGGAACACATCAGCTATGAAGAAAGGTTAACAAATTTAAAACTATTTAGTTTAGAAAAACGTCTGAGAGGGGATATGATAACATTATACATTCGGGACCAATACAAACCATTGTGTGGAAATCTATTCACAAACCGGACTTTACATAGGACACGAGGCCATGCGTTTAGACTGGAAGAAAGAAGATTTCATCTAAGGCAAAGGAAAGGTTTTTTTTTTCTGTAAGAACAATTAGGATGTGGAATTCTCTGCCTGAAGAAGTGGTTTTATCAGCGTCCATACAGATGTTCAAACAAATACTAGATGCATACTTGCAAAAACAGAATATTCAAGGATATAATCTTTCAATGTAGGGTAATAACTGCTTGATCCAAGGATAAATCTGACTGCCATTCTGGGGTCAAGAAGGAATTTTTTTCCTAGCTTGTTGCAAAATTGTGCTTCAAACTTTTTTTTTTTTTGCCTTCTTTTGGATCAACAGCAAAAAACAAATGTGAGGTAGGCTGAACTTGATGGACGCAAGTCTCTTTTCAACTATGTAACTATGTAACAACTGACTACTTCCTGGCTAGTGAATGAAGCAGAGTTTTAGGATGCGTTTATATTGAAGGAGTTGCTGTCTCCAGATACTCTTCACAAAAATGGATTAACTAATTTTCTTAATTATGATCTATTGAATATGACCTTTGTTTATAATTACTGAATTATGGCACACCAGATCGGGGTAAGCTTTGCTTACACTAGGGGTCATCAATCTCGTCCCTACCACCCACTAGTGGGCGATTGTGGGTTTTGCGTAAAATGCCCAGGCCGGCAGGGGAGAACCTTCCATCTTCCCTACTGGCTCATGTAGAGCAAGCCTTGCTGTAAGCCCTCTCAGGCTGGTGAGGAGATACAAAATCTCCCTCCATTGCCCGCAGACACTTAGTTCCAGGAGAGGGAGGGAAGGGGTTGGGAAGCTCTGTATTCCTCCCACGAGCAGCCTGGTTTGAGCATTGCCACACGTTACCATTGCAACGCTCCGATACAGTGCTGTGCTCGCGGGAGGATAGGAGAATCAGCCTGCAGCTGGAGGAGCTGCAAAATAAATTGAAAGTGTCACCACTGGACCAATAGGGCTTGCAGCATTATGTGCCCCTTTCCTGAAGAAGGGAGGGGGAGACATATTGAGTTTGATTTGCACATATCACCTAGTACTTTTTTTTTTTTCAAACCTCCTTTTTGAAAAAATAAAATAAATAAATTTCACTTGTGCTAAAATATAAAGTTATTGCGTCACCGGTGGGCAGTAAGAAAATTTTACCATCAACAAAGATACAAAAGTGAGCAGTTGGATATTTAAAGGATGACTACCCCTGGTTTACACAGACATTTGATCCAGGTACACCAATAGTGTTTATTACAAGGTTTGCACTGTAATCCTGCCAGTAAACACAATTGGTGTATACTGATATATGAAATGGCAGGCAGCTGTATATGTGAAATGTGTTTGCCCTCCCCTGTATTCAAAAATTCCAGTAACGAGGAAACAATATCTGGATCAAATGTCTGTGTAAACCAGGGGTAGTCTTTTTCTCGAAAACTGCAAGAGGGCAAAAATTTTAGTAAATGATTACTTTAAGTGTCTCTTTCTTTGCAGGTATTGCATTTTTTATTATTTTTTTGTCCCTCTATTTTTTTATTTTTTTTTACCTGAGCTTTTTGTTATACATAAGATAAATTAGGGATTGTTTTTTTTCTTTTTTTTCTTCTAATGTGGATCGCAAGGTTCAGTTTTAGTTGTTGGGCTAATTTACCCACAATCCATCAGTCAAAATAATCCAAGAGAGGGCAAACTGCAGACATCATGGATAGAAATTAACAAAATAGAGGCACCCAGGTATTCAGATTCAGTGCAAGAAAGAAAAGATAATATATATATATATATAAATAAAGACCAGCAGCAAAGAGGGCAGTGTAATTATTAAGGGGCATAAGAAAAGGGGGTGGGGGGAAGTGATGGAGCCGCTTTAAACCATCTCCCCCATGAGCTCTTAATATACCTAGCTGCCTACCTTACAATATTCTGTTTCACATTTGATCTTTGTTCCTAGCACTGAATCCAGAATCTGAGAGTAAATGTTATTATTGACTGTAGTTGCTTATTATTAGTGATGAAATTAATTTACTGCTGTTCAAATAAAACCAAATATAAAAGGGGATGAGATGCTACTCACTTGCATGGAGATACCATATGGAACAGCCTGGCCCACCAACTAAGTTGGATTGCCTGCTTTTCATTGGAAATACATAGCAGTGTACAGTTTGTTACAGTAGGAAATATACAGCACTGTATAGATTAGTGAACAGTGTTTATGGATTTGCAGGGAATTTAAACTTGTAGGGAAATGTACTTCCATTAATGACACATCTGTTTTGGATTGACCCTGTGCTTCCTGTAGGGCAGTAGCTAGTGTTAGTACTTTCTGTCTTTTGTCTGGCCGGTTAGTTCCATGTCACATTGTAAAACATTCCCATGACTCTGCTTAGATTCACAAACACAGGATGTTTTCCAAAAGTTCATAGTCACCCAGAATTATTGTGCTGAAAGCAAAAACTGTTTAAGGATATTTACACTTTTCGATAAGGCTATTTGTCAAACATTTTAAATATGACTTTGTTTTTTGTTTGTGTTAGAGAAAATGTATATATTTGTGTATATTATATAACGCATGTAATTTTTGTCACTATTATTTTTTTTTGTATCCTCTTCATAATTTAACTAGACAGTCTTAGTCAAATATTCTTATTTGTTTTACATTTTTGTTTATATTCTATTCACATAGTTGGGTTTGTTTTTGTTTTTTGAAAAGTAAACAGTTCTTTTCTTCCCACAGACCGAGCAAGCCACAGTGAGTGCTGAATTTGAAAGCTACAAAGTGCGTGTCCATAATGTTTTAAAACAGCAGAAAAATAAATCTATTTCTCAAACTGAACAGGAGGTCTTCAAACAAGAGAGGTAAATGGTTTATTAAGGCCAGTGCACATTTGTTATCAAGCGCAGAAATTTGACTGTCGAACAATATGACTTTTGCTTGTATGCATCAAATAATTGACATTTTGAATAGTCAAGTAAAAATCTGTTATTAAATTTACATTTTTTTATTTTGGGATATTATGCTCTTTAATATCCATGTATTGTAAAGTGCTGTGGAATAAGCTGGCGCTATAGAAGTACGAATAATAATAATAATAATGTAAGAGTAGCTTGGGATGCCCCGTGATAATCAGGAGAGTGGAGGCTTTCCTTGTTGCAGACACCAACCTCTGTCTTATAGCAGGGCAAGTACAGGGAGCACGCAGGCCAGGGAGAAGATTTGCCATGTTGCAGATTGCAACTTCAATTTTGCTCTTCTATCTTCTGTTTTGTGTGACATTTTTGTAATTGTGAGATTGCCAGACGTCAGCGGGAACAAAACCGTGAGGTTTATATTCCAAAAAATGACCAACAAATCACTTTAATTCTGTTGTGTGATCAGTATCATTAAGTGAACAGTAGACCAAGCAAGAATATACTCAAGTAATTAAAAAAAACTAAATTAAAAAATGTGTTGAACCACACATAAATGAATCTACCTACAGCAAGAGTTGTTACGTTTCCTTAATTGTACATTCAGGTATGTATATGTAACTATAGGAAACTGTTACATAAAAGGGGAGTTGTCATAGGTAAACTATTTGCCTAAACCCAATTGCATCCTATGGTGCCATGAGGACTGTATGGTAGCAATGCTTGAAACTCATGTGTACACAGGCACTTTTATGTCACTTAGTAACTAGATGCAAACCCAAGTCCAGAAGTTCTTAACAGATATTTTATTCTATTCCGTCTATTTTGTACTGCAGTCCTAACCCCAATAAACTATTTAATAGGATTTTTTATTTGGGTTAGGGAACGAGGAGCTGTCCTTATCAGAAAATTCCCAAATGAGTAATGTTGCAGTGTGTCAAAAGGGCATAAAATAGTCAGAATATATATTGGAGCACAGGGATAGAAAACCTTTCGGCCCTCCAAATGTTGCGGACTACATCTCCTTGAATGCTCTTACAGCCATAATGTAATCCACAACATCTGGAGTGCTGAAAAGCTGCCTACCTCTGCCGTTACATAGTGCCTAAGCAGAAACAAATCCTGTGGTTCATTCCTTAGTGCTTAAAGAATGAGAACAGTTAACAAATGCTGTAGATAACCACATATGAGAGTATTTGTTTCGACCATAAATAAAAGGTTGGACTATCCTTGGATGGGTATAAATTGGTTGTCAATCTAAATGTTTTTTTTTTGTTGTCCGCATCGGTCAATCCACCCATATTTAGAATCAATGGCATTATAAATGCACAGGTATCTCCATTAAAACTTCAGTTGCATGCAACCATATTAGCAAAAGGGACAATACTTTGCCAATTAATCTCTTCAATACTAAAATGGAGTATAAAAGGTTTTATTTTCCTGTATTTTGCAGTATGAAATCTAGTCCCTCAAGCCTCACTCACCCTCGTTTATACTCTAGTTATGATTACTGGCCTCTAGAGGAACACATTTCTCTACAAGAAGATACTAGTCACTTCTGAAAGTGTAAGCTCACCCCTACTTTCAAACCGTAAAGAAAGCTTAATTGGGTGATAGCATTCTTAAAGTCAGGGAGTGAATTCATTCCCCCATCTTACTGTCCGCATTACAGTAGAAGTCCAGAGATTGATAAAAATTGCTACAGCAGTTTTAAATATGTTCATTTTAGAAATATATAATTTAGCTGTATTTACTGTATGTAAGCATTATTCTTAAAGGCGGATATTCTTTCTACATTATGTTGCAATGTTTAGTAAACTGCACCACTAGTAATGACTAGTAACCCTTTCTTGGTTTTTACAAATACAATTAGTGTTAAATAAATTTCAAACTAAATATAAATACATAAATAACCCCAAAAAGGCATAGAATGTGTTTCATGCAAAAACACAGTGTAACTATTTATTTAAAATAGTGTGACATAAAACAAATTATGAACACAAATATGGACTGTAAATAGTGTACACACTCTTATAAAGTGTAAAAATACTTGCTTAAAATACCCTTCGAAAATCTGGATCTATTATTAAAGAAAACATTGAGAACCTAGTGCAGTATTGCAAATATATGTATATACAATGAGTTGTAAATAAATGCACACTTGCCAACATTGAGTGGAAAACATAGCACTCAGAACTATTCAGCCTTTGGTTGTTGTTGGATCCAATCTTTATAATGCAGTGCAAGAACTCACCACCACCAAAGGCTCGACTTTATTGATGTCCAAAATACGGGTAAAAGCAAAGAGTGTCTGGAGGCTTTGTGTTCCCACCACTTAATCCAAATTTATATAACACAATTTGTTTTTGCACACCATTTTTTGCATTTGTCCTGATTTGTGATTTTTTTTTTGCCAAAATCTTTTGATGGTTTCAGCATTGTGGTTATATTTTCTAATCGTGATGAAGTATTAATTGTATTGAGATATTATTTCCAAAAATTGTAAATAGAGATATATAAAGACAGATCAGCATAATCACAAAAATATGTGAGATGATGAAAACTGCTTTATAAAGAGCCTACCTCAGAGCTACATTGAAAGGGGGGGGGGGTATTAATAAGTGGATGAGGAGGTAAGGGGAAGAAATGAAGAAAAAAACTCCCCAAGTACTTCTAAAATTATCCACTGCTTATTGTACAAAATAGTAGTGAGAGAAAAATCCCTAGTGGAATAGAAGTCTAGCCCTGTACACTAGAAGAGTTATCCAAATCTAGGGTTCCACCGAGTATATAGTATGTACAATGCCCCACTAATGTAAAGGCAGGACAAAATTAACCCCACTAATGTGAAGGCAGGTCGGAATTAACCTATACAGGAAAAAATAGGGGAAGGGGAAAGAACCAGGGCAGTTCCTATATGGACAAACCCTAGGTCCAGAGGAACCCCTCAGGACCAAAAACACTCGCTGCCTAGAGAAGTCCCTTGAAAAATCAAAAAGAGGCTAACTATACTGACTAACTAAATAAAAGCATACTGACTACCTAAGTGATACCTAGTGAAAAAAGAAAACATAAATAAATTAGAATAAGCGCTCGACGCGCGTTTCAGCGTGTATACACGCCGTCATCAGGAGCAATTATGAATACTCGTCCTACTCAGACCGATTAAATACCTTAAGCAATCAGAGGTGAATTACTCCAGCTGGTCCGACGTGTGGAGAGGGGAGTGGATATCTGACGTAATCACCACTCCTCCTCAACAGCGCCATCACTCGTGCCGGTGATCACTCGTGCCGGTGATCACTCGTGCCGGGATGTCATTGGGTAGTGCCAAAATCAATCATAAGGGGGTGGAGAGGGGGAAGATTATACACAAACGGGCGCTCCGCCCCTCAGCATAGCCGGGTCCCGAAATGAAACGATACTGAGGGATATTATTTCCACTTTAATCACTGCACTGTGCCATCATTTATTCATTGTTACGGTTCTTACAAATACCTATAAGTAAGGTTTATTGACTATTTTTATTTTTATATTTGTCGCACCTAGTGTATGTGAGAAAAATAAAATTGTTGCTTTTATACTGATATTTCAGACTCTATGTGCTGCAAGATAAAGGACACCATATATACGGCCGAACGCTTTTCATTCCCAAATATTTTTTATACAGTATGAATGAATAAGTGAAAAATAAGATCGTTTAACTGTACATATTTTTAAGTTTGACTGCAAGGCAATATATAGACAAAACTGTGGTGTCATGAGTTGTGTATATGATAGCCATGCATTCCTTGCTTCATATAAATGTTATGCTAATATTTTTTTCAGTCAAATTGTTCTCTGTAGTAAAAGGGGTTAAAGGACCACTATAGTGCCAGGAAAACAAACTTGTTTTCCTGGCACTATAGGGTCTTTGGGTACCCCCACCCTCATGGCCCCACTCCCGTCGGGGTTAAATTCTTACCTTTCTCCAGCGCCGGGCTCCCTGGGGACTCGTCTCCCTCTTGCCGCACATTCGCATACGTCGGATGACGCCGGAAGAGCCGCGCGCGCATTCAATCAGTCCATAGGAAAGCATTTCTCAATGCTTTCCTATGGACGGCAGCGCCTTCTCACTGTGCAAATCAGAGTGAGAAGCGCCTCTAGCGGCTGTCAATGAGGCTGGATTAACCTATATGTAAACATAGCAGTTTCTCTGAAACTGCTATGTTTACAGCTGCAGGGTTAACCCTAGATGGACCTGGCACCCAGACCACTTCATTGAGCTGAAGTGGCCTGGGTGCCTATAGTGGTCCTTTAAGGAGAATCAACATGAAAAAATTATGGCTGAGACTTGTTTACACAGTGTCTCTTTGTTTCTGTTTTTAATTAGCCATTGACAGGGTCTGCTGTCTTTGTTTTCCACATTTGACTTGCACGGATCATTAGACAATGCTACCATTAATACCAACTGGAACATGCAGCAACTACTATCTACTCAAGATGGTGTCTTGCTAAACCTGATGGTGTCAGCGTATGGTCTAATCTGCAGAACATGTGGACAACTGATTGCATGGCAATCTCATTCTTGGCTCATAGTTCATTCCTGTAAACTGAGCAAATGCTGGTCTTACATGCATAATGCACTGATCACATTGAAGTACTTTTAGAGCTTTCATCTCATCTTGCCCCTGATTTAGTTTTCATTTATCACAACATGATTTATTTTTTAGATTATCACTAGATGTTTTCACGGTTTTAAAAATAACTCCATATTTGTTCAATTTTAATTTGCCAACATTTTCTCCTTTCCATTAAACCCAGCTGGAAAGTTACCACTACTCCAGCTTCTGTTTGTAACAATACACAATTAGAAGCTTTGTGAAACAATTTTTGGAAAATAACACAATTGACCTTGTATGTACATACTTGAAAACAAGAGAAATCTTAATGTATCTTTCCTGGTAAAATATTTTATAAATAAATGTACTGTATATACTCGAGTATAAGCAGAGTTTTTCAGCACATTTTTTATGCTGAAAAAGCCCCCCTCGGCTTATACTCAAGTCAGGGTCTGTATTATGGCAACTTACATTGCCATAATACAGACCAGGTCGAGCCCGGCGGTACTGGGGAGGCCGGCAGCAAGCGGTTACCTTTCCAGCAGCTACCTTCAGCTCCCCAATGTAAATCTCGCAAGTCTCTGACGGGCGTGGCAACGCTCCGCGCGGCAAGCAGACCGTGAGATTTACACTGTGGAGCTAAAGGGAGCTGCTGGAAAGGTAAGTAACAGCTTGCTGCCGACCCGCCCACTGCTCAGCCCATGCCACACACACACTGCATTCACACAAACACACACTCTGCATTATATACACACACACACTGCATTCGTTATAAACACACACTGTAAATAAATATTCAAAAAAAATATTCAACCTACTGATGCCTCAATTAGTCTATTTTTATTTTGAGATTTACCGGTAGCGGCTGCATTTCCCACCCTAGGCTTATACTCGAGTCAATAAGTTTTCCCAGTTTTTTGTGGTAAAATTATATTCAGGTCAGCTTATACTCGAGTATATATGGTATAGCAAGCTGTTATGCATAATATTCTGGACCGAAACAGCAAAAATGCATTATTGAAAGTATTTTTATTTGAAATAATAATCCATGCTATTTCTCTATATTTCCCAATTTTAGGGAGCACTTGCAGATAATGCTTGACCAGGTAAAAGCTAAGCTGCAAGAGACACAACAGAACCTGCAGATCAATACATCTGAGTTGCTTGCTTTACAGTCTGAACATGACACACTGCTTGAGAGACACAACAAGATGCTACAAGAGACTGTTACAAAAGAGGCAGAACTTAGAGAGAAGTGAGTCGTGCACATCCATTTAAACTAGTAATGTCATCATTTATTCCTCATGTTCTAAAAACGAATGCACTTTGAGGAGTTTTAAACCTTTTCTACACCATGGCACTCAATAATCAAAACATATCCTATAGGGGGGTATCTTCTATTGAATAAAAAAGTTATATTGTAATTTGTGAGTGTGTATAATTGCACAAATCCTTAAGACAATATTCACCTTTTGGTGTAAAATACCCTATTTGGGCAATATTATTAAGATGCATTTTACTTACCTGGAATCGAGCTCCAGGCGCTTACTTTTACATCTCCTTCTGATGTCTCATGGGCCTTGCGCAGTACTGTTGCAGACTTCTCATAGAGAAGCCTGTGATTGGCCCATTTTGTTGGCTCAGAGCGCATGCGCGCAATCTGAGCCAGATAGGTAATTAAATTATTTGTATAAATACCAATACAAGTAGAATGAAGGAAGGGAAAAACTATCTCTCACAGCATAGCTCTGGGCTGCCTAAGTCGTGTTTGATGTGGGTGCAACTAGCCCCAAGAACACAATTGAAAATAACTCGGTATGTGCATGTTTCAAGCAGAAACACTGCACATACGGACTCGTACCACCATGGCAACTTCAAATCACTGAAATGGTCATGGTGGTTGGAGAAACCCTTTAACATTGTATTTCTTTTAGATTTCAGCCCTCAATGCTATAGATTCCCCTGTCAGCAGAATATTGCCTTATACACACGCTTACACATAAACCTGATTCCTTGCTAAATAGTGAGTCATAACAACTGACCATGGCTAGATTTCTGCAGACGCCTTGACTCGTTGAATGAGAATATATAAATCCATGTGTTTGGCTCACCACTTGAATTCCTATATGAATTAATTGTGTTCATGCATTACTAGTCATTAAGTTTGAATATTGGCCCATGTTCACCTGAGACTCTGGCTTGTTACTAATAAATATTTAATATTTCAGATTATGCACAGCGCAGTCTGAGAATGTGATTCTTAAAACTGAGCATGCACAGGCAATCAGCCAGCTCAGCGCCCAAATTGAAGCTCAAAGGAACAGCTTTCAGGACAAAATCAGACATATGCAAGATGATCATAGGAAAACAGTGGAGACTCTACAGCAACAGTTGACTAAGGTAGAATCACAGCTCTTCCAAATCAAGAGTGAATCCTCTGTGTCAAGTAAGTTCAAAGAAAATCTGTCCATTTTATTGATAGCCTTGATATTTCTTACTTCATATTTAATGTGTCTATCACAGACCTGTTATTAAATATTTAAATGTATACTCATGCTCTGTTTTGCATTAGTAATCAATTATTGACCCTGCCAATCAGAAAAACCATTCGTATTTTATTTCTTGTTAATTAGTCCTACAAAATAACTGAGATCAGTAAGAAGCAAGACAATTCATTGGTTAACCTGGGGAGATTTTTCACTCAGACAAATGGATATTTGTTTTCCATTTGAAAATAAGGATTGTTGGAGGCAGTCCTACATGTTAACCTCTCAGAAACCTATTCATCCATAATAAAATAAACTTTTGTTCATTCTTACAAAAGCATATCTGTTTGTAAATTGGGAGTTGGCTGATTTGGTAAATTAAGGCTGAGCTTTTGTTTTCCACCATTTTTTTGTTAAAATATGACTTTCACATTAAAATAAAAATGTTTTCATGTGTATGTTTTCTCATCTGTGCACGTGATTTTTTTTTTTATTATTTTTTTATTTTTTTTTTGTAAGTGCTAATGGTCCCTCACAAAATAAACCATGGTTCTTGTGAGAATCTACACATGCTGTGTTCCTTGTTTGCTGTCCATTAAAAGCAACTTGTGTGCTCAGCTGGATGCTGTGTGGGAGGAACACTGGGAAAACATGTTACAGGCTGCAGGTGACTCAGGAAAATATTACAGAATAGATGTTCAGAAGTTAACACAATAACATAACCTGCCTCACATATACAATGCATTCTATAGTCCAGAAATCTTATTTTTCTTTATATTCTTGTTTGCTGGTATTGTGCTGCCAAGTCCTTGCTGATTTTCAGGATTAGCATGGCTATGTACTTACTGCAAGCTGTGACCTCGTCAAGAGCCTTGTCTTGAAAATTTCCCAGTAAATCATAAAGTCATGTATTGTCGATTCTGTCCAAATTAATATCTCGCCTAATCCCTTGACACTTGTAAGTTCATTATGCTTGCTTGTATTTGTCCTTTTACTTGACTTGGCTTTTCTTTCTTTTATTTTCTCCTTCTGTTGATTCAGTAATGTATGGCCCGTGTGATTACATAACCTCTCAGCTTCTGTCAAATTCAGTCTTGCCAAGGCTTTATGCAGGGTTATTGGTGTAAAATATGAACAGATTTTTACCTAGTTTCTGTTTTTACTCTTCTTTATGCTAAAAAATGGTGTTAAATTTGTCTGATGGAATGAGAGACTAGATGTTCTCATGTTTGTTGGCATGTGTTTATTCTCTAAAATCTCATTTAATCTTCCAGCTGCTCCAATTTGTTTCATTTCAAGATCATTGTAACATGCAAAAAAGTGCCTAAAAGGAATTGAGGACTTGTATATATTATTATGCCAAAATACCAGAGTATTGCAGTGTGCAATAAGACCTTTTACCTAACATAATATTTCAAAGACAAGCTTTCGCCTCTCTTCCTCAGGTACTCTGCTTCAGACCTGAGAAAGAAAGGAAAACTCTCAAAAGCTTGTCTTTAAAATATGTTAGTCCAATAAAAAAGGTATCATTGCATATTGCAATACTTTTCTACTGGACTAAAACAGCTAATCCGATCTACACTATATATATATATATTAAATTAGTTTGAAATCCTTTAAATCAATACGTGTAATATGGCACTTAAATCAAATGTTTATATCTGCATTTGTAAAGGAAATTATGAATTAATCTTTTAATAACGTACAAATACAGTATTACATTGTGACGGGGCTCTGTACTCTGACTGCATACTTTAGCCAGGTCAGCTTCCTTACCTCCAGGGGACTATGGATCACTACAAATCCTTTTGCTAAAGTTTAACTGGGGTCTCTGAGTACCTCTTCCACTTGACCAGGCTGCAACAGGTATAGCTGTCATTACTCAAGAGACCGTCTCTCTTGTAAAGCAGTGATTGTAGCTTTTCTCCTACACATTCGTCAAGACTGAATGTAGGGGATAGAATGATCTTTATTGCACACAACACAGCTATTTATACAGAACAGTGTTGACATGCCCTCCGAGGGTTCCCCCATACAATGCAGTGCACAGTAGAATTGTCCCTCCCTGGTACTACTGTATCTGGGAACTTCAGCACAGCACACAAAATGTTTACCAGAACCTCCTTTTTCTTAATCGTATCCCTACACAATATATATCACTGGAAAGCTAGCACCGAGTGCCCTTCCTATACAAATAGCTCCCTGATAGAAAAATTTGTGCCCAAGTTACAGCGTGTTAAAGTTTTGCGGCTATTCTCCAATCCTGCGAGGAGTTCCATGCGTGCGTTAGTCCTGGTCTCACAAAATGGGTTCCCGGACTGAGGGGGTCCGAGCAATATCCACTTAAAGTTTTAACAGACCATGCCACAGTCCCGATTCGAGGAATTGTTACAGAGTGTTTCAGGGTATGTCCCTGTCAGGCACTCAATGTGTAAGATGAGTCCAGGCGATCCCCCCAGGTCCCCATAGCCCTCGCCACAGTGACAACAGCTCTTTCAAGGTGTTTTTGGACCAGGCCCATAGCCTATGAGCAAGAGTCAGTCCTTCAAAGTCCTCTCCAAAAGTCAGTGGCACAGGAGCTTCTGTCACAAACACATGTAGTATATTCCTCAACTTCTTGTTTTCAGAACTTTGAGATATCATATTTCCCTTTCAGGTTCCCAACAATCATTAAAGAACTTGAGAGAAAGAAGACAGACTGACCTTCCCCTCCTGGATATGTACTCTGTGGCTCGAGAAGAAGGAGAAGGGATGGAAACAACAGACACTGAATCTGTGTCTTCTGCTAGTACGCACGTGGCATCATTAGAGCAGCTTCTCAACTCATCTGATCTAAGACCCGGTGAGTGCAATCTGTCTAATATCAATCAGTGGATGCTGTGACTCTTTATTCTGTAAATCTTAGACTAGAGTGAAAGTTTAGGTTGAATTTCTGGATGAACTTTTTAACTTTAAATTTTGATTTAATAAGCTTTCTTAATGATTTATTACTGTTAGAAAATGTTTCAAAATAATGTATCTACAGAATTAACCATTAAAGTCTATGGGATTTTTTATTTTTTTTTGTAGCTATATGTTTTTTTTTTTTCAAAATGTTTCTAACAGTATGGCATAATTGAGAAAGCCTATTAAATAAAAGCCTTTGTTGGATCAAAGCTTCTGAACATATTTAGTCACTTTGTCATGTGGAGCGACAATGTGAAAGTGTTTCTTAGGTAAGTCTTTGTAGGAAACTAGTATTGTGAACAAATCTATTTGGCATTGCTTTTATCTTAATAAAAATTGCTGTATTCAGACTTAAAAGCTGTGCCAATGGTGCCTGATGTTTTGTATTTTCGGTATAATCACAATGATCTAGACAGTGCCAATTAGAACATTAAAGGCAATGTAAATTAATTGTACATTATCTTGAAAAGCAAAATGTTTTTTGGGTGTCTAGAGCATTGTCTAGAGCATTGTCCATAATAATATATTTTCCAACTATCACTTGCTGTTGCTTTTAGTATGTGTGTGCCAAACCATATAAGGTAATATAGGAACCTTTTGACATTCGCTAGTGGTAAAATGGAAGCTAAATGTAAAAGAGAGTATAATATAGTATTGCATTTATTTGAAGTTTGATCTAGTACTTGTCTCCATGTTACATTAGATCAGGTTTTGTACAAAGCCTTGGGTTAAAGGAGCACTCTAGGGTCAGGAACACAAATGTATATTTCTGACCCCATTGTGTTAAAACCACTATCTAGCCCCCTGCCCTCCTCTTGCCTCCCTAAATATAGTAAAATCTTACTTGTATTCAAGCCTGAAGCTGCTGGCTTTGCTCCTGTCTGCCTCAGACCTGCAAGCTGTCAGCTGACATCAGAAGTGTTGTTCTAAGCCAATCGCAGTGCTTCTCCATAGGATTGGCTGAGACTGTGAAGGAGGCAGATTAGGGGCAGGGCCAACACAAGTCAAACACAGCTCTGGCCAATCAGCATCTCCTCATAGAGATGAATGGAATCAATGAATCTCTGGAAGAAAGTTCAGTGTCTGCATGCAGAGGGTGGAGACACTGATATGTTGTGATGCACACTAGCCAAGACTGTTTAAGGAAGCAGCTCTTGTCAGTGAAGTTATCACTAGGCTGTAATGTAAACACTGCATTTTCTCTCAAAAGACAGTGTTTACTGCAAAAAGCCTGAAGGGAATGATTCTACTCACCAGAACAAATGCAATAAGCTGTAGTTGTTCTGGTGACTATAGTGTGCCTTTAAATATGCATGTGTCCATAGTTTTTCTGTTTTTTATATTATACATCAACATTTCCAAAGATAATTATGTCTATTTCCGCTTAAATTATTTACTAGATAAATTAACAGAACCCACTTTATGGCAACCAGAAGTTTCTAAAGAAGAACTGACCCAGAAACTAACTACCACATCAAAGAGTGTTGATCATCTAAGTGGGCTTCTTCATGAAACAGAAGCAACTAATGCCATTCTTATGGAACAAATTACAGTAAGTCTTTGTTCTCATCTGCACCTTAACTTTTCCAGCATTGTAAATAGAATTGTTTTTCTTCCTACAATGGTGAATGACTGTTGACAACTTGACCACTATTTTAAGGAGGAATTGGTCAATTATGTATATTTGATACTCGCTTCGCCGAACTAATTTGAATTGTGGACTTTTGTAGGTAATTTCTGATCAGTGTTTGCTATGCTGGAAATTAGGCATTTCAAGCTTATTTTCACCTTTCAAAGGAAAATATCTTTCCTCTCTCGGACTAAGCAAAACCTAGTAGTTTTTCACACCTTATTATTCTCTAATAGTGATGAAATTAATAATTTCATTGAATGTATTAAATCAAGGCTCAACATTTTTACTAGCCTTTGGTGAATGAAAATTCAGCCTTGGTGAATGTGCAGTGGATTCACAAGGCGTGCAATGGCACGTAGGATTTAGGCCTGTTAGCGTAGGACTTGAAATTGTGAGCCCTAAATTAAATTTTTCCATAAGTGGACATGCAAAAGATCACCCAGTGATCTTGGGGTTTAGGAAACGAGGTTCTGGCATGTCATCCTAACATGACCACTTCATTGATTACTGTGCAATCTATTGTTGAACTGGAGAGATCTTCATCAAGTGGCACAGCTGCCCACTAGTTTTTGCAAGTATTTTCCCCTGTCCTAGTGGATATTTTACTGCATTCCGACTCCATGTTTAAACATAGAAAACTGCCTAAGTGTATCTTTTTGCTCTTGTAATCAACTTTCTCACAATAGCTCTACAAAGACAGATCACAATAAGGGACAGAATTCTGTTCACAAATTCACTTAAATTGCATTTACTGTTGAGTGCACTTGTGACTTTAATCCCTAAAATCTTATTTTGTAGTTTTATTCAAGTTAATATGCCACCTACATTTTTTAATACTATTAAATTTACAGAATAACTCTCCCAGCATGTTTAGACATTTTATTTGAGGCATCTAACTGGGAAACAATTTTATGTTTTGTGCTTATTTGTTAGCTTCTTAAGAACGAAATTAGGCGCTTGGAGAGGAATCAGGAGAGAGAGAAATCTGTGGCAAATTTGGAATATCTGAAGAATGTACTGCTACAGTTCATATTTCTGAAGGCAGGCAGTGAGAGACAGCGCCTCCTTCCTGTCATAGACACCATGTTGCAGCTAAGTCCGGAGGAGAAGGCGAAACTGGTTTCTATTGCTCAAGGTATGGTGAAGCGCGTGATGCATTAGAAAGTATGCTCCATCATTAGACTTAATACTAAATCGCTTTCAGTAGAAGACCTGTTTTAGCTCATTTTCAAGGAAAAGTGTAAAAAGCATCTTTGATATCATGACAATGTGAGGACCTTTTTTTTTTTTTAAATAAATATTTATCTCCTTTGTTTTCAAAGGTGAAGAAGAAGCAGCTGCTCGTCCCGCAGGTTGGGCTTCCTACTTGCATAGCTGGTCAGGACTCCGGTAGTACCAAGGATATGTACAGATGCACACAATACATTCCAGAATTGCACTATGAAGACACATACTTCCTTACTTTTACTTTTATTATTTTACTTTTATTTGCACCCCATGATAAGACATTTGTTTGGTGGGGGGTTTTTCTACCCTGCGTTTTAAAGCTTTGTGTTTGCTATGACAGATTAATTATTTAGTTGTCAATAGAAAACTTTTTAAAGAGAAGTTATTGGATTTCCTTTTCCATGACATACAACCTAGTGCAGGGTTGGGTGTTAATACAAGTGTTCCGTTTCCTTCTTCAGTATAGTTTGATGCCTGTTATTAGATTGTGGCATTTATCTTACAAATCAGCCTTTGTAGCACCAACATTGTATGACAATGAATGCTATATCCCTATCTGGAATGAATTAGTCATAGGATTGTATATTGAAGAGTTATTTAGGTTTTACTTGTGAAACGAAACCCCCTCAACATCTTAGCTGCTTAATTTTCAGCAATCTATGCTGGATGATTCCCTTTAACTCAGATACTGATACCAAGCGAGAAGAGACAAAAGCCTTTCACTTGTTGCATAGGTTTCAGAAAAGGGAAATGAGCAGATCATTTTCTCTTTAAACATAAATAACATGGTATTCTCATGTATCCATAGTTATTTAACTAAAAAATATACTGTGCAGTTGGCTTTGTTTTTTGGGGGTTTTCTTGTTTGTCTTTAAGGTGGGGGGTTATTTTTTTTGGGGGGGGGGGTAGTGTTCTTGTTTGTTTGTTTATGTCTGCAATATGTAGTTCTATAGGTACATTCTAATGCACCCATCATGCACAACGTTCTTCTTTGTAATGGTTTTAATTCTTTGAGTTGCATAAATGTTGTACCTAGTACATTTTTTTTTCTAATCCCAACTAATAATGTGAAAAATCACCAATTCTTTCTGTATTTTAGCATTCTGAATTCTTCTTTAGTTCTGTAGATGATTAGTTGTTGCAGCTGTTTAATCATGTCTCCACCAGTGCCTTAATTACATCATGTTCGGTGCAATTTAGAGGACATGCTCTGTGTTTTACCATTTTGAAAAGTCCAAGGTGGGAAGTTTGAAGATTTACAAGTAGAAATTTACAATAATGCGTGAATGGTTGATTTATTCTGCTGCTTACGGAGTTTTGAAGAGATTTTATATTCTGTAAGCTAATGATGACTAACTTTGACATTTGAGCGTAGGAGCATTATGAGATATGTAATGGATAATCACGCCACAGTTTAGGCCTATGGATCCATATATTAAGAGTTGGATATGGTTGTTCCACCATATGCCTTCCAGGATTGCACCATTATTTAAAGAACTCTTCTAAAAATATTTTTTTAAATAAACTTCTCTTAACAAAATGGTGGTCTGACAACCTTAATGGGAACTAACACGAACATTTAAAAACAATTTGATGTGAATTTGACAATAAGTGACACTAACATTTTAAAAACAATTTGATGTGAAATTTAAACAACCAGTTCGGATTCATGATTATGTTGTTATACATATGTTAAAATGTGTTCACTTTTTGTATTAAATAGTATTTTGTTACTTTTTGTGTTTGTAATGTAATTTTGGATTTTAAATGAACACTCAAAGCACCATAACAACTACAGTGTGCTGAAGTGGCTATTGTGCCAGGAGTGAGCAGGCGCCGCCTGATGTAAGTAGTCAAACTGTTTTCTAACAGTTTGACAACTTATCTAGGTCTCCCAGTTGCCACGCACTCCATCAATTGAGAGCAGGAAGCTCATTCATGGAGCTTCTGCTATCACCCCAGAATTAAAAGTTGTCAGACCAGTAGCAAACCTTTATTGGGAACACCAGGGCACTATATCTCCATAACCTCCACAGCATGTTGGAGGGTTCCATTACAACTATAATTTCTAGACTGTTGGTCATATAATCTGTCTACAATACTATGATTTGATATGTTAATATGGACCTTGGAAATAAGTGTGTGTGTGTGTGGAAAGTTAATACAGATTGTGTCAATTTGTTAAAGGGACACTATAGTCACCTAAACAACTTTAGCTTAATGAAGCAGTTTTTGTGTATAGAACATGCCCCTGCAGCCTCACTGCCCAATTCTCTGCCATTTAGGAGTTAAATCCCTTTGTTTATGAACCCTAGCCACACCTCCCTGCATGTGACTTGCACAGCCTTCCATAAACACTTCCTGTAAAGAGAGCCCTATGTAGGCTTTCTTTATTGCAAGTTCTGTTTAATTAAGATTTTCTATTTCTTTACCATTGTGACAAAATGTAAAATGCTTAGATGGCAGTTCAGTTTCCCACACATTACGTAAAACGTATTTTAGTTTACTGTGGTGATGTGTGATTATTTTCTTTCTTTTTTTTATTAGTTTTTCCCACAAATCCCACCACTTACGTACCACCCCTCTAGCAGTACATATCCCTTTTAAATCTAATAATACAGCTAAATGTTGTGTGATCACACAAAACTGTATTCTCTTGGTAGTCCTGTTTACTCTACCTGGATTATGTACAACCCAATCTTCTCTTTCATCTGGTCCTGATTACTTAGCAAAAATAGCCTAATTAATGGTTTGGTAGATTGCCGCAACTATACAATATTCAGTAGAAAGTCTCATACATGCTGATCCTGCTCCGTACTTCCACAGAAAGTGGTTGGATTTTTTTTAAAATGCATTATTTAATATGTTAAGACAAGGTGTCCTCTCTGGCTTGCATTCATCTTTTTGTGTTCCTGTCCAGAAACCGTTTTACTTTTGTAGATATAAAGCAGAGCTGTGTGTGACATGAATTATAAAAGTATGAAAACAATGCAGTAGCTTTTAAATACTTTTTTTTTTCTTTGCAACTTCATCCCACTGATAAATGTTGTAATAACTTGTAGGCCATGAAATGCTCAAAGCAATATATTTGAATCAAATTTGCTTTCCAACACCTATTTAAAAACAGAACAATATTTTACACACAGATTGCTAAAATCAACATATATATATATAAATAAAAGGGTTGTTTCATAGAACTGTTTACATGTATAGTGGGGAATTATAGAAAATTATCTTAAACACAACAGCCAGTATTTTGGCTATATATTCTCTAAATGCAATCAAGAGACCTCAACGCCATAGTGCAGGAAACATTTTACTCCTAAACTCATTTTTACGTGTCTGTCCCGAGCACTCTCAGAATATCATTGCCATGCAAGGTTGGATTGCGTAATGCAGTGGTGCACTTTTACATTAGCTGAGGGGCAGGCAGGGTCCAATTATAGGTGTATAGAGTCCTTTTTTTTGCAAATTGCTTGAAAACAGTTTGACTCATGGGGGTGGCACCCTGGACACTTCGTACCATTGCATCTCTTATAAGCTGCACTTGTTATGGGGCTTAGAGTACTCCTTTAAACCGTTAGCATTTTCATGAATTATCACTTATGTAAACTGAATAAGCCATGTAGATGACAAGTTCACCTTTAGATTGATAAATATTTAATCTATACATTGTGCTCCAAAATATCCAACCAATGAATTGATTAAAAGAAATATATAAATTGATGTCTTTTTCTCCAAATTAGTCACCAAGGATTTGTGGGATGCTTCCACGTCACTAAGAGATAATGTGGGTACACATACAGCTTCTCCTGCACCCCACGTTTGTATCGTTTACAATATGCCAGTGGCAGATCGCTAAAATCTGTCAGAAATGTTTGGTGAAATATAGTGTTTCAATTGTACAGCTGGTGGCAATTCAGCTAGCAGAGTGTGTAGTTTAAAATGTTCTCTACAAAGGGCACTATGTCATTGTTTGTCGTGATAAGGGCAGTTTAAAAAGTATGGCCATCAATTTCTTAACACTCCTTATATTTATATATTTTGTCAAGTAATAATGCTTGTGTTTTGTGTGTTGTTTAAGGAATTTAGGCTAAGCTTATTTATATATTTTCTGAAGTAACCCACATAACCAGTGGCACTCCATATCTGGCAGATTACAAACCAAAGACAATTGTATTTAAATACACCCATGATCTAAGAAGTGATGTATTGTGCCTGTAAATGCTATTGAAATAGTTTGTTTGCTAATTCAGTGTAGAATTTCCATATGTTACTTGAAAGGAACACTCCAATGTTAAAAATCAATATATTTATTTCTAACAATGGTGTGTTCTTTTGATTTGGTGCCCAAACTGCCCACAGTGTCCTCAAATAGTTACCTCTGATCCAGCAGCGAAACACCTTCTCGCGGTAACTCTGCTATGCTTTCTGGAGATCATTACTAGTGCTTCTTTCCTCTTCCTTTCTAACGGTTCTAACGAAAAAGCACTGGGGTGCTAGTGCGTAGTAGAATGATTTTCCTAGGTAAACAATGCTTTTTTGTTAAAAAAACAAACACAAAAAACCCTCACTTGTACTTTGATCAAGGGCTCAAAGCAAATTGTGGAAGAAAAACACCTTGGCTGTCAGACAGCCAGGAAGGTGTAACTCTGGAAATTTATAAACGTGCCTATTTCTTTGAAATTGGCTCTTTTACAAAATACGAAAGAGGAGACAGTCAACACATAAAGCACAGCTAGCTACCTGAAGTGCTGTATCTATTTGGAATGTTCATTTAACCTTGCCTAAATGTGATACCAATGGCTTGTTTTGGGGTTTTTTATTATGGAATTCTACATTTTGTAACCATGGATAATAGTACTTTAAACTTTGTATTTTCACATCACTGCTAACTAACATTTTGATATGCTGTGAAATATGTGTTTTTGGTTTTTTGTTCCCTCCATATTTAAATGGTTGTAGATTAGACCCTACTGGTATATAACGTAAGACCCAGGAATCAGTAGGAAATTGGTTTATTAATTGATGGCCACTTATGCCCCCTTTGTCATCTAGTTGAAATTGCTAGAGCTAGATGGAAACTTTATTTTTTTAAAGAGCACATATTTATCTGAAAGAGATTAGCTGGAAAATCCCATTGGTTTGCAATATATTCCTGTTCAACTTTTTGAGCTTTGTCCAATATTTACTCTTCATAATCACTGTTGTGAGTACTGATATACTTACATCTTCACAGCAGATAACATGCTGAAAGTTTTTCATTGGCTTAAGTGTCTGTGATATTATATTATTTCCATTTGCGTATTTAGAATGAATGTAGACCTGTCTGTTGATAGGCTACTTTTAATTATATTGGTGTTTTGGTTTTGTTTTTTGTTTTTTTATTCTTTTCTATTTATTTGAGAAGCTCCTTTAAAATCCACATGTAAGCACCTTCATCTTACTGGCTATGGAAATTCCAGTTTGCGGTTAGCCATGTGAAATTAACTTACCTGGTAATGATTCTATATCGCATGGTTCTGCATGTCCAAGCAACAGTATTGCTAGAACTGGAATGTTAATGTTGACAGTAACAATTATTTTAACCTTTCAGTGGCAAGTGGCAGCCGAAATGTGGCAACAGTGTATATATCCCACATCATCTCCACTCGGGCACTAAAGAGGTTAATATGCCTTGATTATCCAATGTGAAAATAGTGTGATGGTATGATTTATGTTAAGATTTTATTTAAAATATGTAAAATTACATGAAATGTACTTTTAAAATGCAGTAATTTTGTACCATTGACATTATATATATATCATACATTTCTCTGTTCTGCACCTCAAAATTTGTAAAAATAAAACAAAAACAAAAAGACTTGAAAATGTAAATTTTAAATTCTGTTCCTCAAAAACTGAAAAATTAACTAAAATTAAAAAACACAGCTACTGAAAAAATGTTAAGGGAATATGTCTATTTTTTGTATGCAATTTCAGCAGTCAAATGTGGGAAAAAAGGGAAATAAAAGGCAGCAAAGAAGGGCAATGAGACATTTTTAAAGGGTTACATGGTAAATATCCTCTCTCTGCCTCCTTCCCTCATTCTACTCCCCTTGTCCCCCCCACCCTCCGTGGGTCTTGTAACTACTCTGGCAGCAGAAATGCAATTTGCTATGAAAGGCACCAGGCACCATGACTGCTTCAAATCAGTGAAGTGGTCATGGTACTTATAGTAACTCTTTAAGAGATGAGTTAAAAAAACTGTAGTGTTCATCATCTGTTTTATAGGGTGGGGACTGGTTGGATTTTATATTTCTTTTACCTACCATGTTTGGTTCTTACAGGTGACTATAGGATCTTGGGACTGTTTTTGTTTGATTTTTTAAATTTTTTTATGTGGGTCTACTGTACTGGTAGGTAATAGCCAGTTGGCACATTGAATTTGATTACTACACGAATATATGAATCAAATGTTTGGGGATAAACCTGTTCTAGAGGGCAGTACCAATAATTGGATATACATGCATATCACATTTGTGTTAATTTGGCGTTTGGATTGAGAGAGGCCTCATACACCAAATCCACTACAAGCAATATCCTTCATTTTCTCCAGCAACTTCCAGCAAGGTCTGAAGTACTGGGGATTGATTAGAAGACGCTACCATTATTCTGTCTTTTGTATAGCCCCTCTGTGGATGCATATTTTATTTATTCTATTGTTATTCTCTTCACTGTCAGTGCAAATTTCTGTTCATGTCTTTTATAAAGTCTATTAGTATTTACTGTGCATGTGATTAACATGACGGGCTGGGTGTTTCTCTGGGACCTAGGGGTCTTTACTCAAAATGGCATGATTTCCATAGTTTTAATTTTAGTTTATTCCTAAGCAAATAATTATCCATGCCATTCTGTTAAACGAGTCCTCATCACTCAACTTGTTCTACGTTTTATAAGCAATCTCTCTCATTTTGATCTACTATAATCTAAATTTAAAAAAAGTAAAATTGTGCTGTTACTCTACATGCCATGCTAATGTTTTGTCCTGTTTTTACTGGGCTTGACCTTGCTATTGTGGCTTTGCGAGCCTATGTGTTATCATTTGCACAACAAAAATAAAGAATTTAAATTAAAAAATCCAGTAGTAAACATAAAGACCCAAAGAGACAACATTGGGTGACATGACAGAATATAAGTGAGCTTGGTTTCTAGTGCATATGTATTAGAACAGCTAGGCAGTCACAACACCCAAACCAGAGTCTTCCAATCCGGTGCAATAAAATGTGCAAACCGGTTAGAAGAGGGGGAAGCGCCTTGATGTATTTCTTGAGGTAGAGGTGTTTCCAGAAGTAGTAGAACATGTGGAGACAGAAAATATAGCAAAATATAGTGTAGTATATCCTGTATCAATTAAAAATAAGAAAAAAAGGATAGCTTTGTCTAGTTGCGCCTGGGCGATATAGTGCCCACCTAAGGATATGTGATGTCTTCTAATCTTAAAGTGCTGTATTGCAAAGAACCATCAACTGGATACAGTAGTTCAGGATGTTATCAGCCCTGCATTATGGGCTCACTGGCTTGTTGGTAAGTAGGTCATATATGCAAAACACAGAATAATATTTATGCTCACTGATGCAAATATATGTTTGATTAAAAAAAAAATAGGAGAGGTGCTCACAAGTATGGAGCAAATTATGATAGCGCTATCTTAGCTCTACAAACTGTGAGTGCAATTCCTTTTTTCTTTTTAATTGCCACAGGATATACTAGACTATTTTTTGCTATATATTTTGTCTCCACATTTTCTGCTACTTCTGTAAATAACTCTTCCTCAAAAAAATACATCAAGATGCTACCCCTTCTTTTTTTTTTTTTTTTTACCTGTTTGCACATTTTATCAGGTGACATGTCATCTCATTTTTTTTTAATAAATAAAGCATGGGCAAATTGAAAGTGATTAAGTTGTATTTAAGTAAAAGACAATTTCAGATAAGTGGAATGGGAGCTACCAGTAAATTTGCATTATATGTATAAGAATGTGGTTACAGTTCACTTGGGATATCAGTGGCAATTATTTCCTTCTGATGTTGATCTTTGAGCTTACATAAACCTGCTTTTTCACGGGTTGTAAAAAAAAAAAAAAAAAAATGTTAAAGGAACACTATAGTATTAAAATTACATCTGTATTACAAACAAGAAAGTGTCCCTCTACCTCCAGGCAGGTAGACAAAATTGTTTCATCCAAACCGAACTTCGTTTGTTTTGTGATGAAATTCCTATGCAGGCCACTGCTGCTGCATGCGTTTGTTTTGTAGATGGCAACCTAAATTAGCACCCTTGTGGGATTGCAAAATATAAGGGTGCCACATTAGGGAACTATTTAGTAGCTAGCTCCTTTTTGGTATCCGTATGGTAATCCCACAAGTATTAAGTAGATATCTACTAAGAAGCTTAAAGAGCAACATTATTATTCCTTTTCTTCATTTTGGTCTTTCAGACAATGTTACTAATATTTAGTATTAGTAAATAAGGGAGGCTAAATCCTCTCTCCGTGGCGCGTGTAGGGAGATATCTAATAAACAGTGAGCAGAAAGTGGCTGCTCACTGTTCTCAAAAAAGACAAGTGACTGGTAATTATTGCTGCCCATTTACTAATCAAATAAAGGGGGACTTGGCACAGGTCCACCATGCACCAATGGTGGGTGTATATATTTCCCCCCAGGCTCCAACCATTGGCTGTGGATTCCCTCCAAGCCTCTAGTCACCCCTTGTGGCCTTACTTACACCCCCCATCCTAATTGTGGTGAGGGGAGCCAGTAAATGAAAAACAAAATCTGAACTATTTGCCTGTGGGCAGCACTGTCCGTCAGCAGACAAATAGTTAAAAACCCTCAGCGGCACTAGGTAAGGAGAGATATCACTGATATTTAAAAATAATAAACGTCTGGAACCTAGTGTCCACGCCCCCACAGGCAGAAGGAGAATAGCTCTTTCCCCTCGTTGGCTGCCATTCGTGGTGGTAGGTCCTGACTTCTAGCCAGCAGCTGAAGAATCTGCAGGAGACCACTCAGAGTTGACATCAGTGTCATAACACACTCTGTTTTTCTTTCCTGGTCGCTATTTCCCATATTGTTTTGCGCACCTATAATTTTTGGGGGGAGGGGGTGTTTATTTGTGTTTTGGGTGTTCCCTTTATCAGAACTCCTTGTAGGTTGCTGCACTATTTAAAATTCTCGTTTGTAGCAATATTTTGTTTAGTTCCTGTTGCGCCAACTTATTCTGTTTATTTCTTTAACGTCACTGTCATAACCCCCACACAAATTCCTGTACCTCCTACTGTCTGCGGGGGAGAAACAAATATAAACAATTGTTTGAGCATCAAGACTAAAGGGCGAAACAGGTATTTTAAGAGATAAAAAGGAGAGGAACAGGGGCGTGGCCTGACCGCCGAGAGAAATGGCTGCTTAGGCAGAGAGCTCCGTGCCCCGGCCAACTTGAAAACGCCTTGCATACAGCAACTCACCCCTGCTACCACTCCTGCAGCTCTCACTTTGTCGGAGGGAAGGACCAGGTGATGGCTTCACATAAGAAGAATGGGAAAAAGCCGCGTGAGGGAGCGCCGACCTGCTCACTACACCAAGGCCGCAGGCGGCCAAAGATGGCGGCGGACACATGAGTACGGGCTCCCCGGGATCCCCATACACCAGGGAACAAGAGAAACCACCGCCACCATCGGCCAACCTAGAAATATTGCAATCACTGGCGGAGGTGAAACATTACCTGGCTGGGGAAATAGAGCGGTCCGCTAGAGAAGTGAAGGCAGAGATTCAGACGGTGGACCAACGCACTGAGGCTCTGGAATGGAGGATGGATCACGTGGTGGCGGCCCACAATGAAGCGGCTGCTACTACCAATAGCCTTATTACACGGGTGGCCGAATTAGAAGCTGCCCTAGAAGATGCCTCCAACAGATCTCGGAGGAATAACCTCAGAATAAAAGACCTGCCCGAAAGAATTAAGGACACAGACCTCCAGAAGGTGCTTACACACCTGTTCAGAGAACACCTGCCAGAGATTCCAGACCACCTGTGGACCATAGACAGGGCCCAAAGGGCACTCAGGGCCAGAAGCCCCCAGGACAGACCGCCACGGGATGTCATAATGAGGTGGCATTATTTTTCCACCAAGGAAGCCATTATTAAAAGCACACGGCACAACACCTACACTGTCGAGGGCTCTACCATACACCTATATCAGGATATCGCGCCAGCCACGTTAGCCAGGAGACGGGAGTGGAAGCCCATTGCCGACCTGGTGCGAGTCAAAGGCCTTAATTTCGCTTGGGGCCACCCTTTCAAAATGCTGGTGTTTAACGGTCCTCGGTCGGCCGTGCTCCTACCCACGGCAGATCCCAGGGCCTTCCTACAAGACATAGGTATCGAAGTCCTAGACGACTTTAGACTCCCCCAAAGGGGCACCAGAGCATTGGGGCAACTGCCCAGAGAAGGAGCGGCGCAAGACAAAGGCGACCCCTGAGGGCCGGGCATAGCCCCCTCCTCTCTTTGGAAGGTAACAACACAACTCGAATATCCAAGACCCAAACCATACTACCTAAATGCCTGAGAATCAGAATCCCACCACATACAAAAACAACAAACAACACTGACAAGGAACGAAAAGACGTGGGGGGGGGGAGAAAAAAGACAAAAAACAAAACTAAAGCCACCAAACCAACCTAAACACCACAATACCAACGAAAAACCAAACAAAAACTACAAAAAAACGAAAAAAAATATACAAAATAAAAAAAAACCGCAAAAACCAGAAAGAAAACATCCAAAGCAAAAACGAACAACATCATCAGACTCAAAACGAACCAGAAAGAGGAAAAACAGCAACAGAGATCAGTTGAGCAGCCAGAGACAACAGATCTAGAGGGCAAGACAAAGAACGGGCCAAGACTGACAAACATATGGAACTTTATGAACCGCTATGAACGCTGAATATGTCACCTGGCTTTGGACACAGACACACCGTGGGGGAAGGAAAGAGGTTCAGGCTTCTACCCTGTGGCAGATGCAGACAACACATGAACTGGACGGTGAGGTATCCCACAAGCACAGCCAGACACGCAAGTGTATACCCTCCTTCCCCCCCCCCCCCCAGGGCGCTCACTAGCGCACACTCTGCCTGGGGGAAAATAGGGTGGATAGGTCCATCAGCTAGCACGGGGATTCCACAAGGGGGGAGTGTAGTCTTGTGCCTACCATCAGGAACACCCTTGATAGACGGGCCCGAGACCCAGATAACTAGGTTTTCTTCATCCCCCCCCCCCTTCTGTTACCCCTCCAGACACGGGACGTACTGCAGACCTGACACGGACTTGATAAAATTATCCTCACGGGGACCATATACACTACCACATACCACCTGATAAACATTTATGCCCCCAATCAACCAGACCCAGAATTTTGGGAGACATTACACAACTCAATCCACGCCTTGCCCCGGGGGTTTGTTGTGTTGGGGGGCGACTTTAACTCGGGGCCGTGCCCACCGGTCGACCGCAGCAGGCCGTCGGGAGACCGGGGGGCACTGCGGACAGGAGGACAAGACAAGCTGCTAGCCCAGTTCATACAAAAAGCAAAACTGTTAGACCCCTGGAGGCTGCAACATCCAGGACAGAGGGACTATACATACTTTTCGGCGGCTCATTCAACTTACTCCCGCATAAACATGTTTCTGGTCAACCAGGGTGGGATCTCATGGATCCACTCTGCACGAATAAACCTCATTACGTAGTCGGACCATGCAGACATAGAGCTCACACTGAGACTTCCGGGGCCAAGACCACCATGGAAGTGGCGGTTAAACAGCACACTCATAAAAGACCCAGAGGTGACCAAACTTATCCAGGGCGAATTGACAGCCTATTTCACCACAAACGATACGCCGGACTTAGCACAATCCACGATCTGGGCTGACCACAAGATGGTCATCCGGGGTACCCTTATCAAACTAGCAACCCGACGGAAAAAACAAAGAGCAGAGGCCCTCTTCGAGCTCCAGAAGGCGCTGAGGAGGGCGGAGGCCAAACACAAACAAACCCCCACGCCACAGGGACTCCAGGAACTTCGCGACCTCCGCCACAAGATACGGTCCTTAGCAGTGGAGGACTTGGGGCGGGACCTGGTCCGTAAAAAGCAGCTTTACTATGAACGCTCTAACAAGATGGACACCCTCCTAGCCAGAGCATTGAACCCCAAAGCGCAACTTAAAGCCATATCGGCGATTCGCGACGAGAGGGCGGGTGACTCATGACCCTATGGAGATCATTCAGATCTTCACGGAGCTCCTCTCCAACATCTACAATCACTCTCCAGAGCTGGTCAGCACCAACGGGGACTATGCCACAGCGGTAACGTATTTTGTGGCTGGAGCCAGTCTGCCGCGGCCAAGCCTGGGGGCCCTACAAGCTTTGGGAGCACCCATTGAGGAGGAGGAGGTGGATAGGGCTATCACGGCCCTCAAGGGTAACAAAGCCCCAGGGCCGGATGGCTTCAACGGCTCCTACTATAAAATCCTTAGAGACACGCTAATCCCACGACTCGTGAAGGGGTACGCGTAGTGGATGGACGGGGGACATCCCTGCCCAGAGATGCTCATGGCAGACATAACTCTCATCCCCAAGCCAGGCAGAGACCCCGCAGAAGCAGTGAATTACAGGCCCTTTTCATTGATAAACGTTGACGTAAAAGTGTTTGCGAAAATCCTGGCGACACGGTTAAACCCCCTCCTGGGGGTGCTGGTCCACCCCGATCAGGTCGGATTCGTGCCATCACGGCAATTGTACGAAAACACTAGGAGGGGAGCGGACGCCATATGGTGAGGACACAGACGCCTTCTCTGATTCTATCCCTGGACGCGGAGAAGGCGTTCGACAGGGTCCAATGGCACTACCTTCTCTCGCTGCTCGGGCATTTACACATGCCGGAGGCATTCATCAAAGGTATACAAGCTCTATATACAGAGCTTAGGGCGCAGGTCACTGTGCCGGGGGCAGCCCCGACACCATTCAAGCCCAATAACGGAACCAGGCAGGGATGCCCCCTATCCCCCCTACTGTTCGTCCTGGCGCTTGAGCCACGCCTTCATAGGATAAGGGAGGATGGGGACATAGCAGGCATACAGGCTGGGGGTGAGGAATACAAAGTTTCTGCGTATGCAGACGATGTCATGGTCACACTTACTAACCCTCAAAGGTCCCTCCCTCGGCTCTTGTCCCTGCTAGAGGAATACGGATATGTCTCTGGCTATAAAATTAATTTAGAAAAATCGAAAGCCATGCCGCTAGCAATGGACATGGCTGAGATCAATGGTTTGAAAGCCACCCACACTCTCAAATTCACAAGCACCGAACTTACATACCTAGGGGTTATACTTACAGCGGACCCAGAGAAATTGTATACTGCCAATTATACACCCAAACTCCAGGCACTTTGCTGAGCTGACAAGAAAAGCCAATCTAGTGGATAGGCAGATTACATGCCATTAAAATGACGATGCTCCCTCGCTTACTGTTCTTATTCCAAGCTTTACCGATAAGGGTTTCCAAACAAGACCTAGCAACACTACAACGACACATAGATAATTTTATATGGGCCCAAAAACGCCACAGAGTAGCTAGACAGGTGCTATACCAGCTGAAAATGAGAGGTGGACTGGGACCCCCTAACCTCTATCAATACTACTGGCAGTTCAGCTTGCCCAAATAGTGGCATGGCATGGCATGCCCCAGGGTAGACCTGGAAACAAAACTAATGTGTACGGACCTGCCCCAGTTCTGAATATGGGTGCTCAAACAGGACAGACCGCCCCTACGAACCACTTGCCCGGCGATCCTTAATTCCATCCGTATATAGGATATGACGGCTACTAAATATGCCTTAAAACACACACCCTCACCGCTGACTCCATATTTACGGAACAAAGCATTTGAGCCCGGGCTGAGCGCACAAGATTTTAGGGGGATAGAAAGCACAGGGATACAGAGAAATGGGCACATGTACGAGGGAGGTTCCTTTACAACGTACGACAACCTACAAACCTTGGCACCCCTAACCACGAGAGATGTATTTAGATACATACAACTACGAGATTTCGCCAAAACCCCACAGGTTAAAAAAGCAGCCCACACTCAGATGACGTTTTATGAACAGCTATGTAACGCTGAAACGGCACCCAAAGGCCTAATAACAGCCATATACACCCAACTCAGTGCCCCTGACAAAAACGCTCGAGACCCTAGGTACATAACTCAGTGGGAGACGGATCTGGGCGGGGAGTTGGAGGGGGAGGACTGGGTGGACATTTGGGAAGCGACGGCAAAAACGTAAATTTTTGTAATACAACAGGAACAATCTTACAAAATGCTTATGAGATGGTACACCACACCAGTACAGTTGTATAGAATGGGGAAAACCACGACTGATACATGTTGGAGGGGATGCGACGGCAAAGGCACCTTCGTCCATATATGGTGGGAGTGCCCAGAAGCCCACAAATACTGGAAACGCATACAGTCAATAATCACTGACGTTCTGGAGAGACCAGTAGACTTAGACCCCTGGTCAATCCTGTTATCCAGACCGATAGACGGCCTCCCCAGGAGGGAGCAGCTACTTCTTAACAAAATCACACTTGCAGCCAGAAGTGCCCTAGCTCAGGCGTGGATGAAACCCACTACACACACAGATAATGACGTGATAGTAAAAATCACAAAAAGACACATACTTGATGGAAAAACTCACAGCTCAAATTCGAAACACAGAAAAAGTGTTCCACAAAGTTTGGCAGCCCTGGGAACAATATACTAACGAATAAAACTCCACTTCACTGGGAAGGGAGGGGGACCCGGGACTAGGCCATGGGCCGCCGCGCGCCTCGACAATTAACATCCCCACCACCTCCCCCAGCCCTGCTCGTTCCCCCCCCCCACACCCTTCCCTTACCCTTCCTCCCTCAGATGGCATGGAGGAGGTCACGAACAGAGAATGCCTGCTCACGCTCTTTCCAGGGTCCCAAGCAGACCCCACCGGCACAATCTACTAGAAGACAGAGGATAGGGTAGAGATCAGTATAGACGCCAACAAGGTGTCCAGCAGCGAGAACATGTGGCCAACCCAACTCATGACCATGTTCCAGAACCCACGCTCACCGACCCTCAGGGTCAAAAACACAAATTTGGAAGGGCACCAAAATCCTTGACTGAGAGGACATCCTGGATAGGGACACGCGTAGGGCAGGGAAAGATAAACTGATAACAGCCACTGTAAATAACAGACGTCCGCGAACTTGGGGCCCTGGCACGCAGGAACCTAAGTCAAACGCAATAACAGACATCTGGGGCTATTTGGGTGTCGGTATCATACAGTCGGGACCTATATCGGAGACTCTTACCTTAGGTAGTTCTAATTAGTTCTGAACTGTCTAGCATTGTTGAGTTTTGTTAAGTGTTATATTTTTTCTTTTATGTGTGGACACGTACTGCCCACCAAAACAGAAACAGCGACACTGCACGGCACAATAGAACCTTGATTTAACTTGTAAAACCGCTTATCTTCTGTATTATGCAATGTTAGCCTCAATCACTATTGGCCCCTGCGCGAACCACTGTATACTGCAATGCCGTAATATGTGTCGAACCAAAAAGAAAGAATTAAAAAATAAATAAAAAAAGGACAGGAACAAGTGAAGTAAGGGAAGAAAGAAGAGAGTACAACTGAGGAAATGAGAAAAGGAAGAGAGATACAAGTGAGGGAAGAAGAAAGACGGGTATAAGTGAGGGAAGTAGAGAAAGGAGAGGGGTACAATTGAGGAAATGGGAGAAGAAAGATACAAGTGAAGGAAGTGGGGTACAATTAAGGGAAGGGGAGAAATGTACAAGTGAGGCTTATGGGGAGAGGGCATAATTAAGGAAAGGGGGAGAGGAAAATGTGAGTGAGAGATGAATGAATAGAGGGGGATGGAGAGAGATAAAGAGGAACAGATGAGAATTGAAAACCGTGCACAAGCACACCTATGTATACACACTAAAATACCTATGCATGCACAATAAAACTTCACACAAATATGCTCCTTCATGCACATACTGGCACTCTGTAAAACACACAACTAAATTTACTCACTAGCACAAGAAAGTGTGAAGTGTCATAAATCCATATAGATACATTTATTAATACATAAAAACTAAAACATTCACAAATAAAAACAGTATGAAAAGTTCAAGCAATTAATTAAAGGACCACTATAGTGCCAGGAAAACATACTCGTTTTCCTGGCACTATAGTGCCCTGAGGGTGCCCCCACCCTCAGGGACCCCCACCCGCCCAGCTCTGGAAAGGGGAAAGGGGTTAAAACTTACCTTTTTCCAGCGCTGGGCGGAGAGCTCTCCTCCTCCTCTCCGCCTCCGTTCCGCCCCGCCGGCTGAATGCGCACGCGCGGCAAGAGCTGCGCGCGCATTCAGCCCGTCGCATAGGAAAGCATTTACAATGCTTTCCTATGGACGCTTGCGTGCTCTCACTGTGAAAATCACAGTGAGAAGCACGCAAGCGCCTCTAGTGGCTGTCAATGAGACAGCCACTAGAGGATTAGGGGGAAGGCTTAACCCATTCATAATTATAGCAGTTTCTCTGAAACTGCTATAATTATGAAAAAATGGGTTAACCCTAGAAGGACCTGGCACCCAGACCACTTCATTAAGCTGAAGTGGTCTGGGTGCCTAGAGTGGTCCTTTAAATCCATGCAATAATTAGCCAAAGTCCAACTCCATAATATGAATCCTAAGGATTAGCACTGAGGTGATATAAAATAAAAGTTCCAATTGGATTACTAATCCGAATTAGATGTGCAGGATATAACTGATTAGATAAAAGTGAGTAATAATAAGATGGTATCTCTCTTAAGGACAGCTGTAGTCACTGAATAATATTGAGCATTTGCCAGATGAATATGAGTTAGCTTTGAATCGTATGTTGCTGGAATTAAATTGGGATTATTTTACCCGATGTAGCAATGCCTCTATTGGCATTCACAAAAAATAAATAATATTAAGCGGACAGCATGCTGGAAACACCTTCTCATTAGTGGAAATCCCGAATCGCTCCGGTATTGTTATTGCACAGCAATCAGGTAGCTGAGAGCAAGTGTATAAACTTGAATCATACTACACGTTAGCAGAACGTTCATAATACATGCAGAGAAGAACAGCTGGCAATGCACTGTAGTCACACAGCCCAGAAGTGATCTGCAGGAGGATGTGAAGCTGAATTGAGCAGGTGGTCAGCTGTAGTAGAACAGTGCCACAATAAAGGTCAGGAAATGTTGGCAAACAATGCAGGAACCCAACAAAGTCCACAGGTTGAATAGGCCTAAGTTACATACTCCAAACTAATCATATTCCCTTATCCACCCAGTCAGTACCATCTCATTTCCATTCATACCCACTCAACCTGCCACATTCATGCACTTATTGCCATTTAACAACCCACCTAGTCATAATTGTCATACAGCCATACCCCAAACTAGTCACATACCCCCAGCCAGTCATATTCATCCAATCACAAACTCCAAGCTTTGTAAACAGTTGTAATCAAAATTATTCAACCCCCATTGAAAATTTACAGACATTCAGCTGTTTGCGATGAACAAATGAAACCAAAGCAATTGTAATAGCTCAACACAACGAATGCATCAAATGGTTTCCCCAAATTAAACTGAAAATGCTTTTGATTTCTCCAGTTTCAAACTTCTTCAACCCCCTGAAGTGAATCCCTCACAACAGCACAAATATGCAAAATAGATTTTGTCTCAAGCACACCTGATAAAGCGAAAGGCTTCCTTAGTTGTACCAGGTGTGCTTGAGCTGGAACACTTGAAATATCTGAACTGGCTAGGGGTTTGTTAAATGTCACTTTTGACTGCATGTTATAAGTCAAAAGAATGGTCCACAAAGGTAAGAGAAGAGATCATCGCCCTTCACAAACAAGGAACAGGTTACAAAAATATAGCGAAGGCACTGAATGTTCCTAGTGACAACGTTGGAAGCATAGTTCGCAAGTTCAAAGTCGAAGAAACAGTGGTTACACTACCTGTACGGGGCAGAAAAAGGAAGCTATCAATGGCTGCAACCAGATTTCTGAGAAGGCAGTTTGTGAAAAACCCTTGAGTGACTGCAAAAAACCTGCAGCAGGACTTGTGGCAACAGGGACTGAGGTTTCAGTGAGCACAGTAAGGTGTGTACTAAACTCAGAAGGTTTCCATGCCAGAACTCCAAGACGTACACCACTACTAACCCAAAAGCATAAGAAAAGTCAGCTCCAATATGCTCATCGTATAAATAGGGGCAGAGTTAAGCAGTGAAAGGAGACAGATGCACGAGTAGAGAGCTCCGTGAGTTTATTAGCGGGTCCTCTGCTCGGTATCACGGCTCACCATGGGTCGAGAGACCAAAAAGCAGAGAATGAATATCTGAGATTTACTCTGCAATGTGTAGGGTGTGCACAGATCCAAGATTGGTGTAGATCTACACACATTCTATGACTCTTTTGAGGAGTTCTTGCTGGGTATTTGAGGCGTCAGCATGTCGACCCATACTTACCCACAGTCAACCTCAAGAAGTGCTGATTCTGAACCAGTGATGGCCACAACCCTGAAAGCAATGCTCACTGATTTACAGAAGACCCTCCAGGCAGATGTGGCCTCTCTGCATGCAGATCTTACAGGTCTAGTTTAAAGGCTGGGAGCAGTGGAGACCTCATCAGATACACATGCTCTAAAAAAAACATCCCTTGAACAAGAGATACAAGCTCTAAAAAAGCAGCAAACAGCCGTTGAGCAAGGATTTACTATCCTAGATGACATGAGACATTTATAATATTTATAAAGTATTTCATGTCTAACCGTGAAAGGGTTATATCAAGCACCATGACTACTTCAATGGTTTGAAGCAATCCTGGTGCAAGGACCATGTATGTGCATCAGTTTAGTATGAACTAGATACTGAAGTAAGAGTTGCATATTCCAAGGGAATTTAGAAATTTAGGCCAAAATAGCAGAAAAATCTGCTTGGCTTTGAATTTCCAGCTATTAGTAAATAATCCGGATTCTGCTACCTGATATTCCTGGACCTGCTGAATTACCCTACATAGTGGAAGGTGGACCATTATAATCCATCTTGTGAGTGCAACCTATGATTTTGCGTGCCAGTGCTGTATACTGTACATCACTATGTGCTGTTTTTTCTTATATTTTAGCATCTAGCTGTATCCCTATTGTTATCCATATCCATTCCACACCCATAGCAACCAGACTCTCTAGCCGGCAATTTTAGCGCCAGCTAGAGAATCTTGGAATAGAGTAATGTCACTCCAATCTCACATCAGCACGCTGGCAATGAAGCCAGTGTGCCAACGTCGATGACCAGATTTGCCCTGCCTGGGAATGTGTCCCAAACAGGGCAAATCAAAGAAGACCTTGGGAGAAGCAGAGCAGGAGTTGAGGATGACTGGAGGTGGGTGTTACACAAAGATTAACATCCTGGAAGAGTTGCTGAAACTGAAGAAAAGTGAGTAAATCTGTGCATTTTACTTTGAATACACCATGTAACTTTGTAGAAATATAATGCATTCAATGTATATGAGAGATATTTTAGTAAGTGGTTTTTTTTTTTTCATAACAGGTTCACTTTAAAGTGAGCCTATCATGACAGATCTAGGTTGGCCGTTTTCTAACCATCTAGCCTGATGGTTATGCAATGTTATACAATTAAGTATTTCTTCCCTTAATATTATTAAAAGCTTATATTTAATTACCACTGTCTCCAACTGAGAAGATCAATCATGTTTTCATTGGGTGTTACACTTGCTGTAAGGACACACCTCTCCTGCATACCTATGTTTAGGAAGAACATGCTTTATTATCATAACTGGTTAAAAGTTCCCAACAATTTAAGTTGACTTTGTGTAAATAAAACATATCTGTTCTCTTTCTCTCCATTCTCAAAATGGCCTGTTCATAGCTCTTGCAATAAATAATTTTGGCTGATCTTCCTCCCTACTTCCATTAGCAGGCATTGCTTTCACTTAGACTGAATTTAGGAGAGACACCCAGAGAAGGGTGTGCTGATGGACAGACTGAACTGAGAGGAGGGAGAAAATGTTCCTATGTCATTTTGGAGAAATCTAGACATTTGCTAGTAATTCTTCTAGCACAATGTATACATGAAACCCTTTATACTGTATTAGAGATACAAATAATTGCTGTCAGTATTTTAATTGTAAAATTAATGTCACTTCTCAAGCCAGAGCTGCACAAGCAAGATGCCAATTGTGTTGGTCATTCATTGGCTGTAAGTGTAAGCTGACTGCTCGCAGCCAATGAATGGACCTCTGTATTTCTGAATATGCACAGAAATTAGCCAGCCCAAAAATTCTGCTGGAGGTGAAGTTACACTGAAGTGGTCATGGTGCTAGGAGTAACCCTTAAAGTGTCTACACATGCTTGAATTAATTAATATATTACTGGTTATTTTAGCTGTTCATATGTAAATGGATTAATTCTAAAGGAATTAATGTTTAGTAACATGGCAAAATATTTCTCACCCTTTCAATGCAAAAGAAAAAAAGGAACTGCAAATCTCGAAAAAATCAAATCACTTATACGTCCAAACACAGATATGTTATTTTCAGCTGACATGACACATGACTGTAGTGTGATTGTGTGAAGATATGGGGAAATGTTTTTCTTTTTTAATAATTAAATTTTCAAGAAAATTAACATTTGGGAAAAATATATATTTCAATATAAGTGCTATAAAAGTCTGGTGGTTTATTTGTATGGTACTCTCTTTAATAAAGATATGTAAAAAAAAATGTTTTTAAAAATGATAGTGTTTTAGTTATGTGTACAGTGGTATATTGAGCAATCAGTTTTTCAATGTCCTAATACTGAAAGATGTCTGTGAAATGTGGGTTTCCTCATGGTTATGGGCATATATGATCGTATAGGTGCCCCTTGACCCACAATATGGGAAGAGATTATCAGACCTCAAAACCGAATCCCCCATCCACTACAACTACAAAAATGTACAGTAGCGAGGGGCTAGGAAGAGTATAGGGGGATAGGTGAGTAGAAGCAGAAGGAGGCAGGGAAAATAACAGCTGAGGAGAAACTTACAGCAATGGTAAACACCTCACTAAACCCTATACAAAAAAACCCTACACCCAACTCCAACCCCCCAAGAGATATAGGTAGATAATCAAAATCTCTAGAGGTAATCCCCCAAGTAGAGGAAAGCCATTCTAGTAGGTAGGTAAAATAAAAAGGAAACCTGACCCTAGGAATACCTCGGCACCGTGGAAGACTCCACTAGCACCTGCCTAGCAAAAATAAACTTATAAAACTATTAAATTAAACAAACAAAAAAAAGCATAATTATAAAGTGCTACTAAAGTGTAAAAGAAAAGAAAGCTCGACGCACGTTGCCAAATGAATAAATTCATGAGAGTCTGCCTTGTGCTTTTCTGTCTGTATTGGACCATTCGTCCATAATTAAGTCTTTAATCGTATCATGTACAGGAAATGTAGCTCTCTTTCTCCTTAAATCTGCAAAGTACCTGCTGGAAGTAGAGGGTTCTTCTTTAGAAACTTCCTTTAGGCTTAAGGGCTTGCGAACCCTGGATATTGGATGATCCACTTGAGCTGGTTCCAGAAAATCTGCAGTTTGAGGTTCTTTCTCTGTAGAAGAAAATCTTTCTCTGTAGGATTCTATATCCATGGATTCATCAGATGATTCTTCCTGTTAGTAGTCCAAAGGATCAGGGAGCCTTGTGTGCCTTGCCTGCCTCTTTATTCCCTTGAGATACTTCCTCTTTAATAAACTGCATGATATCAAGTGCAGGTTTAGAGGTAGAGGATCCAGCTGCTGCTGATAAACATTCTGCGCAGAGACGTTTCCCTTCTAGGTGTATTTTGTCACAGGCTTAGCATCGGTTCCTTTTAGGAGATTTACCCTTTGGAAGATCCAGAGGCTTTCTTTCCCGTAGAACTGTCATGATAGAGAAAAAATATCCACTCTCTTTTGTTTGTAATAAGCGAAAAATATACGACAATAAAAATAATGGCTTACCTATAACTCTTGGAGTGTGCATCTGACTATGATGAGAATGATCTTTCTTTGTCCATTGTTAGTAATTGAAGACTTGCTATAATTGAAAGAAATAATATACTAAAGCAGTATAAAATTTTATTTTGGAAAAAAAATGATGAAATATATCTTACTTACCTGAAGCACAGGAAATCTTGACTAATGAATTTCAGGATCGCACTTCCGCGCATGCATGGGAGTTGCATGACGTGAGCGTTCATTCGTGCAAACGCACTCTGTGAACCCGGACACCGGGAAAGATGGCGGCTCCCTATTGCCCGGAGCCATCAAAAACAGCCAAATATGACCCCAAAAAATATGTCGAACAGGCCGCGAAACACAACAGTAATATCCCTAGACCATCAGTGAACTTTAAAAACAGGTAAAAAGACTTACCTTATATATCTTTGCAGATATCATCAATACCTGAAATCAAACAGAATAAAGAGTAATATGGAAGCAGAAGGGGGTATCCGGCATCCACATATATAGCCATACATATTCTTTTACAAGTATATAGATATAAAATAATGAGGTGCCAGATAATTTAAAGACATTGGATTGAAACCTGTCCATAAAGAAAGTTATTCTTGCCACTTCCTGCTACCTCTTGGTCATGTAATTGGCAATTTTTTCTTTTGCTATCCCTAGTGTCACTGCAAGTTTGACCCCTGGTCACTAAAAGGGGTTTCTTCAGGGGAACACCTTTGCACAGGGTTGTGTACTGAAGACTTCCCAAGGGAGAGAGACTGAACTCCCTTGGGGACAGAAGGTAAAGACTCTCAGGTAAGCCAAAAATAAAATCTGTTTAGTCTTGAAATGACTAGTTGTCCTATAGAGATAGGACAGGAACAAAAAGACTGAGGGAGGAGGGAATAGGAGGGGGTATATATATACCCATATTTAAATTAGTTCTTGTCTAATTGGGGCTAGGGCGGAGCTACCCATTGTTGTGCTGCCAAGGATATGGCCAGGAAATATATATATAATATGTGTGTGTGTGTATATATATATATATATATATATATATATATATATATATATATATATACACACAAAAAGTAAACTTGGCACTCACCCCTCAAACTTCATGTAAATATTCTTGTCTCGGTGCAACCTGTGTCCGTATATAAACCACAGAAAAGAGTTGCACTCAGGTCTTTATCCAGCGTGTTTATTCAAACAATCTGTGTTCTGATCGATGTTTCGACCCTGGCGGGCCTTGATCTTGAAAAAGGCCTGCCAGGGTTAAAACGTCAATCAAGACACCAAGATTGTTTGAATAAACACACTGGATAAAGACCTATGAGTGCACCTCTTTTCTGTGGTATATATATATATATATATATATATATATATATATATATATATATATATATATACACTGCTCAAAAAAATAAAGGGAACACTTAAACAACACAATGTAACTCCAAGTCAATCACACTTCTGTGAAATCAAACTATCCAAGCAACAATGAGTGACAATCAATTTCACATGCTGTTGTGCAAATGGGATAGACAACAGGTGGAAATTTATAGGCAATTTGGAAGCCACCCGCAAGTGGTTCTGCAGGTGGTGACCACAGACCACTTCTCAGTTCCTATGCTTCCTGGCTGATGTTTTGGTCACTTTTGAATGCTGGCAGTGCTTTCACTCTAGTCGTAGCATGAGACGGAGTCTACAACCCACACAAGTGGCTCAGGTAGTACAGTTCATCCAGGATGGCACATCAATGCGAGCTGTGGCAAGAAGGTTTGCTGTGTCTCTCAGCGTAGTGTCCAGAGCATGGAGGCGCTACCAGGAGACAGGCCAGTACATCAGGAGACGTGGAGGAGGCCGTAGGAGGGCAATAACCCAGCAGCAGGACCGCTACCTCTGCCTTTGTGCAAGGAGGAACAGGTGGAGCACTGCCAGAGCCCTGCAAAATTACCTCCAGCAGGCCACAAATGTGCATGTGTCTGCTCAAACGGTCAGAAATAGACTCCATGAGGGCCCAAAGTCCACAGGTCGGGGTTGTGCTTACAGCCCAACACCGTGCAGGACGTTTGACATTTGCCAGAGAACACCAAGACTGGCAAATTCCCCACTGGCGCCCTGTGCTCTTCACAGATGAAAGCAGGTTCACACTGAGCACATGTGACAGACGTGACAGTCTGGAGACGCCGTGGAGAACGTTCTGCTGCCTGCAACATCCTCCAGCATGACCGGTTTGGCAGTGGGTCAGTAATGGTGTGGGGTGGCATTTCTTTGGGGGGCCGCACAGCCCTCTATGTGCTCGCCAGAAGTAGCCTGACTGCCATTAGGTACCGAGATGAGATCCTCAGACCCCTTGTGAGACCATATGCTGGTGTGGTTGGCCTTGTGTTCCTCCTAATGCAAGACAATGCTAGACCACGTGTGGCTGGAGTGTGTCAGCAGTTCCTGCAAGACAAAGGCATTGATGCTATGGACTGGCCTGCCCGTTCCCCAGACTTGAATCCAATTGAGCACATTTGGGACATCATGTCTCGCTCCATCCACCAACGTCACATTGCACCACAAACTGTCCAGGAGTTGGCAGATGCTTTAGTCCAGGTCTGGGCGAGATCCCTCAGGAGACCATCCGCCACCTCATCAGGAGCATGTACAGGCGTTGTAGGGAGGTCATACAGGCAGGTGGAGGCCACACACACTACTGAGCCTCATTTTGACTTGTTTTAAGGACTTTACATCAAAGTTGGATCAGCCTGTAGTGTGTTTTTCCACTTTAATTTTGAGTGTGACTCCAAATCCAGACCTCCATGGGTTGAAAAATTTGATTTCCATTTTTTTATTTTTGTGTGATTTTGTTGTCACCACATAAAGAACAAAGTATTTCAGAAGAATATTTAATTCATTCAGATCTAGGATGTGTTACTTTTGTGTTCCCTTTATTTTTTTGAGCAGTGTGTGTGTGTGTGTGTGTGTATATATATACACACACACACACACACACACACACACACACACATGATAGGCATGACCAGCACTCACGGATTTGTTAAGGACTTAAAAGTTATAAGTTTTATCCATATGTGTTAAAAAATTGACAGCTCGACGTTTCAGTCCTCTTCTGGGACTTTCATCAGGAACTTAATTGGCTGAGAGTGTCACCAGGTGCACTAAGGCAATTAGTAGCCCCATTCCAAAACAGCTTGAAAAACATGCCTATTTTTCTCACACCATTTTTATGAATGAGTAGCTACTGATTGCCTTGGGGCGTCAGCTGTCTGAGGCTTCCCGTTTCAGGAATCAGAGAGAAGCGAATGGATGGGGAGGGGTGGCGATAAACAGCACTGGATTAAAAACGTTGGGGTTAAAATGTTCATGAATGTTCATCTCCTGGAACCAAAACATCCCATTGCCATACCAAATTGAGGAAGTCCCAAATACCGCGGGACGAAACGCGTTGAGCCAGACTAGCGCCCTCACTTGGTGGTTTGGGATACTCCCAAACCTTTACTTTTTATTTGCATTTGCTATATATAGGCTTTCCTGGATTGTGCCTATTGAGTGGCAGCTTCTAATACTGAGAACCTTAAGTCTGGATCTTCCTTCATTGTGTATTTTTATAACAATGACTGACAGGGAGCTAAGATGGAGGAACTTATTTGCAGGGTAAAGAGCTGTGGATTTCCCAACTAATTTTTTTCTAGAAATACTTATTTGATAAATATAAAGAAATTAAATAATCTTGGGAAATGACAGTTCCCCTTTAAAACTGGATTGCAAAAGGCAAACAAATAAACTAAAATTGGATTATCCCAAAACTGAGGAATAATTTTCAAATCTGCTATTTTGTTTTTATTAAAAGACTGGAACAAGACAGAATACATGGCAAACATGATGCAACATTGAATTATACTGTTGTACAGGGAGTGCAGAATTATTAGGCAAATGAGTATTTTGACCACATCATCCTCTTTATGCATGTTGTCTTACTCCAAGCTGTATAGGCTCGAAAGCCTACTACCAATTAAGCATATTAGGTGATGTGCATCTCTGTAATGAGAAGGGGTGTGGTCTAATGACATCAACACCCTATATCAGGTGTGCATAATTATTAGGCAACTTCCTTTCCTTTGGCAAAATGGGTCAAAAGAAGGACTTGACAGGCTCAGAAAAGTCAAAAATAGTGAGATATCTTGCAGAGGGATGCAGCACTCTTAAAATTGCAAAGCTTCTGAAGCGTGATCATCGAACAATCAAGCGTTTCATTCAAAATAGTCAACAGGGTCGCAAGAAGCGTGTGGAAAAACCAAGGCGCAAAATAACTGCCCATGAACTGAGAAAAGTCAAGCGTGCAGCTGCCACGATGCCACTTGCCACCAGTTTGGCCATATTTCAGAGCTGCAACATCACTGGAGTGCCCAAAAGCACAAGGTGTGCAATACTCAGAGACATGGCCAAGGTAAGAAAGGCTGAAAGACGACCACCACTGAACAAGACACACAAGCTGAAACGTCAAGACTGGGCCAAGAAATATCTCAAGACTGATTTTTCTAAGGTTTTATGGACTGATGAAATGAGAGTGAGTCTTGATGGGCCAGATGGATGGGCCCGTGGCTGGATTGGTAAAGGGCAGAGAGCTCCAGTCCGACTCAGACGCCAGCAAGGTGGAGGTGGAGTACTGGTTTGGGCTGGTATCATCAAAGATGAGCTTGTGGGGCCTTTTCGGGTTGAGGATGGAGTCAAGCTCAACTCCCAGTCCTACTGCCAGTTCCTGGAAGACACCTTCTTCAAGCAGTGGTACAGGAAGAAGTCTGCATCCTTCAAGAAAAACATGATTTTCATGCAGGACAATGCTCCATCACACGCGTCCAAGTACTCCACAGCGTGGCTGGCAAGAAAGGGTATAAAAGAAGAAAATCTAATGACATGGCCTCCTTGTTCACCTGATCTGAACCCCATTGAGAACCTGTGGTCCATCATCAAATGTGAGATTTACAAGGAGGGAAAACAGTACACCTCTCTGAACAGTGTCTGGGAGGCTGTGGTTGCTGCTGCACGCAATGTTGATGGTGAACAGATCAAAACACTGACAGAATCCATGGATGGCAGGCTTTTGAGTGTCCTTGCAAAGAAAGGTGGCTATATTGGTCACTGATTTGTTTTTGTTTTGTTTTTGAATGTCAGAAATGTATATTTGTGAATGTTGAGATGTTATATTGGTTTCACTGGTAATAATAAATAATTGAAATGGGTATATATTTGTTTTTTGTTAAGTTGCCTAATAATTATGCACAGTAATAGTCACCTGCACACACAGATATCCCCCTAACATAGCTATAACTAAAAACAAACTAAAAACTACTTCCAAAAATATTCAGCTTTGATATTAATGAGTTTTTTGGGTTCATTGAGAACATGGTTGTTGTTCAATAATAAAATTAATCCTCAAAAATACAACTTGCCTAATAATTCTGCACTCCCTGTATATTGGAATGCAATAAGGAGAAATGAAAGAGTAGAGTTACCAAAAACTATCAGTCAGTAGAGCACTTTGTAAAATTTAATTTACAACTCTGCTATTCTGACCTGAATCCAGTGTTTGGTTTTCAGTTCACCACAATTCACTGTGTAGTGAATAAACCCTTTTATTTTGAATCAAAACCTAATTAACTTAAAGGGACACTGTAGTCAACAGAACTACAGCTTAATCTAGCGGTTCTGGTGTTTACTGCCTGTCCCTTTAGGCATTTTATTGTAAACACTGCCTAGTAACACCTCTAGTGGCAGTTACTCAGATGGCCACTAGAGGTTCTTCCTGCCTTGTTCAGTGCTGCATTGATGTTCAGCATTTCAACGCTCTGCATGGAGGCGCCTCACATTCCTCATAGAGATGTATTTCTTCAATGCATCTCTATGAGGAGAAGCTGATTGGCGGAACGCGGCGACGTGCCATGCGTGCACATTAACCTCCTGATGATTTGTCTGAGACCGTCAAATTTGATGACCTCAGCCAAGGAGGTGGAACGGAGGCATAGCCAGCGGCGGCAGACCTGCACAGAGCTGAAATAAACGTGATTAAACTCACCTTTTAAAATGATTACGGGGGGGCCATGAACCTAACTAGTGTTTTCACAGCTATAGTGAAAGGAATATATGCTTGTATTACTGTCACTATTGTGTTCCTTTAATGTTCTGATATGTCATGAAGAGTTCGGCAAACGATCATGGAAATGAAGTTCTACAACATCTAAAATGGTAGCTGTTGACCAGTGTGTATGAAATATAATAGCATGTTCTGTAGTCTTGTTTGGGAAGGAAGGGGTTACTGTTAAACCTCCCAGCAAGAGATCAACTAGGCAGTCTAGCTAGTGTGCATTGTTTCTATGATTTACCCAAAGTTACACATAATAAAATTGCTGCACACCCATGATAGCATTATTAGCATATTTTTTTTTAACCATTTGGGTGACCGTAATCTCTATTTCCAGAGATTTTATCAAATATTTATTTATGCCACTAATCATTTTATTTTCACCTGTATGCCTTAAAGCACAACAATCTGTTATATTTTCGTAAATACTAATAGATTATTCAAGCTAAAGTGTTCTATAACCAGCCTGTTCTTTTAAGCCAGGATGAAAGATAAATGTATTTGTCATGATTTGGAGGATTACAGTGTTCTCAAAATGTTGTAGGATTTTCCTTAATTGGATATTAGAATATCATGATCACTGATAGCCGTACAGCGTTTGTTATCTGAATAGGGATCACTGCCAAACACTTCAAAAGTCTTACAGGCAAGTGACTTCATCTCAGCAACTTTATTTTAGAGGGATTCTCATAAATTAGGATCATGGGATAAGATCTTATTAAAGCTGGAATTGCAGGCAGTATCCAGAATCTTTCCATTCACTCCTACTCATTGGATGGTAGGAATTCACTCAAACTCGTATGATTTTTAGCTAAGCTAAGCCATGGCTGTTAGTGAGTACGGTAACCTTGGTATTTGTCCTAAACATGCAGATAACATGCATAAAATGGAGAAATTGATTGAAACTGAAAACCAACTGTTTGCAGTAACTTTAATTACAAGGTTAGATTTTTTTTATTTATTATTATTAAAATGTTATTAAATTTAAGCTAGCAGGACGGAGGAATAGAAGAATTGCTAAGTTTGTTTTAAAACTGTAAATATTATAGTACATTTAATAAAAGGAATACTACAGTGCCAGGAATACAAATGTGTATTTCTGACACTAGACGTCTAGATAACGGAGTTCTGGGCTGCCCAAGTCATGTTTGCTGGGCATGTAACTAGCCTTAGCACACAAGCACAGATTTTACTGTATGTGCAGTGTTTCAAGCAAAAACACTGCACATACACACTCCTACCACCATGGCCACTTAAAATCACTAAGTGGTCACGGTGGTTGGAGTAACTCTGGAATGGATATTTCAGTAGAGAATTCCATCGGATCCCCAGGGCAATCTACATCTGATTTGATTTTCTAGATTTTGGGTGGTTTCAGTTGAGCAAATTCTGTGGAAACAATTTATCAGATGGTTAGGCACTAGGTACTATTAGTTAATTACAGATCAGCTTGGAAAATATGTGTTTGCTTCTGCATGGAATGAGATCTGCATCCTTTACACGCTGGCATTCCAATGATTTTAAACTTCTTATTGGATTGTTTCAATTAAGGGGAAGCTTATTGAATCACAAATGTTTATTTTTCAGTAATATTAGCACAACATGTGCTCTTTTCATCATTTTCATTCAGGAAACATCCTTTGATTTGCTGGTTAATAAAAGGAATTGTTTACAAAAATCTAATTTACCAAAGTATCAGAATACATTTGTTAAACTTATGATTAAATGGTCTGTAAAACAACTTTCTCAGAAACGGACCATGCTTTTATACTTAATTTAAGGGACACTCTAAGCACTGGAAGATCACACTGACTGCCAACAAATCAGGCCAGCCGGCCGAGGGCAGGACATGCAGGGAGCACTGTTTCAGGAAATTTGTTAGGAGGCTGTGTAAGTCACATGCAGGGAGCTGTGGCTAATGCTGTATGAATAATGTGATTTAACTCCTAAATGTCAGAGTGTAGTAGATTATTTTCTGCAAACCAATTAGTTTGAATGACTATCTGTTCCTGTCCAAATTAAAGATAATAAAGTTGCGTGCACGCAGAAGTAAATTCACACTGAGACACAGGGTTCAGGTTAATGAAAGAACTTCGGAAAAGTTTAATGGTTTCTAACAGAAAATGGGTGCGCAGACCCTTATAAAGGCATTTTTACATCACTGAAGAATTCAAGATAACAGCAAATAAACACTATTGATTGGTCCAGGTGTTAAGTGGTTAGTAAAATGCCCTCCCATCAAGAGGTGATGTCATCCTTGACACGGGAGTGGACACAAGATGTAGGCGCCATCTTGTTAGCACGAGGTGTTCACTCGATGGGAGGGGTGCTTTGGCAGCCATTTTGAGTAGTTAGTATTGTCAGCTTCAAGGTTCTTTTAGTAAATACACATTTTATTATTCAGCACATTTCTTCCTGACAAAGCATTAGCTTAGATAATTTCAAGAATTCTATAATTCTACAACAAGAGAATTTAGGGGCACAAACTAAGCAAGATAACACTAAGCAAATGCAGGACCACCTACTTCCACAAGGGATATATCAGTGTTGTCCCTGTTTGGATTGAGGTAGTTGGCTGAAAGCATCAGCCGGTTTCTTGCTGCTGAATCTGTTGTTAACAGTTCTCTCCTATTTTATATTACTAAAAGGTGACCCCTGCATTAGCCTCTCTGTCTGCTATTCCAGTTCTTGCTAAGCTTGACTCCTGTGGTTGAACTGGATCGTGGCCTAAGAATGCATTACCCTCTGCCAGTGTTCTCTGTAAAACCATGATACTATCAGTAGAAGAAGAAACTTTCTTACATTTTTCAGAGCAATATACTGGACTGGCAACAGTGGTATTAGCTCCATTTTAAAAAAAAATATATTTTTTTGGCAAAACGCTTTTACATTATTTTGTATTTAATAAATCTCTGGATTTTATCTGCTCCTGTGTGTCCATTGGATTTTATCTAGGACCTCTCTTCATGATGTACATCCCAGATGGGGATAATACCTCAATTGCCTGTCCATTAGAGCAGTATATTGCTCTGTAAAATGTAAGTAGGTTTCTGCTTCTACTAATATTATAGTGGTACATCATAACTAGAGTTGAGCGGACACCTGGATGTTCGGGTCCGGCGGGTTCGGACGAACTTTGAAAAAAAGTCCAGTTTAGGGCTCGAACTTGATCCCGAACTTGACCCCGAACCCAAACACCATTGAAGTCAATGGGGACCCGAACTTTTGGCCACAAAAATGCCTCTAAAAAAACTCCTGGAAAGAGCTAGAGAGCTGCAAAAGGAAGTAAAATGGGGGTAAGAGTAGGACAAGTGCCCTGCAAACAAATGTGGATAGGGAAATCACTTAAAATAACATAAAAATTAAAAATACATCTGAGCCATAAAATAGCACTAGATGGAATCTTTGATTTTAGCTTTGGAAGAACATAAATCAAAATCTAAAGCATGGCTGTCAGGAGGATCAACAGAATTATCCATTTGAGAGCGAGTTGGAGTGCAGGGTATTCTCTTTCATTGTTCAAACTGAGCTCAACTCCTGATGCAAGGAGAAAAGGCCTTCACAAACCTCTCCTATTGTGTACATAGTTTATACTAAGTGACCCATAGGTTGAGGAGGCGGTGACCCTGGCAGAGTAGGTGGAAGCAGCGGTGGAGGAGGAGGATGAGGTAGCCAACACTGGGGTTTTTTTTTTTGTAATTGTGGTAGCCCACAAAATATTGGGACATACAACAAAATAAACATTTATGGCCTGCGGTGCATTTCTTGCAGTCCTGATGCATGGAGAAATGCTCAGATCCTGATGCATGGAGAAAAGGCCTTCACAAGCCTCTGCTAATGTGTACCTAGTTTATACTAAGTGACCCATAGGTTGAGGAGGCGGTGACCGTGACGGTGGAGGAGGAGGATGAGGTAGCCAACACTGTTTTTTTTATATATATATATATATATATATATATATATATATATATATATATATATATATATATATATATATAATATTGGGACATATAAAAAAGACAACTTTGTTCCACAGAGTAGCTGTTGCCATTATAGTTGCGCAGGAACTTTGTTGACTCTAGAGAACCTCGGGCAAATCATCCCTGTGGCGGCGACTTTGCATGCAGATGCCATCCATATCAACTTTCGATGCCAGTTTCTCCGCCTACCATGGTGACCACGGGTAACGGGGAAGCAGGGTTCCATTCCGTACAGGGACCCTGAGAAACGGCTACCACATGCAAGGAAGGCAACAGGCGCACAAATGACCCACTCCTGACGCGGGAAGGTAGTGACGACAAATAGCAATACAGGACTCTTTAGAGTCCCTGTAATTGTAATGAGTCCACTTGAACTCCTTTAACTCTGATCAATTGGAGGGAAGTCTGGTGCAGAGCCACTGACCCGTGCGTGCTGCAGCTGAAACTCCACTATCGCCTGCTGCTGCTCGCACGGTCTCATGAGGCGGTGAGCGGGAAGGTCGAAGTTACGCTGCAGCGCAGACAGGCAAGCAGCAGCAGGGTGACAACGCCAAAAACGCACACAGCCGCTACAGTGAATGTCACATCCTGTTCCAAGTTGCGGATCAGTCTGGTGATGGCTTCTGGTATTAAGTACTCTTTTTACTGAAGCTGCATCATGGACCTGGTATGTGCTCAACACCAGGGGGCGTACGGTTACCCTGCACCAGACCCTGATAATCCATTCCACACTGTGACTCCTAACTTCAACATCAGGCATACTGGGTCCCGGTTGTCTGACCGCCGCCCAGACAGTGTCTGGGTCCTGGTCACTGGACTGCCCACCTCACAAACTACGAATGGATTGTTAAATCTGGTACGAACCCGAACTTTGCAGTTCGGGTTCGCTCAAATCTATTATGGATCCTTTGATCGCTACATGTATTACTTGGATAACTGGTAATTCTCGAGCTAATACATGCCGACGAGCGCCTGGGAATGGCTGCTCCGCTTTTGCACCCTGCTCCCTTTTATGCTGTGCTGGTGCCTCTGTGCGACCAGCGCCTCTTCCTCCAAACTGTACACGTCACTCGCATGACCTTGATTCCATGTGGGGTCTAGGACCTCATCATCCTCCACAACATCTTCCACCCACTCCTCAACCCTGCCCTCCTTGCCGGTATGCACACTGCAGAAAGCCACAGCAGTTGGCACCTGTGTTTTTCCAGCATGCAAAGTCTGCAAAGGACATATGGAAATTGTTTTAGAATTTCCTCCAGGCAATAGTTTTCCCTATAAACTGACCTCTCAGTTTGACTTGTGAGGGTATTGCCCCAGAATTACAATATTGTTGAAGTATCTCTTAGCTATTGATCACTGGTTTGAATATAGCAGCTTGTTATCTGGTAGTTTCTAGTGTAGAAAATATCAATCTGTTTTCTATCACTTAGATCTGTGTAACAAGTGTTGTAGGTGTGAAACAATATTACAAGTGACCGATGTAGTAAATTTGAATCAAAGTTACGCTCCGATTTGACTCTCAGATATGAAGTGAACACCCCAAATATACTATTTAGCACCAAAAAATTTTTTACTTTTTAAAACTCCAATGTAAGCAGCAGATTAGCAGCAAAACAATTAGAATGTTTACAACTACGCAGTAAGCGCACTATTTGACGCTTCTATTTGACTCTCAGATATGAAGTGCACTGCAGGTCGCAAATGTACTATTTAGCAGATTAGCACCCAGAAAATAAGAATGTTTACCACTGCGATGTAAGCACACTATTAGACGTTTCTATTTGACTCTCAGATATGAAGTGCACCCCACTAAAATACTATTTAGCAGTTTAGGACCCAAATAATTTTAAGTTTTAAAACTGCAATGTGACAGCAGTATTTGACGCTTCTATTTGACTCTCAGATATGAAGTCCCCCCTTACTAATGTACTACCCCACTAATGTACTATTTAGCACCAAAAATGTTTTACTTTTTAAAACTCTGATGTAGCCGCGGTATTTGAAGCTTCTATTTGACTCTCAGATATGAAGTGCACCCCACCCCGCTAATGTACTAGTTTGCTGAATTCTTTCCTAAGCTGTCCCTATCAGCGGCAGCATCCTCTCCCTGCACTAATAAGACCGCATGTGCGTGCGGCGCTCTGCGACTCCAGCTTATATATAGAGGCTGCGTCACATGCTGCACTGGCCAATCACAGCCATGCCATTAGTAGGCATGGCTGTGATGGCCTCTAAGGGCACACAAGTCAAACGCTTGTTGATTGGCTGCCCTGCAGCCTTTGAAAATGCTACAGTGATATATCCGTGTTCAGGTCCGGGGTCCAAAAAACCTAATTATCGGGTTCGCTCAACTCTAATCATAACCATTGCTGAAGACATCCGTCTACTCCAGTGGTTCCCAAACGTTCTAGGTTCAAGGCGCCCTTAATATTTCAATATTTTTCCAAGGCACCCCAAGTCAAAACAATTTTCTAGGTTATATATATGTACAGCGTTGCGACATATACTGGGCCCCTAATCTTGGGAGTGGCACTGATATATTATTTAAAGGAACAATCCATGCACAATAACCACTACATTACGTTGTAGTGGTTATGGTGCCAGTGGTGCCGTAGTGGCCTCCCAGGCTAAGTAGTCAATCTGTTTAAGAACAGTTTGAAAACTTACCTGGGGTCTGCTAGGATAGGGGCTGTAGTGTGTGTGTCTGTGTACAGGGGTGCAGTGTGTTTACAGGGGTGCATTGTGTTTGTGAAGGATGTAGTTTGTGTGCGTGTGTGTGTGAGGGGTGCAGTGTTTGTGCATGAGGGGTACAGTGTGTGTGTGTGTGGGGGGGACAGGTTGTGTGAGGGGTACAGTGTGTGTGGAGGGGGGTGCAGTGTGTGTGTGTGTGTATGGGGTACAGTGTATGTGTATGGGGAGCAGTGTGTATGAGGGGGGCAATGTGTGTGTATGGGGGCTAATTTTGTGTATGGGGGATACTTGTGTGTATGAGGGGGCAGTGTGTGTGTATAGGTGAGCTATTGTGTGGTGTGGGGTCTGTGGGAGTAGGAGGGCAAATTAATAACTATATACTTTATTTTATTTTTATTTATTTTTAAATAAAAACAATGTCGTCGTCCCCCCCCTACCCCCCTCCCTGCTTACCTTTGTTTGGGAAAGGGGACATTTCCTGCAATTCCTGGTGGTCCTGGTGGGGAAGTCCTGGTGGTGACAGCGAACTCTGGCAGCCGTAGGAGTTGCTAGAGTTCACTCTCTCAAGATTTGGAGCGTTGCCATGGTAACCGTGGCAATGCTCCAGTCTCGCGATAGGAGAATCCAGGTACTCTCTCCCTCCCTTCCTGCCCGGGCCGGAGAGGGAGATCTCTGATCTCCCCTCCGGTCCTGCAGAGCCAGCAGGGGAGAGCACAGTTCCCGGTGCTATCATCATAGCACCAGAAAAATAACTTGCGGCTCCCCTGTGTGCCCGTCGTGGCACTCCAAGGCGTCGCGGCACACAGTTTGGGAACTGCTGGTCTACTCTATATCCTGGGGATTATACAACTCAAGGCTGATATGATAGAGCTTGTAATAATCTCTTTTATGTGAGTTACCATTTGTCTTTGTCAAGTCACTTTACATTTTGTTTGGATACTACATTACAAGACTGTTTGTTTTTTTATGTCTTCTGGGTTATCACCCCTTGCTCTGTTTTGAAGATCTGTATACTTATGAAGACCTGTTTTACCAACATCTACTTCCCTGTGTGATCCTGTTACAAGTCCTCGGGGTCTACTATACACTAAGGTAAATAACTGAAACCCAGGCCCCTCAATATGGATAGACTATAAACCTCAGTTTTTTGGGGTGGATGTGTGGGGGGTTTGCTACAAGGACTTTTGATTAATGATTATTGTCTATTGTTTTTAAGCACAACTTCCACTGTTTATTTACTTATTCCCCATTTTGAATATTCTTAATGATGCCAAAAGCTGCTACAAAAGTTGACTACAGTCCCTCGAATGCTTGCACATGGTTGTGGCGCATGTAGAGTTGCTGGATTCTTTATTTTATATATAGAAATGTTTCTATTATATTTAACCAGCATTGCTAATCTATTTAAAGTTATCATATGTCCATACTGTGTATGAGAAACAACAGCAACACCTGCTCAGAGAGAAAACAGCATAATTACAAAAGACGTGTGGGAACTATTTTCACCAGATAGTTCCCAAGAAATGAATATCAACAACAATCAAGTGTTAGAGACGATTTTCCCCCCAGAGGCATCAGATGTCATACAAGCTGCTATGAATGCAGACTGTAGATGTGTTGTTTCATGTTTCTGTCTCAAACGTAACGTAACATAACATAATGAAACAAGTAAAGTTTAGCCACAATAAATTGAGTGTGTGGGAGTTATCTCCATATCATTTCTATATATACTGCCAATATCTCCAAGAGTGCTAAATGCATCAATTAATCTATATAACAAGACGAGGGTGACCAATGGAGTCAAATCAGAAGACGTTCTGAAAGCCTTTCCACAGACTTTAAAATCTTGAGATAGATGGGCCAAGTGAAACACAAGACACTGAAAAGTAGATACAGAATACAAGTTTTTTTGGTAATAAAAAAAAAAAAAAAAAGATGAATATTGGTGAATACTTGCAGGGTTATTCACAAAACTCTGAAGTAGTGATTTCAAATCTGAGTTCTAAAATACCTGGCCTGAGTAATTCTTCACCTAAGCTATATTAACATCACAGATAATATAGAATTATCCTATATGCATTATACATGTCAATTTTGTCAGCCAACCTAAAATAGTCTTCAAACATACACAGTTAAAAGTGTGGTATGAGTAGAAACCGATTGAAAATTTGGTACGGCTATACAAAATAAATTTGTATGGTGATGATTAGACGAAAAAAGAGCAAACTAATAGATACAGTGCCTTGCAAAAGTATTCACCCCCTTGACTTTTTACCTATTTTGTTACATTACAGCCTTAAGTTCAATGGTTTATTAATCTGAATTTTATGTGATGGATCAGAACACAATAGTCTAAGTTGGTGAAGTGAAATGAGAAAAATATATACATAAAATAATTTTTTAGAAAAAGAAAACAGAAAATTGGCATGTGCGTATGTATTCACCCCCTTTGTTATGAAGCCCAGAAAAATGTCATGTTATGTGCAACCAATTACCTTCAGAAGTCACATAATTAGTGAAATGATGTCCACCTGTGTGCAATCTAAGTGTCACATGATCTGTCATTACATATACACACCTTTTTTGAAAGGCCCCAGAGGCTGCAAAACCTAAGCAAGAGGCACCA